AAAATTGCCGCTCAAGTAACACCGTACGCCTGGGCGACCCAATCATGTCCCCAGAGGAGACCTGCTCTAGTACAGTGCACGTGGCGATCGACCGGCCCACACCTAGTATCTCGTCCTGCTCCGGCTGCTCCGGTAGACATTGGCAGGCGGCACGGGGGGCGAGCTCATCCTCCTCTTGTCGTAGACGACGGGCTGTGAATAGCGGACCTCGTTGATCTCGTACGTAGAGGGGTAGTGGTCCCGCGAGCGTGACGTCTCGTGGTGGTACCGATGCTGGTGGCTTCTCCGGTGGCGGTCGGCGGGCGACCGGCCGCGATGCCGGCGGTCGTCGTAGATGTCCTTCTCGCCCCAGTCGTTGGGGCGGCTCCACATGCCGCAAGACCTGACGATCCACAGGAGCAAGAGGAAGCCGGCAATGGAGCCGAGGACGATGCCGGCGATGGCGCCGCCGCTGAGCTCGTTGTCGGATGCGCCATCCTCCGTCGTCCCGGGGGTCGCGGTAACGGTGGTGACGACCTGGCGGGCGAGGAGGTCACGGAGGGGCTGCGCGAAGGTCCGCGTGGGGTGGAGGGCCGCCGCGGCGCCGGCGAGAGAATCGGAGACTGACGACACTGGCGCCATTGCGTGATCGTACGTGGGTGTGTTTCGTTTTGTGAGTGTGTATGTTATGTTTGTGTAAGTGTTTGCCCGGTGGTGTATGATGAAGGAGGTTTAGCACCCGCGGGGAGATGGATGGAAGACTAGATGACGGCTCACACTCCTCCTCGGAACGGGGATGGGGGAGAGATACGAATGCTATATAGTATCAGGTTAACGACAGTCGAATGACGACAACCCAGGTCTAAAGTAACGCTCTTGCAGAGCAGAGGGACTACTATATTTTCCATGGATGCAGCTAGCAAGAGTCATTCTCGAGAACCTGCTCTCTGCAAGTACTGGATTGATGGGGTTGGGAGGGGCCTGCGTGCAAGTAAGTCATGGCTGCGTGACGATATGGATGTGACGTGCAGGGGCAGGGATGCCGTGCAGAACCAGTGATCCGAGTCTGCCACGAGCGAGTTGAGTAGCCGAGTGAGATTTGTGGAAAGGGTGTGGGTGGGCATCAATAGCTAGATAGTTGTACAGATCCCCCTCGTTACAAGGTAGATCTTGGATTTAAGTGTGCATGCAATATACAGCGCCTTGGTATAGACCGGGGGACGACTCCCACTCGCGTCCCGCTTTGGGGGTTAAAGCCGATTTGAATCTAGGTGTTGACATTCTCTATCTTGATGCCTTGTTTGTTTTAATGTATTTCATCTACTCAAGTCTATTTTATTCAAGCGGGTAAAGTCATTCGGGTCTTTGCAACAGGCCTCATCCCGGCGACGAGCTGGCTGTCCTACCGAGGGGGACGTTGACAATGTTTTGGGAGAGGTGAAGCGAACCGTTCTTTTGTCTGGATCGACGGACCACTGACCTGTTGTGGCCCGATAATGGGACATCAACTGACCGGGGCGCCCACTGGCGGATCCTCATCCCAACTTGGAGCAGGCCAGGCGAGCAAATAGAGGGAAACAAAGAGCTGGAATTGCAACATGGTGAAATCAAGACGCATTATGGAGGGAAGACCAACCATCACGTCTACGTCATTGGCTGATTAGAAGGCTGGTAGAAGGGCAGGACTCCGCAGGAGGCAGGAGGGGTTATGTTAATACCTACCAAACCAAGCTGGCCGGGACCCCGGCGCCGCCGCCATTGGTCGGTCTTCCGGAGTGGGTCCTTCCACTGTTCTCTGAAATTCGGGAGGAAGGAGGCCCCCGCTTGTACCGGCACCTGCGCACTTTCCATTTCCGTCATTCGCATTAGGAAAAGAAAAAGAGAAAAGAAAAAAAAAAAAAAGTGCGATTAGTGAATAGGAAGGCGCCCCGCCCTCCCCTTGGGTACCACGCACCCTTTCCTTCTATCGCATGTCTCTGATCTCGATCCTCCCGGCCGGGATGATGGTGTGAGACACCACCACCACCACTAGGCACTATCGCCGGCCGCTGATCATCCAACAATTGTCATCAATTACCGACGTGCGGGCGGTTCGACTTCGCGCTTGTTGTTCAGCCACGGCTCTCGGCAACCGGTTATTTGCTCTCCCCGGTCGCATTAAGCCATTCAACTTGCTGCAGGAGTCCAGTTTGCGAGAAGGCTGCCCCGACTTTCCTCCATCATGCAGCAATGCGCTTCTCGGTCCTGGCGAGTCATGCTTTTCAGCGAACCATTCTTTCACCGAGCTCACCGAACTCACCGAACCCGCATTTGCCGAGCACATGGTCAGCCCGGTCCCGTCTCGCGTGTCTTTGAAAGCGGCCGGGTCTCGAAATAGCTGATAGTGGGGATACGTCTTTCAACTTTCAGCTAGCGATAAAGACAGACTTCCAGAGTTGTACTCTCCCCACGCAGCCTCAGATTGCAATTTATCCTCGTATAACGGTGGTGGTGGTGGTGGCGGCGGCCCCATGGGGATATACACGACTGACGATCTGTGGAAGCATCCAAAAAAGACGGAGAGTGCCCCACGGCGGACACGACGTGCTCAAACAAAACACGCGCGGCCGCTTGTATCGAATTAGCCACAGGATGGCGGCGCTGCCGATCATTGCGCGCCCATTCATCTTCCTTCTAGAACACGGCGGCCCGCAGCCCGGGTCTACCGAAAATTCATGGCGGCGGGGCCCGTCGGAGATAGACGACGAAGGGCCCGCTTCGGCAGGCCTGTGCCGACATGGGTCGGTCGTCCTCGCCACGCGTGCGAGACTGCGTTCAAAGTTCAAAGCGCAAGACACGCGCGGTCTGTGAGAGAAGAGAAAACACAGTGTCACGGCATGTGGGGAAGGGACAGTCTCTTAAACATCGCATACATGGCCGTGCGAAAGATGCTTATTATCCCCAACAGCCGGCGCGTAAATGGCGCCGCGATGGCCTTGTATCCTCTTTCCGCCGTGTCCCGAGTCATTCCACGAGTTTCCGCATCTGCAAATCGTGTCGAACCTGAACGCGCGAACTGGTTTTATCGTCCCCGGGAATGGGTCAAGCCGATCGGAGGGCAGCGCGACCGTCATGCTTCTTCGAACAGGCCAACGAGCCGGCTCCGGCACAGGCTATCGCCTCTCGAGAGGCTATCAATTGCCGAGCCGACCACGATTTCGACCTCTTCGGCTATCGAAAAGGGTCCGTCCAGGGATGCGTCGAAACAGTAAAGGTTGCAGCAATAGTTCACCCTAAGTATCGGTGATGCGAGCCTCAATAGCCCATCACCGGACTCTCCCCCTCCAGGTGAAGTGCTTCTTCGGATCAGCCGCCAGCGCCTTCATGGCCTCGACGTCCTCCGACTCTGGCCCATTCTCGATCGTCCCCGCCTCAACCGCCAACCTGGCGTACTTGGCCGCCATCTTGTTCTTGCCCAAGAGGTTGAAGTTGAGCGCCGCGGTGGTGTACGCCCCGGCCAGCTTGGCCTCCAGCCTCTCCTCCGCGTGCAGCTTCAGGAACCGCTCGACCGTGGCCGACGTCACCCTCGCCGACACGTCCGAGAGCAGCCTGTCGAGCTCCTCGATCTCGAGCAGCCGCGCGTCCGACGCCGCCGCCTGCTTCTTGGCCAGCCCGCACTGCGAGCACCCGCACTCGAAGCCCCACGCCCGCTTGGCGCGGTGCTGCCGCACCGAACGGGTGGCGAGGGGGTCGAGGTAGGTGATGGTCAGCTCCTCGCCGGGCTTCACCGGCCGGACGACGGTGGTGCGGTGGCGCAGGTCCGCGCCGATGCGGAAGGCCACGTTGGGCCGGCAGTCGTGGTTGTACCGCGACACCTCGGGGTAGTTACCGTAGTGGTGGCCGTCGCCCTGCGCGCCGCCGCCGACGTCCATCTGGAACGAGTTGGTCGCCATGATGTCGCTGACCTGGTGCCCGCCAAAGTGGCCCATCTGGCCCAGGAAGCCGGCCCGCGTCGCCGGCGGGAGAAAGCCCGCGACGGCGTCGAGGAGCGTGTGCCGGTCCGCCGCCGGGGTGCGCTCGATGAAGGCGCGGTGGGCGAGAAAGACGGGCGTCTTGAGCATGACGTTGTCGCCTCGCGCGAGCGTCTTGTTGGCGATCATGCCCAGGCCTTTGCCCTCGACCTCCTTAATCTCGAACGGCGGTGCCCCCGACGACGGGTCCTCTTCGTCGAGAGGCTGGCTCTGTAGGTGTTGCTCCAGGTCCCTCACTTTCTGAACGTTTTCCGGTGTCGAGATGATAACGATGCCGCGCCCGTCAGCGAAGCCGCGGTTGGCGTACAGGCAGTAGCTGCCCGCACACCCGTGCGGGCCCGTCCAGCCCAGCGGCTCGGGCTCCGGGTCCGGGTCCGTCGTTCCGTTCGTTCGCCTCCGTTCTTGGTCCGAGTCCTTTTCCTCGCCTTTCCTGTCTACCGTCGTGAGGTCCCAACTCGAGCATTCCAGCAGCGACTCGTCCAGCGGTGTCCATGGGCACGTTTGCGCCCAGCGCAATGGCGCTTGGGCCTCCGATGCAACCGTGTAAGACGCGAGGGCTGCCGCCAAGGGCAACAGTGCTGCTGCTGCTGCTGCTGCTGCTGCTGCTGATGATGATGATGATACCATTCTGGCCTTTTCCGTCCACTTCCTGATCAATCGGCAAGACAAAGACGACGGTATCGGGGAGCTCTCGCGACAATGATTAGGTCTTCGTTTTCCATGGGTTGAGTGACGTAAACTTAAAATTAAAGTATCCCCCTAAAACCCCATCGGCATGGGATGGAAGTTGATGCTCCTGGCATCCCCAAGAGAACCCCACCGGTTTCAGTAGCACTCCTGAAACCTGGAAGGGGTCAGGCAAAAAATGGGTTTATCTCGCCCTGTGGCTTGTCCTGGTCTCATGTACCCTTGGGACGTGGCAACCGTTGGTTCACACAAACTCCCATTGGCAAGTTCTTGTTTCCTCATGGCGCATGTTGTTTGGCGAAGAGGTTGAACCGTGAACCGGGGGGTGCTGCCTGAATGTCCGCGGGCCCTCTTCGCAGCAGCATCAACAAAGCACTGTTCTGTCTCCAACGCAAAACGATGGCCATCAAGGGGCATCCAAAACCAAATGCAACATGGGGTTCTCCAGGAAGCAGGTTCCAGGCCAACAGCTTTTCGTCTTTCGAGGGCTCCGTGCAAGATTTCCAAACATGCCTAGTCCATAAGTGTTGTGGGTGTTTGTTTGTAAACGATGGTCGTGAGCTATATAATCCCTGCAGCCTGGGAGGGGACGACCAAGCAGGACAGGGTCGCTTCACGCACCCACCCCAAAAAACACCAGCACCGAGTCATCGTTGGCTCTTATTCGTAGCTATAGTATGTGTGAAAGGGATAAAGGTCACGGCTGGTCAACCTCGCTGACAACATCCACTGTTACGCCCCGAGCATAGAGTACTTCGTCGCATGCCGAGGACTCTAGGGCAAACGGCGGTTGTCGGTGCAAGCTCGCCTTGAAGACTTGAACCTCCAGGCCCATGTCCCACGGTTCCACGCCTCCCCAACCGTCACCGACAGTAGCTGGTTTCTCCACATTTTCTCTTGTACGATTCGGAGCCAACCAGAGAGATTGTACCCGAGAAAAGCGAAATAGAAACAAAAAAACATACAACACCAGGTATTCGCTGATCGTCACCGACTCAACTACTAATCCGGCCCTCACTGGCTTATCTATGGGAGAGCGGACGGGATCCCGAGTTCTCCAGTGGGTGTGGTCGTATGTGAGAGAATGACCTCGTATGCTTTATTATATAGTTACAGTGTTTTCTGGCGATTAACAAAAAGGATGAGCTTTTCCACCAAGTATTTGCTCATTGTCACTGAGTCAACTACTGATCTGGCCCTCATGAAGTCTTAGCTGTGAGAGCCTTGACGTCCTGGATGTGAAGCATGATACCTACATCATTGGAAGGCAAAGCTCCTATCTTGGCCCCACTGTACAGAACAAAGTAATGAATCCCAAGCGAAACAGTGTTCCTTTGTTTTTCCTGTGTTATATTGTACTGATTGTAGTAAATAGCGTTCAGATACGTATACTCCCCATCTCTCTATTTATCCTACTTCTGGAAAGTAGGAAGTTACGAACAGGATTTCAGTTCTTAAATCCGCATCATCACCTACCCTCACCCCCTTTTCCCCTTCTTCTTAGCGCTACCTACATTGGCAAGGCAGGATATATGGTTCTGTGTGCAAGTATGTCTCAGGCAGTTAAATAGTCTGTTGGCGCATGGGAGGGTTGGTGATAGGGGATAGCGCCAACGTCCATTTGTCTGGGCAGGGATCTTCCAGCGCTCCGCTCGACGAGGCCACAAAGGTATATTGTGCAAGTTGGTCCACTTCAAGGACAAGGCAAGGGGCAAGTGTATTCTAGAAGTCTCAGTTTATCACATAAACTGATTGCTTGTCACGAGAAATATGTTTTCAATCGGCCTAGAGACAAGGTATCAGAAGCAACAGGGTGGATGTAACAGGACGCTGACAGTGACGTCCTGCCAATAGACAAGTCAGCCGGGTTGGGTTAACCAACTGAGCCAAAGGTCCACCAATGCTCGAGTTTTCCTCATGAGCACTGCTGTCAACACCACTTATAAGGCCTATAGCCTATCTCACAGGTAGGGGATTGCCACCCTGTGACACCTACATTCAGCTGGGAGGTGTTCGCGATGAGACGCCCTTCCCTCCCTCGTACCTAAGAAGATAGGTATATAAGGGTCAAGTTAAGCAGAAATTCTCAACACAGTACAGTGTCATACACATGATGAATGCGGGGGCCCTACCCGCAACAAACAAAACCAGAGGGTAAAGCTAGGTTGGTACCCTGAAAAGGCGTTCACTTGACTCTGTAAAAGACTGGCGGGGGTTTCTCTTTTTGCATGTTTCTTGGATTTAGTTGGTACCAAAAGAACCGCGATCTTGCACACCTTATCTTTCCACGGTTGGCTCTGGGGTGCAGTGCGTGGTCCTTGAGACAAAACAGACAGAACTGCTCGCATCATGGGAGAATCGAACTCAGATGGTGAGAAACGACAGATTATCGAGGCCACCCCAATTAAACCACAGATGCTCGCACAGTAGTAGATGTTCTTTCCATTCTTTCCATCTACGGACCCTTCCTCGGACCAGGTAGGTATTTTCTTCTGTTCTGTTGCCTCCTTCTTCGACCAGAGCCAGACCGGTGGCCCTCTCGACATGCGGAAGGTCCTCCTGGCTGACTGCCGCGGGGCCGTTGGAGAAAGGCGCTGACATCGACCTGCTTCTCAGTCAGCTTCTTCTTCCAGTTCAGTCGCTCGCTGAGCCCGAGCCGTAAGTATATTCGCATGCGCCGCTATCGGATAACGGAGTCGAGGGGCTACTCAATTGTGACATTAATTTCCCACGTCTAGAACTAACAACTGGTGTCCAGCTCCAGAGGGTCTGTTGATCCTATCTATAGCTCTAGATAGAACAGCCGGACATCGGGCATTCTTCTTGGGTGAAAGAAAAAAGGACAGAGAACTCAGAATCACAATGCTGGGAGTCTTACGGCTACCTCTATGGAGGCAAAAGCTGCTCCGCATTGCTTCTCTCATCACCGTTCTCAGGGCAACTTAGCATGCACCTCCCCGCAGGGGGGGCATCGACCTTCCTTGACGGAACACCGACTCCCATCACAAGCAGGAAGAGGCACACCCGTTCTTCCCTCAACCAAAGCCAGCAGTATCATCTCCCCCCCAGATGTCTTCTTGTATGTAATGTCAAAAGTGTTGAACATTTTCAACACAGTCCCGATGATGATTTTGTAAACCCAACCTAGCGTGCAGGAGAACTGCAAGATGCTAAGAACATCCAATTCTGAGGGAGACTAACTCCTCCGAGCAGGGGAGTCTTTTTTGAACTTGTTCCCTTTTTAAAGTTATTTTCAGTCTAGGTGCTATCAGGGTGTCACTAGTACCAAAATATCCGCAACGTTTTCTTTTCTAGTTCCATGGTCCTGGGCGAGCAACACATGTGTAGGTTTGCAGGCAAAATGGTCATTCCACCATTCTCCCGAGAGGAATTGAACCAAAACTCACGGAATCTTGAGGATTTCAAGCAGGAGAACCATTCAACTACAAAACTTCGCACGGTGGCATGCATGGCGTCAAGAAGTGGCAAGAGAGAAGTAGATGAAGGTGGAAGGTGGTTCTGGGAATGAGGGTGCTTCAGTTCTGCTTTTTCTGGAAATCGTATGACACGCGTCACAGGGCTGAAGAGGTACACCGTACGTAGCTAGCTCTCTGCAAGGTAATACCTGCCATTTTCAAGGTGAGGCCCAAAGGGGGATTTGCCTGCCTTCCGACGATGGAAGTGCAAAACCTCAAGAGAAGGAAGTCAAGACTCCCAAGACTAAGGCTTCATAAAGGCTGGATTAGTAATCGAGTCGGCGATGATCAGTGAATGCTCGGTATTATATGCTTCGCACTTTTCCTTCTTTCAGTTGAGAGGCCCGATACAACCTCTACAACTCCCATAAACCACCACATACGACCATACCCACTGGAAAACCCAGGATCCCGTCCGCTCTCTCATAGATAAGCCAGTGATTGCACTCCTATTTGAAAATAAAGTCATTGGTGGATGAGCCAATCAGCCATGTCTGCAACTCCTTGAGAGCGTCCAGGTCGTTCTGTGGAGAGGCAAGGGTTATATTTGGGTCGTGCCATCCATGCGTTCTCTTGGTTCCCGTAGATCCGTCCATCAACGGTTTTCCGATGCGACAGGAACTGTCAAAGTCACCAAGGAGCAGGCCGCCGTCTTCGGCAATCAAGATGTTGGAAGGTGTTATGTCGTTGTGAACAAGGCCGAGGGAGTGAAGATGAGCGACTGCGCTGAGAATACCATCCAGATGTAGAGTGTCATCTACAAGAAGTCGGCCGCTCGACAAAAACTCGTTTTTGTTCAAGTGGCGCGGGTCGACCTTCTCCGCCAAAGTCAGCGCGCATCGTTCGAGACAGAGACCAGAAACCCGTCCACGGTTCTCGCGATAGCCGTGGTAGCGGACGACGTGCGGATGAGGGTGCCGTTCGAGTGTCTCGTATGTCTCGATTTCTCGCCGGATCATGTCTTCGACTTCGCCTCGGTAATCGAACAAGCTAGGCGTCTTGATGTAGTAGACGCCACCGGTTGGCGCCAACGTCCAGCTGGGTTCCACCAAAGGCCCTCGATCCTCGGTTTTCAAAAGCTTCGGGTTCTCGAGGTCGGCGAACCTGGACGGGTTCAACTGCCGGCCTTGCCATCGTGCGACGTAAAGTTTGTTGTCCCATCTTATAATGCCTTCCGTGCAACGGTAGTGTATTTTGCCGTCGGGCTCTCTCTGGAAAACCTCGCATTTTTTGATCATCTCCATGGTGGCGACGGAATGTCAGGCAGGCGTCGAAGCAGGTATTTTTTTTAGCAGTTTTGCATCATAAATGGAAGAGATGTCAGCAGTTTCAATAGCTGAAATATGCAGCGCGTAGTTCGGCCGGCGGTGTGTGGCAGGTGGCGTCACATCCCAGTATCCTTACCGACTGGGAAGCGCTGGAGGCATCGTTGGAAACGGCGCCAACGGAACTTGTCTTCGTTATTGGTGAGTCTGAGATGCAGCCACGCAGTATGATTCTAAAACATCGCAGGTGATGCAGGTGACGGCAAAGTGACTCAGTGCGCTGGCATCTCTGAAAGCTTTGGGTACCAGCACGTCTCTGTGGGAGATTTGCTGCGACAAGCCGTTCGCCTTGTGAAAGTATTAAGCCAGGGCCGTCCATGACTGTGGATGTGACGGAGCGGGGGCATCGTTTGCCGGGCGCTTATCCGTGAGGTGTGAGAGCATGGCCAAACCGGCGTATGCTCCACTTATCACGGTGCCCCACTTCCCCGAAGCTTCGCCTAGGCGCCGGACACACCGAGTAGGCTTCGGAACCGCGCGCAACGAATTTCCGTGTCCGATGGCGATCTCGATTTGCAATAGATCCTCGGCCTCTTCCCGTAGCGGAGTTATGTGGGTTACAGGGTTCCTCTCAACTAAAAGAACAAAACTATAAAACATACAACACCAGGTATTCGCTGATCGTCACCGACTCAACTACTAATCCGGCCCTCACTGGCTTATCTATGGGAGAGCGGACGGGATCCCGAGTTCTCCAGTGGGTGTGGTCGTATGTGAGAGAACATAGAATGTATAATTTATTATATAGTTATAGTGTTTTCCGGTGATCGTTGACAACAAGGATGAACTTCTCCAACGTGTCGGATGTAGCTGGTTCGGTGGTAGACGATGTTGAGATAGCCTCTCGTTTCCGAGCCTTCTGGATGCTTCGCTTACATGGATCAAAGGTCGCAAGGAGCGAAAAGGTGTTGATCCATACGGTTTGTAAGGCCCGACCTGCGGCATCTCCTAGTCGGGGGCTCAAGACGGAATTACGCCCCGTCCGATTTGCTCATTCGCTTGAGGCCGAGGCCTTTAGGAACAGAATTTGGTCACCCAAGAAAGACCCCCCCTTCGCTATCTTGTATTCTTGGTTTACAACCTTTTCACATAGTCGTAAGACATTATGGGCCTCGCTGTCATGACGCCCAATGTCCCTGTCTCCTCGATGAAGTATGTGTCAAAGAACGATGCGGCCCGGAGGAAGGATGGAAAGATGCGGTGCACCTTGTCGAGAAGCATACCAAGATGAAGGCCCGGTTGCGCCGGATTTCTCCATTTTTTCGGTGTACGAGCTCCCCAGGATGCGTGATGACCACAAAACAGGGTTCATCTTTGTTAAATACGATAGAGGCGCTGTGATGCCTACGCCACAGTTCGACCCCTGAATCTCTCTATCCGATTGACTCGGCCGAATCATTGTCGTGCTCCGATGACCTTCACGAAAGAAAGCCCTGGCTCCTTTGAAAGCGTCTAAGCCCACGAAGACCCGCATTGAGAAATACAAATGCAAAGTCCGGATTTTGTACGGAGGCCTCCCTGAATGGAGTTTTCGTCCCTTGAAGAAAGAGACAGAAGCAGCTACCACCAGCCGGTGAGCCTAATTGCAAAAGATACCGCGCGGCAGGGGACGATGGACACGTCGGCAAAGACCCTGAGGTATAAATAACATTGGGTTGACGAGCTCTGCCATACGCTTTGGGCGACTTCGCATTGGTGATTCGCAAAAGTCCAAGCTACACATATTCTGATCAAACATTCAGCAGATCATGAGGCTCATGTTAGATTAATACAAGGTTTGGGAATGATTGATCTTTTTCCGTTGTTTTTAACCAACACAGAGATACATTTGTTAAAGAGAGGAGGTACTTTGTTTCAGTATCCCAGGTTATCAAGACTATGTATCTCATTGACAAAGAGACAGGCATTATCAGCTGAATCACAAAATGTCAGCATTTAATTCGCAGGGGCCGTTCTCAGAGTTCACGATTGGCCTACGTCTCAGTTGACGGCATCGCAGCTGAGGGTATTTCTTAAGATGGAAGGGACCAGGAATGTGCTTGTCGTCCCTTCCCAGAGTCACCTTTGAATTTTGGATTAGGGTATCCATCTGACTTTTCTCCTCACCTTAATATCTTATAATAGCTTGTTTTGTTTTGATATTTCTATTTCCACTCCTTTGCTTTGCTGGACGGATCCCAGCTGCAGCCAGCCTTCTCGAGCGCGTTGATGCCCTAAACCACAACCGCCACATTTCAATATCGGTCACACAAACAGAAAGGAGTCACCGGTCTCGATATCGAATTCGCTGCTACGCATGACTCCCTCTCCGTTTCTCCTTTACCCCCCCCCCCCCCCCCCCCGACTACGGCCTCACTATCGCTCTTTCTTGGGAGCAGGCGACAACTCTTCACCCTTGGACTCGGCCTCGGCCTCAACCAAAACGTAAGTCTTTTACTAGGAGCCAGACCGCTCTATATATGTATGCAGTTGACATTATTCAGTATGGTACCTCGCCGCCCCCAAGGAGGCCATCATGCTTCTCTAGACGATCAACTAGCTTTCCTTGCCCTGACCCACACTATCGATCAATGGAACTCCCAATATCCCGATGTTGCAAGCCAACTGCTCGACGATGCTGATCAGCAACTGCTCTCTGAATGCTACGTCGCTCATCTGATGCCCACCGCACACTCGTTCTGGTGGAACGGCGACAATGCCAACATGGCGATGACTAACCTTGTCCAAATCAAGTACCCTTTGGTGCAAGTGGCGGGTTGGAAGAGAAATCTATTGACGGCGAGCGATATCCTCAAGACTTGGCGCAAAGACGCTGCGCTTTTATACACAAAACTCATCAAGAACGGCGGAGACGACGATGATGTATCTGGCGAAGAGGCGGATGAAGACTTCGGTGAGGATACGAAAGATGGCCTCAACCTCCGGCAGAGTTTCGCCGCAGAGAGTGGGGAGGGCGAGTCCAGTGAAGGAGCGCCCGATGCCATCTTCGTGGCACACAGTCGAGAAACGAAGAGAAGAGTTGAAGCACCCAGACGGATCGAGTCGCCAAAGAAGGCCAGGAAGCACTTCATTTATGAGAGTGAGGACTCCGAAAACGAGGTCTTTGGGTTCTGCCGGTCCAACGCGAAGCCGTTGGCTTCGACGCCCAAGCGAGCCGCTGCCGCCCTGATAACGCCAACTCAAAGTGGCGAATCCAGTCCCATTATTCTAGTCGACTCTGAGACGGAGAGCGAGGGTCCCTTTGAAGCGAGAGGATACTATGGTCGTCGTCGAGGCCGCCGATGCCGGTTTGTCAGACCTGAGAGCCCGCCGGCCGACGCTGCCGTGGCCGATCCGGCGCCCCTCGCTCTGACTCTCGTTCAGACCATGGCATCAATCGAACCAGCCGAGGCACCAGCCCATGAACATGAATGCCTGGCAGCCCTGCAGGAGGCGGTGGATTCTGTTGCGAAGTCCTGCGTCGCATTTTCGACCCAGAAGCGGAGGGAGACGAGTCGTCAACTCAACGAACTCGAGAACAAGTTGGAGAAGCTCGGCAGCGCGGTCAAGAGACTGAACGACGCTATTCAACCTTGACGAAGAGACCTTCAAATCCATCTTGACGGGGGGGGGGGTGGGGCTAAGAGCGAAGGACACACAATGAGCTCTTCGAAAGGGGAGTTGCGGAGACTATAAGCACCGCCCCCACCGAGGAGGGCCTTGCTCGATTGCTATCGCGACAAGTTTCTTAATTCGTAATTCGAACGCGTCTGCGGCGCGGAAATCAAGGTTCAGCTCGCATTGCGCAGCCGTTAGTCACCCCGCGAAAAGATGACGGCTTTGGCAACTCTAATAGTCAGTTAACCTTCACACCTTTAACCTTTCGCCAGAGGGAACCAACGGAAATGCTCACTCTTCGTCTTCCGGCCGTTTCATCGCATCATTCTGTTGGTGCCAAGACCCTCATTGGCCTGTGCATGTTTGTTTAGCCTCGGACCTTGGCTTCGTCTCCTCCAATTAGATAAACACATCACATGCACCCAAGAAAGGGGTAGGGAGCCGACGAGTGAACTGCTTTCCTGGCCGCCTTCTTTTTATAGTTCACTTTATCGTACCTACATATCTTTCCCACAGCTGAAGCCCGCTTGCGAGTTCGACCCATGTAGCTGGAACCACCATGACGATCAGCCGTAAGAGATCCTTGCCTGAGGCTGAGGTTGAGGCCGAGGCGAAGCCGGGCTGTGACGAGCCTACGTCCTTCATTGACTTTGACGATACTCCGCCGTTCCCTGCTGATGTCGTGCCGCTGCCCAACGACGCAGACGACCTCGAGACGCTCACCGGAAAGATCGGCGCCCTGGTGCGCGTCGTTTCCCGCAAATCCAGCTTGGCCGTCTGGACGGCCTTCGCGGCGACGCCCAACCCCCAAAGGGACCCTTTCGCCATCGCCAAGGCGGATGCAGACGTAAGGGAGCTGCAAATGTTCACCTGGTTCGAGGGGAACGGCCGCCGGCTACACACGCCCGAGCCGTTCGACGTGACGAGGAACGTCAGGCCGCTGGAGAAGCAGAACAACAAGACGGCCGCGCGGTACGAGGACATGGCCTCGTGCGTCGACGAGGTCTTTGGGACCCAGGGCGCCACCAAGGAGAACGTGTGCTGGATCGTGGAGAACCTCGACGTCGCGCTGCCCCTCATCAAGTTCTACCTGCGGGTGAAGCGGGCGCGAAGGAACCTCCTCGGGGGCCAGGCGACCCTGACGAGCAACGAGCTGGCCGAGTACCAGACGGTCCGCAGGATCCGGGGCGTCCTGGGCGTGAGGCTGCAGAAGTGCCGGATGGACAAGGGCCCCGCCAAGCAGCTCAGGGAGTACGACGTCGTGCTGTTGCGGCGGCAGAACCTCACTTCGCCTATTCTGAAGGGGCAGCGCGAGGAACATGGGAGGACGGAGGCTGGACGGGAATGTGCCAAGCGACAACGTTGTGCGGTGTGATGATGATGATGGTGGTAATGATGATGACGATGATGAACAGTTTCAATTGTTACTTTAGGATGGAGACAGACCATCGCCGCCTAGATATGATTGGCAAACGCTTACTTGGATGAACCAAATCGTGGGTATACTCAGTGTTGCTCGTTGGGTTCAACATGAGCCCCGAAACCCGTCTGACCATCGATGCCGCATCGACTTCCTCGAGAAGCAAGCATCCGATGGCGAGGACGGCAGGGCCCACGACACGTCCTTGTCAGAACGGCTCGAGGCCTGGGACGGACGCCCTGAGAGAAAAGATGAAAGATGTCTCATCAATCGAAAAGCGTACCGACGCAGACAGAATCAATCTGGTGGGAGGTATGCTTGGCGGGCAAATAAAGTGTCTAGACCCCCCGCCCCCCAGTTCTCGCCCCGACTGTCAGCCGAAAAGCCCCATACCCGCCGCGGGCCCCTCCCCGACCCCTGCTGCCCGAGTCGGCGTTTGCCTTGCGGGTCCCCCCCCCGTTTTTTTGTTTAATACGCGTCTCCTCTGGCTTAGATACTGGCGAGGACATCTACAAACGGCCCCAGTTCCTCTACCTTCACTTCACCTTGAACGTCAGAGTATGGGTACTTCCGGGATGGGGCTTGGAGAAGGGGCGCGGCAGCTTTAAGGCAAGGAAACCCCCCGGATACCCCAGGTCGACCCCAAAGTCGAGACCTACGGAACCATTGACGAAGGGATTGAGAACGCTCCTCATCCAACCATGGCATTCTTTACCTCTCGAGATTTGAGTTGCATTTCTTCAACAAAGCAACGCACTCAACAATATCAAGCCCCCAGAGTTGGTTGCTAAGCACACAAAGCACAACATTAACAAACGGTACTTATAAGGGGGGCTGCTTCTCGATGATAGACGCAGTGCGTCTTGCAGTTTCCATTTTCCATTTTCCTGATTCTTTACAAGCGTAATCCAGACCCAGCTCGTCCAACTCTTAGGGATTCGGGGAAGCCACCTTACCCGGCTGTTGGCCCGGCAGGTTTTGCCTCGGTCGACGTCCCAGCATGTTCCTACAAGGGCACCTCCATCCTGTCCCTGTCTCTGCTGGTGGGTAGAGCTCAACAATTAGTGTCCCTCCCTCTCAAGAGCCTCCAGCTCCTTGAGCACAGAAGACTTGGTGCCAATCTTCTTCATTTGAGTATCCTCGAGCTTCTCGCCCCCGGCCAGTCTCATCTCGAGGTCTTCAATGGCTCGCACCTTCTTCTGCAGGCTGCGAATCTTCTTCGCATTCGGGTTTTGCGAGGCGTCACCGCCGGCATCAGCCACGGGAGCGGCCTGTTGCGCTTGCGCATTGGGGATTTGGACATTGGGCACCTGGGGCGCGCCATTCTGGCCCCGGTGGGTGTTGCTCCTGTTACGATGCTGACCAGCACCGGGGTTACGAGAGCGGCTGCGGTGTCTGTTGTTACCTCCGGCACCGCCACGGCGCTCAGGGCTGCGACCTTCGTGGCCCGCTCCCGGGCCGAAATCGCGAGGCGGGGCAAGCGAAGCACCGCCGCCGTTCTGGCCTTCGGGGTTCGCGTCGCCGTCCTTCTTCTTGTTGTTCCGCTTCTTCTTGTTCTTCAACGCCGCCTTTGACAAATTCTCATCGCCATCGGCGGCGGGGTCGGCTCCGGGAACCTTGGGGGTGGCACCGGGAACGCCGGCGAACTCAGCGCCAGGCACGCCACGACGAGGGCGTCCGAACCCGTTAGGTCCGATGGCCGCAGAGCCGTTGTTCATGCTGACGTGAGCCGCACCGCCCTCGTCCTCTCGCTTGAAATGAAGCGGGGTGGCGAGACCACGGGCGCCCGGAGGACGGTAAGCTCCCGCAGGCTTGCTGGGAGTCTTGACAGTGCCGAGGTAGGTAGCCGCAGAGGCGTGCGGGGTGGGAACCGGGTTCAGGGGATCTCCACCCGCAACCTTGTCGGTATCCTGGGGCCTCCAAACAACGTGGTACAGCTCAACCATGTCCTCATTGTACATGAGGGGACCGCTGACGTGCCAGATCTTGATGCCGTTATCGACACGGAGACGCGGAGAGGTGGTGGCCGTTATGATATAACGACTATCGGGGCTCCACGTGCAAACACTGGGATTGCCACTCTCGATGGTATGCAGCTTACGGAAGTCCTTCTCAAGGTCGTACACGTCGATCTGGCCTGCTAGATTACCGAAGCCAGCAACAAGGGCAAAACGTCCAGTGGGCGAGAAGATGATGGTGTTGCGAGGGCCCAAGGGGAACGAGTGCGTCGCGACGGCTCGGTGGTTGAAGATGGTGGTCTTGGCAGGCATATATCCGTAGACGACGCCAAACTCTTTGGAGTTCGGAGACCAGGTCACATCGTGAATGGGACCCTCCTTGTCGAGACTCACACGGGCGTCAAAAGAGCCGTTGACGCTCAACAGGTAGAGCGTGGTCTCGCCGTAGTAGCTCTTGTTGGACTTGTCGACGTCGGTCTGGGCCAGCACGAGAATACTGGTACCCAGTTTGTTCCACTTAAGCTGGACCTTGTCGCCCTTGAAAAAAGTCTTTTGAGAAATGGGCGATGTGAACTGAGGCACGTTGTAGACCTTGACGGCGGCGGGTTGTCCCTGGCATGTAAACATTAGCAAGTGAATTTCAGGATCCGGCGGCGGCGTTCTCGTCACCAACCTTGCGTTCGGGGATGAAGACTGCGACAGAATGAGAGCGACCGGGTGCCAGGGCAAAGTCGGCAACGCCCTCTACTCTCAGCTTGTTCCAGACGGTGCCCAGGTCATGACTCTCGTAGAACTGGACTTCGTTGGTGACTTGGCGGGCACAGAACTTCTCGTCGGCCGTGTACTGAAGATTCCAGCCTCCCTGAGACTTCTGGACGTACTTGCCCAGGGGCAGCTTGTCGGCGCCGGCAAGACCCTCCTCGACGGTGCGCCAGACCTTCAGGTTCTTGGTCGCATCTCCATTCTCGTCCTTGCCAGGGCGCTCCCAGGTGACGAGGAAGGTGCCGAGGGGTGAGAAGCCGAGCTCATAAACATTGAGGATGGGGAGGGCAAGAACCTGCTGGCCGTTGGATGCGTCGACAACCGTAACAACTTCGGGGCTCGCCCAGGCAAAGTAGCGACCACAGGGCGAGTATGCACAACACCGGAGGTTCCCTTCGGGCTTGGCGAACCCAGCGAGAGGCTGGTAGGTCGGGGCAGCATCAAACAGGCCGATGCCCTTCTGGGTTCGGTAGGCAAACTGCAATTGTGAGGACGCCATGACTAGTCAAAGTCACAGTGTGTATCGTATCGAGAGCAGGTGTGCCGATGGGGAAGGATGACGTTCTTGGGGTAAGATTGATGGTTCTTCTTCAATGGGATCAGAAATCTGAGGTAGTTGTCGTCGTCGTCGTCGTCGAGATCGAAGTCGTCGAGGCGGGACAGACAGCAGATTGGAATGGCTCGGAGCTTGATGCAAGGCCGCTGCGTTAAGGCGAGCAAAAGACGTGGGAATATCCACGGGAGAGGGTTATTCCGGGCAAAGTCCTTATTCTTACAGCAAAGAAAGCCTTGTTTGTTGATCTGCTTCGGCGTCGTCGGTCGAAGGGAACAAGAGGTATTTGATTGATTGATGTTCTGACGTCGGGTGCAATACTGTAGAATATACGGCGGTGCAGGATTGAGCGTCGGTCGGGTCGGCTTTGAAGCTTGTCGGCGGACGGATGACGTGTGAATGGGTGGTCGACAGCTGTCGGGGCAATCTTAATTTCAGAGATGGGGTTCGAAACCGAGATGCGGACAGACACACCACGTACAGTCAACAAGGACGACGGACGAGGGGAACGACGACAGTTCAAGGGAAGCTGAGCCGTTGGGCTATAGGGGAGACCCAAGGAAGAAAACTAGGGAAGAACGCGAGGAGGAAAGAAAGGGAATGGGAGGAGAGGCACCCTGAAGGGGAGGGGGGGGTTGACGTGCAACGGTGCGTGTTGTTGTGTGGGCTGGAGGAGAGAAGGGGAAGGGAAGAGAAGGGGAAGTGGGATTTTGTGAATATTTTTTTTTTCCCACTCTTGTCTGGCTTCTGCCAGCTAGTCCCGTCCCGTCAGACGTCGCCTCTGCGCTCCAGGTTCGGCTCGCCTTGGCTGTGACTGGCACACCCTGGCCACTTTTTTTTCTTCCCTACCCGAGCTCACGCCTCACTCTAATACAGGGCACTGGGAGCCTTGAAGCAGCGTTGAGATTCAGGTCCCTTTGCTTTATGGCCTTGGGCACAGCGCACCAAGTACGTACCTTGGACCAACTTACTCAGGGAGAATGTGACTTGCTTATGTAATGTACTGATGAACCCGCGCACCTCACCTCGCGATTTCCCAGTGTTCTGTGCAATGTTATGCAGAAGCCAATCGCCGCCACACCTAGGATATTAGGGGAACATGGGGAATTGAATAGTCGTGTTTCTTCGTACAAGACGTTTCAACGTAGCAAATAGTGATAAAATAAGTCTACCAAAGTAAGTAACTTGAAGCGATGTATCCAAGACGTCTCGTCTCGTCTCCCTTAGTCAGCTATGTTTATGTCCGTCTATCCTGAGATGCAACCAATCACATATTTTCCATCCGCTTATGGCGCAAACAGAGACAGGCAGGCGCCCTCCCGCCACCCCTGGGCCCTGCACCCGCACAGCGGACCACTCGCCTTGTAGGTGAGACTGAGACCTCCAATTGCTGTCGCGTTGCTGTATCAATTCTGCATCGTCAGGAAGGCGTGTCTTACTCCCGGCTTCTGCATAGCCTCCATTGGGGTCAGTTAGTCGTCTATGTCATCACCACCTTGCTTGGTGTTTCCCGTCACCACGGCCACGACGACAAATTTCAAGAGTTCCGCAACGCAACAAATGAGGGCTGGACTTCTATTGATTTATACCAACATCTTTCCTGACCTGTTCCTCTCGTTTTGTCACTCTCCATTGCTTCTTTCTCACACATATCCCGCCCTCTCCTCAATGCTTCGGCTGTGGAGATCCCTCTCAGGTGGCGGCTCGTTCCATCCCAGCTACTACTATTCGTTGCCAAGATTGCCTATCTCCGATGAACAGAACGGCGACGCCAGAACATCCATAGCCGTAGCTTCGGTCCTATCGCGGATGGCAGAGCATCGAGCCCTGTTACACGCTACCATACTGATTAGTAGCATCCACGATGATATCTTTCAACCTCCCCCGCCGAAGTGCCTTGTTTTGACCACCCTCGTCCGCCACGTCGACTGGCCGCGACGATGCTGCCAGCAAGACGACGCCAGGTATTGGATACGTCTGTAATTGACAATCGGGCTGGAGTTTTCCGTCTAGAGCACCACTGCTAGGATGGCTCTAGGTGGTCGTGTCGTGCTTCTTGATAGGCTAGGCCATGTGAGCTACTGTGCTCTTGTACCGACACAAAGGATAGGAATGGTCTCATGGCCGGCGATTGAGCTTGAAAGGACTGCTTCGCCTGACAATAGGCAGCAGAGTCAGACGGTTCTGGCCGTGGTCTCCCACTTCTGAGTCCACCAGCTCCCCCAGGTGAGGGGTGAGGTGCGATGCCGACACCGCTGCGAGCTCGACGTCGTAATCCAATTTCTTGAGCTCGCCATTCTCTGACTCGAGCGTGGCATCAATACCGCCGACCGAGTCACATTTTTGCTCCTCCTCGGTTCCCCTAGAAGCCGGCATCCTACACCCATGTGCTTGACCCCAAGATGACAAGGCATCGGAACACCTTTTCGATGTTTCCCTCCACCATCGCGACAGTCCATGAGGCTCCTTGGGCGCCAAAGCCCTTCTAGCGGCACGCTCTTCTAGAACATGATTTATCGAGGGAAAGCAAGCGCAAACTATACCAATGCCGAGCTCTCCGGCCCTGTTGTATTGCGGTCAGTCAAAGTTGGCAGGCTGGCAGGCGGCAGCTCGCAACCCAGAGCCCAGAGGCTTACTTACACTGTCCAGTCGAGCGGCACAAAGTCCATGGTTGGATCCTTCGTGTTATCGTATTTGTTCACCAGGTATAACCTGTAGATCGTCACCGCAACACCCACGCCGCCGGTGCCCAAAAGGCCCACAATCTTGATCTTCTTGAGTGTTGAAACTCTCAGCCTTGACGCCAAAACCATGGGAACGGTCAGGATGATGAGGTCGGAGAATGCTGATAACGAGCTATCGTACAGGAAGAGTTTTGTCTGGTCGATGCATTTGAAGTTGGGGATTGACTGGTCCCAAAACGACTGCACAGGAATGCATACGCAAGCCTTTGCGATTTCTGCCGGGATAAAGCAAATCAGGAAAAAGACCGGGAGAAGGTGCAGTATTCTGGCTACAGTCGCATCGACGGAGAAGACGCGCACGGTGAGGAGAAGGATAGAGGTCTTGGTGAAGAACGCTGCCGGCGAATACAACAAGGAGCTGATATACATCCACTGCAGTTGGTCGTGTCAGTGAGAACGTCTTTTGGCGGCTTCTCAGTGCCAAGATACCTGCTGAAGGTGTTCGAATTCACTCTTGGTGAGCTCCCAGATGTGGTATCCTAAACCGTAATGAATCTCTGTTTACGCCGTTAGTGGCCATCCATTCTGCCCCCTCCGGACTGGACACGCACTCATAAGAACGGCCGAGTTCATGATTACGGTGAAGACCTGGACAGATCAGAATCCGATGTAAAATTCAGATGCCAGCATTGGAGCTTACCCATCCAATCAGACAACTCCCTGTTCCTCATGTCAGTCCAAACGATATCAGGGCAGAACGTGTACGCCAGAACCCACAATCTTCTAATCGAAATTTCCCGTTCACCGACCACTTCACATAGATGCGTAAGGCGAAGAAGAATACCACGATGGCCTGAATAAAGCTCGTGAACACAATGTGGGAAGTGTGCCCGACGTCTCGCGGATTATCGAAGTCGGGCGTCACCCCGGGAGGCGGCGGGGCCGCACCGGTCGGACCTGTGGAGTTGGTCATCACTGCGAATTCCGGTCCATGACGACGAGCTGGCGTTACACATCGGCGTGTTCTTAGGAGTGGGGGCGGTTCAAGCGGCGATGTTACACATCATCGGGAAATACCAGAAGCAAAGGACGAACGATTCCCACTCGCAATCTGGCCGCGGGATCCGGGGGAATAAAGAAGGACAACGGAGGACCGTCCTCCTCGTCGCCACGTTCCCAGAAGGATGAGTACCTGTTTGACATGGTTATGCCGGCCAGCATTAGGTTTCGACAAGTTGGTGATGGTACAGACAAGGAATAATATGCGAGAAGCACGAGTAAGCTCCACGGAAAGGGTCCAGAGCTCAACCTCTGTTCGGTCGAGGAGGGGTCTGGACCCAATGAAGGCGTCCTAGAAGTCGTCTGGAAATGGCATCGGAAGGTGTGATTGGATTATGTTGAATATACACGGAATTGACTCGTCTCATAGTTTGCACGGGTGGGTGTGTTCCCTGAGTCAACGTAGAAAGGTCTTGGAACAATCACAAACTTTATCTACGGATGGGCTTGGTGTCGGCCAGGAATGTACAGGCAGGCATTGTCATATTAACCAGTTGGCTACCGGAAAATCGACTGATTATTGGCTGATGGACAGAGCTACTGCGTAGTACTGTAGGTTTGACCGAGTGGAAGAGAAGGGGAGGTTCAACGGGCTCTGTGAAACTCTTATACGCCCGAGCCATTTTTACAAACTGGCAGCCGAGTCGGTCGCATCGAAACGAGCCCAGCAGCATGGTTCGACACGATGCCAAGACGGTACAGTGAAGGCTACGGCGACTGCCGCCGGCTCGCTTCGGTCCAGGAGCAGTCGGAGGGGAAGCTATTGCGAAACACGCAACCCCCCCCCCCCTTACGAGCAACGCCTTATCGTTAATACGCTTAAACAAACCGCCTTGGAGGCTTGGCATATGTATTAATACTGCCCGCTCTCTCTTGTCTCAAAAGAGGCTACAGGTAAGACTCGTCGCCGTGTCAAGCCATTGGCAAAAGATCTGGCTGCCCATTCCGTCCACCCACCACCCCAGATCCATTTCGAGATTTCTTGACTGAAAGTGTGGCGGCACCACGTGCAACCGGGACAAAATCTCCGTCGCGTAACGAGCCGATGCAGGGTGGTTCGGGACGGCACAATTAGGCGTCGCCCCCGCGTTTCTCCCAGAGGCCCTTTCAAAGGTCGAAGTCTGCTCGTTGCGGCCGTTCCAGCGGTGTCACATAAGAACCCGGCCGACAGGGCCCAAGGTTTAATCAGGACGGCAGCAAGGGGATTGGTAGGTAAATATGGTTTTGTTCTAGTTAAGGTCCGCTGTGCGGGGCGGGATGGGCTTGTGGAGGCCGGTACGGGTGGGGTGGGGTGGGTATCGGGACGGCGGAGACCCTGCGACCGAGCCGGGATGCTCGTATTGGCGCGTGAAAAAGCAGCAGAAGAAGCAGAAGAAGAAGGAAAAGGAAAAAAACCCCGGCGTATTACGTCCAGTGGACGCCCGCGGGCAGTTTCGGGGAGCGGGCCGCTGCCCCATTGAATTTCCCCAACGGGAAAGTAAGCAGAGTCAGGACAGCTTAGCGTTTCGATCAGGTTAAAGGCTGTTACAATAGCGCCGGAAGGTCATGGAGTCTAGATTCCTAAGGATACCTTGGGTATACATATCAGCAATCATACTTGCGGCCGACATGGCCTAGCGTCCTTCTCGTTCCTTCCCGAGTCTAATGGCTGTTGGATCGGTTGTTGAAGGATCAACTTCGAGCTTGCAGATATGCCCTCCTCCAAACAGTGTGCGTATGCCATTGGTGTAGAGGCCATACGAGCTTCTATAACCTTCCTCGCCTCCGAGAACTTCTGCGAGAAGCAGCACGACAGGCTCGGCTTGGGCCCTAAAAGAGGCATTGACCGCGCTCGAGCCCGTCCGGTCGGCCCAGATAACGTGACCCGGAGCCGCCCCCAGGGAGTTCTCTTTGCGCTGTCGAGGGCCCGGCGCCGGCCCAGGAGGGATTGCGGGATCCCAGAAGGAGTGTAAAGGGCGGGGGAGTTGTGTTGTAAGAGCGCGAACCCCTCCCGCCTGCCCGCTTTTATGGGTAGCACGGGGTAAAAACGGCAGAGATAGACTTGGGCCGGGCGCACGACGTCGCAAAACTTTTTGGCCCGGCCCAACGTCGAGCCTAGGGGTTGCAAAGCCAAAACGGCCGAAGACGCCGCTGTTGCTTGGCTTCTACTGATTCATTCAGCCTAACCGTCTTGTTCTCCTGGCGCCGGCTTTAGCCTTTACAGTTTGGAGGCTTGTGTTGGACGGCCAACCTTTCCTCTCCTTAGCACAAGTCATAGTCTCGTATTTGTGGTGCCGTTGTTGATCTCTCTGCCAGGAGCACTAGCCCTGGAAGCTTTCTCCCGCAGACGCAGAGTCGGGGGACAATAACTTTCCCATTTCCTACCTGCCTGACCACTGCTCCCTCCAGCCGCCCTTCTCAAACAACCATAGTGCCTCCGTCGCGTACGCGCGGCTTCCCCTGTGGCCTCCCTCGACAATTGCCGCCTCTGATAGGCTTTCCAACACCCGACCTTCCTGAATACTGCTCCAGATGCCCCTCGCTAGACTATCCTCCTCGCCGTTGCCCCATTCGCCTTTCCCCAGCCTATACAGAATCCGCCCCAGCGTCTGGAAAGCGATACAACGCTGCGCAGGGACGGCACTCCGCGCGTAGATGGAAAGCTCCTCGATCGTATATCCCGCCGCCTCTGGCGCCTGGCCGTGGTGATGCAGTCCCTTGGACACGGGAATCGCTCTGCTGAGCTTGGGGGGGATTAGGCCGCCCTTGAAGTCGAACCGCAGCGCCGAGATGGGCAGCGAGGGCTGGCCCGGGTAGTATGGGGATTCGCGATCGGCTGGGCTGTGTGCGGTGGGGATGGGCGCCATCCAGGCTAGCTTACTCGGGTCGGCGGGCAGGTTCGGGAAGAACTTCTCGTGGAGAGTTGCGAGGAAGTCCGGGTGGGAGGGATCGAGATCGGGGAGAGCGGGTGGCTGAGGGAAGTGCGTCTTGTCGGGCTGAGAATTGAGCGGGAAGAGGCCTTCCGGAGGCGCGGATGGGGGCTTGTCTTCGTCTACGGGGGGCGGCGGTGATGGCCCCGAGTCTTCTACTTTAGCGAAAGAGACGGATTTTGGAGCAGAAGTTGAAGTTGTTTGAGGTCGGGGTTGAGCTTTCGGTGGCGTGGACGTGTCTTCGATTTTGATCTCTGGCGCTGGAGTCACCGGCTCTTTGGCTGTGGCATTTTTCGTAGCGGGCGGATCGAAGGGATTCGGACCATGTTGCTCGTCGATATTGGCCCTGCCAAGGAGGCGTTGAATGAGCGACGGGTCGAGTGAGTCCATCAGCTCCTTCCTCTCCCTCGCAATGTCCTCCGGGCTCATGTCCTCCAACTTCTGCCTGTTCTCGCGATCGATCCGGCGGCGTTCGGCGGCCTCGAAGGATTCCTGTGAGTCGCTTCCGCCATTGTCCTCTGCCTGTGTAGAGAGGGAGCTCTTCGCCTTGGCGGTATCGGCGCCGGTCACGGGCTTGCCTTGTCGCTGTTGCTTAAAGGCAGACACGCGAGTGCGTTTCTTGTGTGCGGGGAAGCCGGTAGGGGAGGCGTCGATGTCCTCAAAAGCGACCGGAGGTTTAGAGGGGGGCGTCTCTTTTTCGACGATGTCGCCGACCAACATTAAAGGATTCATTATTATGACTACTGCTGCTGACGACGTGGTGGCTACAGTTGGTAAAGAGCGAAGTTTAACGTTTTGAAGTGATCACCATTCTGATAGTGAGGATTCCCTTTTTTTCTCTCTTTTTCTTTTTTTTTTTTGTTGGTGCAAGGGCGACGGTCTGAGAGTGACGTACCCTCCCCCGCTTATCTTATCATTTCTTCTCCATTTGGCTGCCTTATCTCACCTACACCCCTAGGCTGAGCTGGTTAGAGTCCCCCTGCCTGAAACTTCCTTGTCTTTTTTTCGGAACTGCCCGTGCGGTACCCGACACCAGCTCTTATTTTCAGATGGGAGGGACATCGGGGGAACCGGGGTTATCTCGCCAATAGGATTACTCGCGTTGAGGATCGAAATCGCGGCAGGTCGGAATCTCAGGGTTCGACGATTGTGTGGGACTCAAACGCTTTTTATTTAGTTCACCTAAGAGAGTGTATTCCTCTTTGCAAAATAGGAGGAGTGGATGAGCCACGAACGCCTGGGCCGGACGGGCTGCGCTAGTAGAAGAGGCTCCGAGTGCGTTGGTCTCCCTCTCTCATCCTAAATCCCGAAAATGCGCCGTTTTTAGAGTTGTGGCTGATGATCGGGCACTGCGCCACATCATCTTTCTGCATTAGCGCCGATCGTTCTCGCCTAATTCCAGAAAGGTCTAGATGGGGTCGCCCTGTGTTTCCGCCTTAAACTGACACTGTATCTGGTGGTCAAGCAGATGAAACTGGCTGTATTCTGTTTGGATTGGAAGTGCCAACGATGCATCAGCTGCGCAGAAGCCGGAGCGGCGTCTAGCTTTGCAACAGTTTTGTTTTTCTGCCGAGTTTGTAATAGATTGTGTCTCCCAGGCAAAAAACTGACTTAACTAATCGGGATAGAGACCTCGGCTGAAGACATCCAGGACGAGGGTGTGCCCTCACCATCATCCAATTGTCGTTTGTGTCTCGCCGATGGAAAGGAATGTTGGTACGGATAAAAGAAAGGATTATGCACGCTCTTTTGCATGTGTGGCGTGTCGCAGATTCTGCAACATGTCTTTCCGCACCGGGCCACTAGCAGCATCTGCGTAGACTACTACCCGCAAAGACCTACGTCCGTCTGTACTCAATGGAGGGGGAAGCGCTGGCACCTTCACCTGCAGAGTTAGTAAAGAGACTAAAGGCAGGAGCTTGTCGCGCATCAATTGACCAAGTGTTGTCATTTCATCAACAAGAGACTCATCGTCGAAACCTACAGTACCTTTATCTTTGGCGATCTTCAACGCAAAATCATGCAGAAAGGGGATGGAAACATGCGTTGTGGCATAGGTCTTCTCTTCCCCCGGCGGCGGGGGCGGGAGACAGAGACAGAGACAGAGAGAGAGAGAAAGGGAGATCTGGAGCGGTTGCATGTGCCCCGGCCGTCAATTGCGATCCCCCGTTTCCTGGCCGCATCCCTGGCTCTTCTTCCCAAGTCCCTCTTGTTCCTCTGCGGTGGATTTGCACAAGATCCTTGCAGCAGACGCGGTTATCTGGGACACTAGAGCGAATACGGAAGCCGGACGTGGTTCAACGTCAGACGCGTAGGATCCATAAAACATCCACCTTAAACGTCGTATCACACTGTCATTGGCGGGAAAGCCAGGTTGGCACCTCTTTGTTGTACCCGGTACCTGCGCCCGGACCCATGTTTCTCTTTTTTCCCTGCTAAGGTGGGTGACCTTAGCTCCGACCGATGAGCCTGTACCACCACCCGGCTACCTGCACACTGTTCCCCTTTCCTGTTGCTTGTCGCTGGGTAATTAATTCGACGACCCCTTCTTTTCCTTCCTTTCCCCACGGCTCGGCTCCTGCTCCTCTCTCCCCCCCCCCCCTCCTGGTGCGGCTGCACACACCTCTGGGCTGCACTAGGTACCGTCGACCGTCTGCCACGCCCTCGCGTCCTGTAGCGCCGCTTGCCCCACTTTCTAATTGACATTACCGCATCCATCATCCATCTGGTACAACATTGAACGACTTCACTCTTCGCAGACCAGACACAGCAAGGCATGTCCCACCTACCTACCCTGCGGTGCTGTTGATAGTGGATGCCTTTGCCCTTCCACAAAGTTACCTGACGAGGAGTTGCTCGCATTGGGTTGGCCTCCACCATGCTTCTTCGCCCTGCAGTGCGGTCGGTCTGTCTCGCCCGGATGGCCTGGTCCGTGTGGTGGTTAAATGTTGACACATGATGACCTTGTCTTTTTGCTGTCGGCCATCACGACTGTCAGCTCCAAGAGAGGTCATGAGGAGAGGAGAAGCGGAAAAGCCGCCTCAGTCCGTTGTTCTTGTTGCTGCTGGTGCTGGAAGGGGGGGCGTGTCCCCATTCCTACCTCCTAATGTTCTCTCGGCTGAAAGTGAGGTCGGGTTCGTTGCCATACTACCCTATCCCGTCATCCCGTCGTCCATCTCGTCGTCTTTTCTTTTGGGTCTGGCCCACGTTGGAGGTTTTACGCATTTCGCTATGCCGCTCCAGCCTTGATTCCTTGTAACGAACCCTCGCCCGCCATTTGCTTCCGTCTTCCTCTCTCTCTCTCTCTCCCTGGACGGCCCATTCACGAGGTTCCTTCACTTCTTCGTCTTGGTGTTTCCCCCCTTCCTGCCTCCACTGCCATTGCCTGCTTGCTGCTCCTGCCGCCGCTGGCCCCCCTCCCCCTCCTCCGGTCGTCCACTCTTTCCATGGTGTTGCCATTCCCATTCCCCTTCCCCTTCCCTTTTACGTCCCTTTCCTCCTGCTACTGCTCCCATTCCCATTCATTCCCAGTTCGCTCTTTCCTTTCCGATCTTGGCCTGTCGGGACTTGACCGCCCACCCCATCCCTCATTCCTATTCACCCCCATTGTTTCCTTCCGTCGCCTTTCCCTTCACCCACCCCCCGTCCACGTTCCTCGTGGTCCCGGTCCTGAGGCCATCTGATCCCATCGACGTGACCCCCAGCCTAGTCCGAATCTCTAATTCGGCTTTAATAATAAAATTTCCCTTGCCATTCACGCCTGCTGAGGCCATCCGCGTCTGCTCGGTGCCCCGTTTTTCTCGTCTTGCGCAGCAGCCAAATGTCGGCCCAAAAAACAATTGCTGTTCCCCCCCCCAAAACGTAGCCATCCCCATCTCCTCTTCCGATCCTCCATTTCCCTCCTCCTTTTTCCTTTTCACAACTACCACGACACCGCAAATCCGACTGCAGATACTGTCAATCCATCAAATCCGGCATCGCCGCCCATCGTCGACGTTCTGAAAAGACCATAATTTTGTTCAGCTCATTCACCTGCACCCTTTGAACGTCTTCAATCGTCGCTTTCTCTCGCCTGTTGACCTTTTTTCGTCGGTCAAAGGTGTCAACTGTCGTCAAAAAACACGACTTCCGAAACTCCTTTGAGGTTATTCACGAGTTCCCACCTACGACTCCGCACGGCTACACCGCAGCTGACCACTGCTCAATTGGTGCAGCCTCCTGCCTTAGCCAACCCAGTCCACCTTACATAATTCCACCCTGTTCCCCCAACCTATCCCATAATCCGGCCAATCCAACGCTACAAAACCCAAACGCAACACGACGCGAACCCACCCCCTGTCGGAGCAAAAAGTGAGGTCATTCAGGACAGCCTACCGAAGCAAGCCGTGGGATACCCAGAGTTAAACCACCCTCCGATGCACTGCAACTGCTGCGGGCTGCATTAGGATTTAGCTCGTCCAGGTTGCACCTGAGTCTTTTTTTTTCTTTTTCTTTTTTTCTCTTTCTATTTCTCCCAGTCATATTTTCCTGGTGCAACCTTCCCTGCCACTCCAGTTTCCGAGACTTCTTTCGGCGCGGTGTTTATTGGTGGTGGAGGATAGCCAGCTATGCGCGACAGCCCCTCGCCAGAACTATCATCACCACCTTCCGGCTCCGTCTCAGAACCTGGCTCGCCTTTAATCAGTCGGCCGAATAACAACATGGATATGGACGAGATTGTCGTCGACCCTTCCCAACCCCGCTTCGGCGTCCTGACAGGAAACGAGCAGCCCCAACCGGAAGTTCGCCTGACCGCTGCTGGTTTGCCGCGTAAGAAGCCCGGTCGCAAGCCTGGTTCTACCGTTAAGCCCAGAAACCCCGATGAGCCGCCCAAGGTGCGTCGGCCGCGAAAGCCTAGAGACCCAAATGCGCCGCCCATTCAGAGGAAGAGGAAATCGGCACCGGCCCAAGATGCCGATGTAGGCTCAGATTCCAAGTCTCTCGCCGCTGCAGCTGCCTCTTCTTCTACGCCACCCCCTTCTCGACAGACCAAGATTACAGATATAGTCCGTGTCAGCTCCGATTCCCGACCTGGCTCTGCCCAGCCCGAACACACAGCGCAGAAGGCGCCCAAACGAGAGGAACTACCCCGTTCGATGCAGAGCATTCTTAATGCCGAACCAGAGCCGGAGTCGAAGCCACAAAGCGCAGCTCTGCCGACGCGTACCAGCGGGCATTACGACCCTATCCGTGGTAGCTACGATCCCGTAAGAGGAATCTTTGGCAACGCGTCATCGCCGAGACCCGCAACTCAAACCGTCAATCGACCCAGCGCGTCACCTTCAATTGCCAGTCTTGTCGACCCACCCGCACAGAGCGTCACGTCGCCGTCAACCCAGGCTTTCGGCGCCTCAACCCAGTCCCGATTACAGGAGAACGCAACTGTCTCTGAATCGCCATCATACCCCCTTAGATCAGTACCTCAGCCTATCTCGAAGCCAACTGCTCCCGAGCCGAAGAAGCCGCTCGCTCCCCCGCCGGTGCCCGCCTCCAAGGCGGACGCCAAGTCCAAAGATGCAGCCTCTACTGCTGGCTCCATCGCAAGCAAGAAGCCATCGCCCAAGCAGAAGCCTCAGAGGTCCGGGATCTCGTCGCCAAAGATAAGTGCACTGGACGATCCTCGTGGTGATCCCCTTTCAGACCGATCCATTCTCGATTTTGGCAGAGCCGAAAACGGAAAGGAATACAAGGCGCCGGACATCGTCCTCGACATCCCTATCAAACCGGGCGACACCAACATATACGTGAACGTGATGCGCATGGCCGAAGAGAAGTACGGCTGGGATGCTCTGCATCCACGTCTGGCTGAAAAGCGGGATCGCAAGGCGCGTATCGCTGCCGCCTCTGCTGCCTTGGAGAAGACGGCGTCGGGCCAAGAATCGGGCGACGAGATGTCCGAGGATTCAGACAAGGAGGCCAGTAATGTGGAGATGGGCGGTATGACAAGCGGTGCCGACGTCCCTGAGAAGCCCAAGAAGAAGAAGCGCAATTTCAAGGAAGACGAGTACGACAAGGACGATGATTTTGTCGATGATTCTGAGCTCCTGTGGGAGCAGCAGGCAGCCGCCAGCAGAGATGGCTTCTTCGTGTACTCTGGACCGCTGGTGCCGGAGGTGGAGAAGCCCGCAGATACTAGGTATGTTGCAGTTGCATCGTGTCGTTCACTGGAACGGTTGGCTAATGTTTACAAGACCCGATGGATTACCCAAACGTGGCCGTGGCAGCAGAGGCGGTCGCATCGGCGGCCGTGGTGGCACTACTCGCGGCGAAGGCGGCACCGGCCGAGGTGGAGGCCCAGGCTCCAGAGGTGGCCGTGGATCCCGAGGCGGTTCGCTTACTCGCAAGCCGCGGATCACCAAGTCGGAGAAGGAGCAGCTCGAGCGCGAGAAAGCCGAACGCCAGCGACAGGCAGAGCTGAGCGCCAAGTCTACAAACGGCTATTCGCTTCAGCCCCAGACACCTTCCTTTGCGGCAGGAATGGCTGGAGCGTAGGATACTTCTACGTCCCATCGCTGGAACTGGAAGATGTGAGATTAAGCCTTGCAGCGTCACGAGGAGAACGATTCTAAAAGGCGTTGTTTGCTATTGAGCAAGACATGCAACGAACAAGAATCGACAAATAGAGGAGCGTCTCTGGAACTTGCTGTTACAGCGATCATAGAGAAGACTCTGGTGAAGAACTACGGTCTCTGAACAAGAAGTTTGGAGCAGGCGTTAACGTGTCGATACCCGTTTTCTTGGTGATTGACTTTACTGGCTGGTTTAACATAGCTAGTTGGCTGGACGGTACTGCTTCGTGGGCGGAAAGGAGTGGCATGGGACACCAGCTGAACGGCGTTCGGATTCGGCGGACTAATTGTTGGACGAAACGGGACAACGGTCGGATGAGTCCACAGGGAGACCACCACTGACAGGAGTTTTGCGGCTGCGCGATAGATTATGTAAATTGTTGCTGACTTGAAGTTGAATTGTATTTTTTTTTTAGAATGTTTCTCTTAGCGAGGCTTGCTCCCAAAACAAAGCATCATCAACAAAATGTACCTATGATTGCCAAGTGTACCACCATCTAATTGTTACTGATAATGTGAGCGTATGTTTCATGTCGGACCAACCCTGGCCACTGGTTGATGATGGCAACGTGGGTCTGGACTCTGGACCCTTTGGAGCTGAGTGGGAAAAAATGCATGCTTGTATCGAGGCGCCATGTCATTGCGGGGTGGCTCAAAGTCACACCGCCCCGTGTAATGGGTGGGATTTGGGTGGCAGAAAGTTGCCAAGATTTCGTATAAGCGATTTCTCCACAGTCCAAAAAATTTCGATTCGAAAATTCGCAGCAAACCCGCTCGCAAATCGCCGCTGATATCCAAGCTCACTTTGTTCACCGAGTTTGCATGAACCCGCCTAGTCGTCGACCTTTTTGTTCCCTCGCGGCAACACCCCAACAAACCCTTACGGCGGCTTGCAACCCGAACCCGGACTTTCTCCCCTCCCAAAGCAAAGCAACTATTTTTTGCAACAAAGGAAACACAAGGGGAAGAAATGGCGGATTCTACATTACAGGTTCGTTATATCCGTGCCCCGCCGCTTACAAGAAAGAAGGGAAAAAAAGCTGTTGGCGGCAGTGATGATCGTGTGATGTCCACAGCAAGGTAGGGCGGCATTGACAACCGTACAGGACCGCCTGCGCGAGCACTCAAAGGCCTTTGATGGTCTTTTGTCCCTTATTCCGGCCAAGATGTACTATGGAGAAGACAACTCTGTACGTTTGCCCTGCCCGAGCCTCAATCCCTCCATGCCCTGCAAGCGATTGCGTGGCGACCAACGGCCTTCCCCAGCCCGCCGCGATGATCGCGCCTTTTCTCAAAGGCCTGTTCCTTACTCCGGCTTGTTATGCACCCGGCCTTAGAGGGAGCACATTTGCTTACGCAGATATCTTTCTCTCAGGACCAATGGAAGAAGAAGAAGCAGACAAAGGCCGAGGCGAAGGCGGCCAAGATCTCTAAGCTAGACCCCGACAGCGAGCTGAACCGCAACGCAAAGGAGGTCATGGACGAGCGCGCGGCACGCAACAAGCGCAAGCTGCAGCAGATGCAAGAGGAGGAGGACAAGGAAGAGGCCGCCGGCGATGACGAAGACCTCCCTGGTGTGCAGAGGGAGCTGCCCGGTCAAGGCCTTCGCAACAAGGACTACAAGAAGCAGAAGACTGCCGATCCTCTCGACACGGTCGAAGACGTCAACCCAGCCGAGATGTCGCAAAACCAGCTGATGAGAATGGCGAGGAAGGAGGCCAAGAAGGAGAAGCGCGCGGAGAAGAAGGCAAAGAAGGCCGAGAAGAAGGCCGCCAAGGTGGAGGCCGGCGACGATGCCGCAGACGACGCCGCCACCGTCCAAGTGCCCGAGGCCAAGACCTCCAACAAGCCGGCGGAGACCAAGGCCGCAAAGTCGCCCGCCGCCGCCAAGAAAGAACCCAAGAAGCAACAGAAGAAGGTCGAGTCGAAGGACGCAGAGCCCGTCAGCAACGACCACGATAGGGACGAAAACGACAGCAATGATGAGGAGTACGAGACCGTCGACGAGGGGTCCGATGCCGAGGGCCAAGTCGCGACGGCGGACCTCAACCCTCTCGACCTCTCCGGTCTCAAGGCTGCCGAGTCCAGCGGCGCCTCAAGCCCGACCTCAACACCTAACTCCACCTTTGACGCCGCCCCCGGTGCGAACCCCACCTCGGCCGAGGCCGCGAGCGCCACCACCTCAACAAGCTCCACGGTCCCGCCCTCCGAGAAGCCGAAGCACATTAAGCTCCCCGCCGACACCTCTGCCCTCCGTGCCCGGCTCGCGGCGCGGATAGAAGCCCTCCGCGCGGCCCGCAAGGCCGACGGCCCCGACGGCAAGCCCATCCGCACGCGCCAGGAACTCATCGAAGCGCGCCGCGCCAAGCAGGCGCAGCGCAAGGAGCACAAGAAGGAACTCCGCGCCAAGGCGCGACTCGAGGAGGAGGCCAAGCGCGAGGAGGCCCTGGCGTCCAACTCGCCCAGCGTTATGTCCCCGCGCGTCGGCCTCGGCGACGACGACGACGAGCCGGCCAACTTCGCCTTCGGCCGCGTCGCCTTCGACGACGGCACCAAGCTCTCGCACGACCTGACGTACGCCCTCAGCACGCACAAGAAGCGCGGGCCGTCGGACCCCAAGACGGCCCTCCTCAAGATCCAGAACCAGAAGAAGCGGCTCGCGGCGCTCGACAAGGAGAAGCAGGCTGAAATCGCCGAGAAGGAGCAGTGGCTGACGGCTCGGAAGCGGGCCGAGGGCGAACGCATCCGCGATGACGAGCACGCGCTCAAGAAGGCCGTCAAGCGCAAGGACCAGGCCAAGAAGAAGAGCGAGAAGGCGTGGAAGGAGCGCAGCGAGGGCGTCGCCAAGTCCATCCGCGACCGGCAGAAGAAGCGCGAGGAGAACATCAAGAAGCGCAAGGACGACAAGCTCGCGCACAAGCTCGGCCGCAAGAGCGGCAAGAAGGTTGGCGGCGGCGCCAAGAAGGCGCGTCCCGGGTTCGAGGGGAGCTTCGGCGGCGGCAAGAAGAAGAAATAAGCCTTGGTCACGTACATACACTGCCTCCGTCCGGCCTTGAGCGAAGCACCCTTTCTTATTTGCGAGGGCCAGAAGACTTTGCCAAAGGTGGACGCGAGACACGAAGGCTTAATCGAGATTAGCAGCAACAGGAGGAGGAGGAGGAGAAAAGGGTCTTTTGAGGAAGGAAAAAACCGATGGCGGCAATTGCATCAGCACCATTATCATTGTCATCTGCTACGGATGGGAAAACCGGCGTTTATGGGAAAGGTGGCAAACCACTGTACTTCTTTTTTTATTCACATCTTCCTTTCTTCTCTTCTCGCACAACCAAAACGGGGTGGGAAGACGGGGGACGACGGCGTAGGAGGGGAACCCATGAATACATATTTCAATCGTTCTAGCCATGGCCTGAACTCGCCTCGCCTTCTTGGTTCCCTAGCTTTCCGCGGTCATCAGGTCTCCGTAGTGGGCTGGCCACCAAAGCGCCCCCCCCCCCCCCCCCCCCCTGACGCTGACGGGAAACAAGCAGATACATCGTGTATTCATCACGACACATCTGGCGCCTCTATGACAACCAGACATAGCTTAGGGGACAGGGGTGGATGGCCACATGTTTTCCGAGTGCTCGCCAATGCCGTTCAATGTCCCCCCCCCCCCCCCCATCTCAACAATGTGAAGCGCGGGAGCAAAAAAGGGGCCGTAAATCGAACCCTCGCAGATAACAACATGTCGCACTCTCTTGCTTTCCTTGGACTGCATTTTTGATGGCGGATGGCGATGTGTTTGTTGTAAGTGTTGCATTAAAAACGATCGCTTACGGTGGGAAACAAATAAAGGTAGCTGAAACCCCCAACCAACTACACGCGCGTGTATATATTTTCGCCGTCCCATCATGCGTCCGTCCATTCCCTCTTCCTTTCGGAGATCCCCTTGTCCCCGCGAGGCAAAGGAGGAATGCGGTGCCCTTTCATAATGCTTCACCCTCCGGTTTAACCTAAAGATCCTGCCACCGTTTCCCTCCCAATTACATGTTGCAAATTGTTTTGGTATCCGGAGAACAGAAGAAAGATAATATCCTCCCCCCCTCCTTTTTCTCTATTGGTCATTTCTCGTGAGGGTTCGACCACGGTATAGGTTGGGAGAGCTCAATGCTGGGTGTTTTGATGAGTGTCGTCTAGGTTGTTGAAGAGGATGGGGAAAAGAGGGGATGGGTTCCCAGAAATCGCTCAGGCCGCCGCAGCAAGACCCTCCATCGAAGGCCAAAGAGGCGTGTAATCAGAATCAAAGGTCGGTGTGTTTACAAGAGTGAGTCTAGGCGGGTGAAGACACTCAGACAGGCGGCGACAACTTCGAGTTGCAGCTCCTTGTCCTTCCCGTTGCTGATTTCCTGCGGGGGTTGTCAGATGGGACATTGGCCGGCGCGGGACACGGGATTCACATACCTCTGCGATGGCTTGGGGAAGATTAGCGCCGATACCGTTGCCGGTGGCCTTCTTTCCGAATGGCCACTGGCTGTAGTCGGCGAGGAGCTCATCCGTCTGGGCAAAGGCACGTTCGCGGGCCTCATGGCCGAGGGTGCTGAGGGCATTCTCAAGCACGTTGGCAGCATAGGCGGCGCAAACCATGGCGATGGTGCGCACGTAGCGGAACTCGAGGTTTTCGGGCAAGAACTGGGAAGCGGGAAGAACGACAGTACGCTGGGTCAGAACGTTACGGACGCGGCGGCGGATCTCCTCCTTGGCCCCTCCGTCGGCGACAGGGTGGGTAGCCATGTCGAAAAGCAGGAAGTTGCGCTTCTCGGTGCGAAGGATGCCCTTGTCGACGAGGCCCTTGGCCAGGCGCTCACGGACCTGTTTTAATTGGTATCCGATCTTCATCAAGTTCCAGGTCTCTCCTGTCGTTGGGGTACGGTCGTCAGCGGATGCTCTGAAAGCGCGAACTGGACAGCGTGGCGGGCGATCCAAGGGAGAAAAAGAGGGAGGAAGGTTTACCGCTCATCAAGTCGATCCAAGAGCTGACGCTCATCTTCTCGCTCTGCTTCATCATCTTCAACGCCTCGTCGAGGAGCACCTCGCCCGTCAGGGTCTCGTCAATGACTTCGATGACGCGGTCTGCGAGAGGGAAACGCCTTCTCGAGGCATCCTTCTGCATGCTGATGCGGCCTCGGAAAGCGAGCTCGATGACAATGCATCCGCGGAGGGCGTATGAGATGTTGTCGTTCCAGAAAGATAGGTAACCCTGCACAGGGCAACAAAGTCAATTAGCGACCTGGCTTCAATTGTGGGCAACCGTGTAGAGGGCTGGATGTCGTGGGCGTACCTGCTTGTCCTTGAGACCGAGCAGCAGAACTTCCTCCATCAAGGTCAGCTTGGGTTGTTTGCTGCGCTCGGCGCTCTCGCTGATGTCGCGGGGGTCAAAGGCAATCTTGTGACCATTCTCGCCGCTCTCGTAGCTCGTCTCGGGGGCGCTGTCCTTATTGAAGTTGCTCGTGGAGTTGGTCCGGCTGGCGCCGTTGCTGGTCTCGCCATCGCCGGCCGTGGCGCCTCCACCTCGGCGTCTGGTAAGGCCTCCTGCCGGTGCTGACATTGTTTCAGATGTTGGGGAGGTGTCGTGGAGATGTCGTCAATGGACAAAGGAAGGTAGGGCTGCTGGCTCGGGGATGGTCCAGAGACTTGGGGAAAGAAAGCTCGGGGGGTTCAAGCGGTGGTCGCGGATCAGATAGACGTTCGGCACTGGTGACAGATTGCGCGAGCGGTCACGGGGTGAAAAGGAGATGATGCGGTGCAAAGCAATAATTGTTGCAAAGGTCGCGTTTACGTTGTAGGGCAGCGGGTTATCGGTCGTGATGTCGAAAGGCTTCTGTCTCTGTCGCTGTTTTCTCTTTCACTCACTCTCCCTAGGGAGCTGCTGCTGCTGCTGCTGCTGCGCTGGCTAAATTGGGCTGAGGTGCGTACTCGTTGGTTGTTATGTGTCAGAGCCAGGGTAAGTACCTCTCTAGTGGCTGAATACGGAGGGATGCCAGACCAATTCCTGCCGATGGAGGTGGGCAATGTGGTGGATGGAAGAGCAGGTTTGTCGTAAGGGAGATATAGCGCTCTTCTGTCGTGTGCCCTTTGCTGCTATCTCCCCAATGGCCTGTTGGTTTGCTAGGTTTGTTCTCTTCCGGTCCATTAATGGAATTTCTCGCAGCCTAGAAATTGCACCGCCTCAGCTCCCGTGCACGGGCCATGCTCGCTCGTCTGTTGAGCTGAGCTTTTGTGGCGCGCCCAGGAGGCTTACAGGCTCCACTTTACAGGCGGCCCTGCAAGCGCGATACGATAAGATGCATGCAAAACTGTCACTTCAATGGAACAAGGGGATGGATGGATGGATGGACCTCCTCCGCCCCCCCCCCCGTGCTTGAAAGGCCTGGACCAAGCTGACGAGACGGCGACATTCGGTGTGCTTGCGCTAGCCGCCTTCTTTTTCCAATCGGGGGTAGGTATCATAGATGCAATGCATTGGCTATTGCATGCTGCCTCCCAGGCCTTTTATCAATCGCTGTCGACTTCGGCGCGCAGAATCCCGCCGACGGTCTTGACTCAAAACCCCAAAGTTAGCTTCGCAAACTCTCTCCACGTCTGTCGATTATCCGTTTCACCTCGCGAAATCTGTTATTCCGTCGCAGTGCACTCACTTATCGACGTCTCGTGTGAACACGTGTCCACCAACTTTCAAACGAGACCCTGTCTTAGTCAAATAGCCCACACCGCGAAACCCAGCCTTGCGTCGGCGACTTAATATTGTGCCACGCCCTTAGGTCTAGAAAACAGCAACGGTTGATGATTTCTGGCAAATTATCAGTCGATTTGGATTGACAGTCGGGCATCGCCACATACCCCATAGGTTCCTGTTTCAATCCACACCAGGAGCGGCTATAGTTGGCATCTGGATTGCAATCTGCGCGCATTGCCCAGCTGCACCGAACAGTACCAAGACAATTTGACGAGCTATGAATTGGCTGTCTGCCAATCGGCTGCATAGCACGTCTCAGATGACCTTTCCAAGCCGTAGCTAGGTACTCTGATACTGTGTCCGCGCAGTTCGGGCCACTACTGGGTTCTGAAACACGCCGTACCGCCGTATGTGGGGGCCGATCCCGATCCAAGCCGGAACGGCCATCGGAGCTTCCTTTTGTGGGTCCATATTCCGTCCTCCGACCCGACACTCCAAGCAGCATAGAGACCGGAATTCCAATGCCAAAGCCGCGCCCATCATCTCTTGCCGCATGTAAGAGTATATCGGGCACGCTGAACGCTTGATCTTATCCCTTTACCTGGCTCTCATGCGGCAGGATCGCCCCGCCGATATAACAGACCATTGTTGCTTGCCCCTCTTTCCACTGTTATATTGGCCTATCCATCTTTCAAATGCCACATGTACCGAACTCCACCAACCAATCTTAAACACCTTCAACGGCGATGACCTCCGCACAGCCAAGCGTGCCATTAATCGTCACAAGTAGCCGCTCAACAATTTGCAAAAGTGGATGGTCATAAGACATATCCAGAGAATATAAGACAGAGCCCCGAATATGCCCCCCTCCCCGACGGTTGTCCCTTGGCTGGTCAGCGCAGTCTAGCCCTGCCACAGCCTCAACCGTTCAATATTCTCACCAGACTGAGAGATGTGCCTACAGACTCTTAGCTTTATTTTCGGATGTATAATATACACAACCAACTTTCTCTCATTGTACCCCGATTCAATTCGCCAGTCCTTCACGCTTTGATTCTGTCCAACTGTGATACAACTGAGTCAAGATATTGGGTTCCAAGGTTAGCGTGTCTTCTTCTGACGAGCTATGTACTCCGGCTTCAAAGTAATTGTAACCGTAGGATACGCTGCGGACCTGCTTGAGAGCGACTGGTCGATATTTCCCCTCCACTTCACTCGATCTGGAAATAGCAGAATCCGAACCCTCCCGCTTTTTTTGCGCGCAGGAACCCCGCGTCGGCATACACTGTATATTCATCAGCTCTTCTAGGAACGGTAGAAGTAATTAGCACATCACACTCCGGAGGTCCTCTTGATAGCGATTCCAGTAGCCCATTTTCACCTCGGCCCGGAATATAGACACGAATACAAATCTGGCCTGACCTCTACTGATCTCTTAGAGGCTTCTGCCCAGTTTTCAACAACGCTCTCAAGCTGGCCAAATTGAAGAGGCCTCTTCCTACTATTAAGAGGACGAGGGGTGAAGCCGAGCAGATGGGGGTGTCGGCTTTCACGAAGCAACTTCTAATACCAGATAAGTGAGCTAATATCTATGCGACAGTTCATTGCGCCGCAATGAGTACCAGCTTCTAAAAACCGTGATAGAAGTTGCATCACCCAACGAAGATATCGTTCGCCTCAAACGTAGATGTCAAGATCGAGCTTAGCAGCCCAAGAGTCATCTCATCTACTGCCAAACGCGGAAGAAAGCAAACTAGCAAATCACGAGAGAATGGCGTTATGCCTCATGCTCGTGCCGGCAGTCCAGTAAGGCGTCTTGTCCACATATACGGTACCATTCAACCCCTGGGCTCTATCAAGACTAGAGATGGATTCAACATACAACCTCCCATTGGCTCAGCTATAGAGGCCTCAATCCTTGCGGGCATGCAAGACTCTCCGTGGATATGGCCGCCGGGCCGCATCCTCGCCATCTCAAGTCCTCATTCCAAATCCCCCTCAAAGACTCAATCACCTGAGTTCATCTTCTTCACGCGTAAAAGTTCAACGCCCAAAAACTCGCTCATGAGGGTAAATCCTTGGTCCGCGTTTCAAGACGAGTCGCCGGTGACCATTGCGCCGGCACCCTCGTGAAGCGCGAGCCTCAGCCCGCCGAAGGGTACTCTCCAATAGGCTGTAACACTATACATAGAGAGCCATGTTCCTGAAGCATTTATGCCCGGTGGCAAGCTGGCTCCAAGCCTGGGGCTTCAAAGCGCCTCAGCCGGGAGAGCTGGATTACCTGCAGGGCCCAAGTCTGGCCTAATCCACGTGCTCATAGGCATCACAATGGTTACCGCTCTGAGCTGAAATAAAGATACTGTGCCTCTTGGCTCTTGGGAGTAAAAAGAGTACTTTACAGAGGAACAGGAGGGTATTGCTACTACTATTTTCCACACTTTCTTTTACCTCGTACCCGTACCCCATTAATGCTGAGCCTGCTTCATGCGACGATCCTTGACCTGTCAACACACCCGTTCCTCTCTCTAGGCCATGGCCGATCACTAGTCAGCACCCTTGGACTGGAGGCATGCTTCTGGTGTCTCACCACACTGCAAGATTTGATTCGACACAAGGGCAAGCTGCTCTATTACCCATCTACGACCTTTGGCCTTCAATGTGCATGGCCGTTAGCCCCCACTCCCTTTCCTCGCCTTTACACATGGTCACAATCCTCGTCATATCTGCTCACCAAAACATCACGAGGGCCGCCAAAGCGCGTTCGGATTTATCATCTTGAATTGACTCTGCCTTGGAAAGGCCTACAAACACACATACGCCAAAGTAGCCAGAAGCCCAACACACACCGTCTATCAATATCGATCTCCAAGCGCATCGCATCATCAATGAACATAAAGGGGAAAAACATACCACACCCTTCCTACCAGAATCCTTGACGTATGCGATGGGGCGTAGCTAGCGAAATAACCATGCCGCCGTAAAAGATGTAGTAGGGAGGGAATACAATTCCACCCATACCCTAGCCGAGGTGCCGTAGCTCTTTCTTGGTTCCGTACCGCAATGACAACAGCAAAATGAATGAGGGTAACCACCCTTTCCCTAACTTCTTGAACGTTCTTCGCCTGTTTCATACTAAGGGCGGCTTGCATTGTTGCATTATAAAAGAAAAAAAAAAGGGTTGAAAAACAGAAGCGGCATTAATCAAAAAAAGAACAAAAGTTTACCCTTTCCGCCTCAGTCCAAGACGGAGATTTTCCGCTTTGCAGTGCCACCGAAGGGCCGAATCTCGGATAAGACAATGGAATAGGCAGACGGCCAGACACTGAGCCAGCAGTAACGCCCATGGGGTCACACAAGCTCGCTCCCATCCTTCCAACATCGAAATGACAAAAATAAGACGCTCCCGTTTTCTGAAGGAGGCCCGACCTTCCCGCCCTGACTAACCGCCAGTCAATGGCTTTTGGGTATCCCAATATCCTTAGTAAAGGTCATGCCGGAATGTCTGATTCGGTCTGCACGACATGCCGTCTTTCCCTTGCCTGAGACCAAACGATGATCCAACCTCAACGCCGGGGGGTGTGCGAAAATGAAAAAAAGGGTAGAAAACGTATATCAAAGTGGTGTATGATAACAGGTAACGTTTGGGGTTATGTGAATACAAGGTAATGAAAGCAGTGTAAATGACTGCCAAGTAATGAAACCTGCAGTAGAGGTTTGTGTGGGGCATCCCTGAGGGTAGCGGAAGGGCGGCAACCCCCAATCGTTGCAGCAAGGCCCATATTCCTCACGCGACAGTATCGCCAGCTGGGCCTCAGAACGACATGTGTGCAGCAGGAGTATGCACAGAATGCAGGTGCCATGAACTCTGTGTTCATCTCTCGATGCTCTCTGGGCTCATCATCCCCATAGGCTCGTCCTTGTCAGTCTGGCTAGCGTTGCCCTGACTCTGCATACTCTCGTGCCGCTCCATGCTGGGGGGCAATACAATCGCTGACGGGTTACCCCCGCCATTGATGTTGGCGTGCTTTACCTTCTTCGCCGGTGTGGTCTCGCCCTTCTTCTCCGGAGAGGTATTGGCACCCTTGTCACCTGCCTGCGCCGCCAGCTCCATCTTCTTTTTCTTCTTGGCGAGCGCGATCTGTTCTTTGGGCGGCCGCTTCTGCGGTGAGACGATCTTTCCGGATGCCCCAAGACGGGGCCTAGGACGCCTTTGCTTGACAGGAAGCTCTTCATCCTCAACCAGGGGGGCATCACCATTAGCGTGGAGCTTGGCGAGAAAGAAATTCTTGACCAGACCAATTTGGTCGTGAATGTTATCCTTCGTGAGAGGCTCAACGGGCGGCAGCGAGTCGAAGAGGTCGGTAACTTCGGCGCCAACGGCCTGGGTCTGCATCTGGTATTGGCTGCGGACACGAGACTGAAGTAAGTGAAGAGGGACTGAAAGCATATCAAGACCCATCTCCTTGTCCAGGCCGAGAGCCTTGAAGCCGAAGAAATCTTCTCCAAGATCCTCTGCGAAGTCTCCGCTGACGAATTGCTCGCTGCCGTCCTTGAAGGCACCGACACCATCTTGCCCGGCCTCCTGGGTGAGAGCAGGGCGAAGAAGCTCGGTAAGGTGGAGCTTCATACGCTCATGGATGCCGCTGAGCTTCGAACTGAGTCGGTCGGTTTCGTCCTTGGCGTAGGATTCCAGACTCAACAAGTCGCAGCCGTTCTCGTCTAGAGTGTGCAGGATGACCTCTTCTGGGGTGAATCGCGGCTGAAATCGGGCGGCTCCTTCGATGCGGGAGTTGGTAGCCTCGATCTTCTCGGCTTCGCGGTAGATGTTGAATGTCTTGATGATCTTTTCAAAGTAGTCAGACGCGATGCTGGTTAGGGTGTCAATGGCCGACGGCTGAAGTTCCTCAAAACCGGTGTGGTAAAGGATCTTGGCAACGGAGCGTTGCAAAGCGCTACGGCAAGTCTCTGGTGCAATTACAGGCCCAGTATCGGCGATGAAAGAGGGCTCGGCATCCTGCTCGATGAAAGACTCGTAGTTGGATTTGGGAAACTGATTGTTGTAGACCTAGAAGGTGGGTTAGATGGTTTGGTTGCTCCTTGGCAACGGCGTGCATACCTGAGTCTGGATCTGCATCTGCTTGATCACGCCGATCTTGCTCGACAGTTTCCTGGTCTCCTGGATTTGCCGGATGTTGTTGTCGATCTTGCTGGTCAACTTACTCTTAGGCGCAGTGAAGTGGCCCTCGGGAATCATTTGGAGATATTCCTCGTGCTGATTGATGACTTGACCCTCGCCGTCCTCGACCCACTGGAGCTTCGGCTGAATATCCGGGATCATGGTCAGAGGCTCGTAATATGCAGGCACGTTCTTTTCCTCTTCTCCCTCCATGCCTTCCGCAAGGGTCTCGGCTGGTTTGGCAGCCTCCTTCGCCGCAACAGCAGAGGAATCGGCTTGAGAATGACCAATAACGCCAAGGCTTTCGGCCTCCTTTTGTCCTCTCAAGTACCACCGAATCCCGGCCTTATTCCTGAGCAGGGCGGGTGCATCAGTGTTGAGCTTGTTGTCCTTGAACATCAGATGGCGTTCCTTGGCGATCAGCGCCCGGTCCTTCTTGGTGACTTGCTTCCAGATCTTATACTCGTCATCCTCGTAGGCTTGTTCTACCGCCTCGTTAAGAGCTTGTCCCAATGCCATGCCGTTCAGTGTCGGCCCGTCAATGTCCATGGCGTCTGCATTGCTCCCGATACCAGAATGCCCGTTGAGGCCACCGGGGGTAGCCGAGCCCGCAATTGGGGTGCCGAATCCGCTCCCGTCAACGGCCTCAGAGCCTTCTCGGCCCTTGGCCAAGATACCGTTGAGATGCAGGACCGGCTTCTGGTCGACGCCCGGGGTGCCCTCCTTCTGATCCGCGGGTTGTTTCCGAGACTTGGCACCCTTGGTTCCAGCGGTACGGCCGCGAGACGACATGATTGGCTCGTCATCCGAGTCGTCGCCGCCATCCTCTTCACCACCATTCTGTTTACGGCGTTCTTCGGCCTCGACTTCGGCTCGCGGGCGGATGACGAGGTCCGGGATGAGGGGGATAAGCTTCTCGGCTTCCTTACGCATGCCATTGGCCATCCTTCGGAGAGGGTGGCCCATGTCTTGGTTGTATCGCAGGCAGTTGTCCCATATCAGGTTTAGGTCGGTGACGAATTCCGCCTTGGATTTGTAGGTGAGGGATTTGAGTTTCTTTGTCATGGACCCCATATCCATAGGCTGCTTGATGACTGCATTGTGCCGAAGGTTGTTAGCCAACCGGGATCCAACTCGTCTGCCTGGAGACAACTTACGATTATAATAGTCGGGCGCGTCGCGCTTGTTGACTCTTTGCAAGAAGGGTGTCGAGTATTCCGTATGTGCCTTCAATTCCGTCAAGACTTTTTCGAGAGCCTCGTACAGCTCTTCCTGGTTGACGTTCTCCTCGCTGGCCCATTTGCTCCGGTTCTTTCGCACTTCGTTCATGAGCGACCGCAGCTCAGCATCCGAGGCGCGAACCTGGTCACGCTTCATGTCGATCCTCGCAATCAGGTGCTTGAGGGTAAGGCTCGACGCGCCGAGGTTGGCGCTGCTGAGCGATCCGTGGTTCTCGGTTTGGGCGCCGTGCGCGGCGTTGTTATTATTGTGTTCCATTTCGGCCTGTAACTGCTTCTCCGACTCTTCCAGCTGCTGCTGCTCGAGCATAGCTGTCCGGTCGTTCTCGAGGGTGTAAAATATAGTATGGAAGCTCCGCCGCGCCGCTTCTTCGGTCGCGTTGCGCGCCTCCTCGAGCTGTTTGCGCGCATCCTCGCTCGTCTTGGCCAGGTCCTGGAGCCCATCGGCCTGCTTGAGTTTCTCAAGCTGTTTGCCGGGCGAGCTGACGGAGTGCACGGGCGAACTGCCGGACTTGGAAGGGGAGAGGAGGGAACCGGCGCCAGCGGCCGCGGTGCCGCTCCCAGCCTTGCCGGGGTCGGCGGGTGTCGCGTCTTCTTCATCTTCATCGTCGTCATCGCCGTAGTCGTCTTCGTCGATGACCCGTTTGGCCTTCTTTAATGGAGGCTCCTGGATCGGCGCATGGTCGGTGGTAGGGGGTAAGATTGAGGGGGAGGGGGCGGAGGGGCGGCGCAGTGCATCGATGGCGGAGTAGTTGTATGATCCATCATCGGCGAATAGCAGCGCGATCTTTGCCTCGCTCTTGTGATAGAGGTCCTTGAACAAGGCGCGTCGTCGCTCGTCTTCAATATCAGGCGGTGCCTCAGGCATCAACGCCATCGAGTGGTCGATGGGGGTTCCGTTGCGGGCAGGACCATCGTCAAGTTGATGGAACAGGCGGCTGGAGGGTTGATGATGGAGAGACGGCGGCTGCCATGCGTGTTGGCCATTGGGGAGGGACATTTTGTGCCCGGATTGATGATAGCGACAAGCGGGCGTCGTGTCGCCATGCGCAAGGAAATGCGCTCGTCAGGGACCGAGTCCGGGCGGCAAAGGGTCGTTACGAGCGCATCAGTAGAAAGAGCGGCATCGATAGAGATGACGGACAAGCTTTGGAGGCGCGGGAGGTTGCGGTTGTTGTGTATTGATGGATTGAAAAAGGGGGCTTTATGCGTGGTTCCAAGAGGTGAGGTTGAGGATTGGGAGAGGCTCGTACCAGTGTACGCGATGGAACTTTTCCCTTGCCTGAACACGGCGAATAGGCCGCTGGGAGCGGTACACAGGACTTTGAGAGGCAACGAGATGTGCCGCCCCAGGCACTCCACGTGCCTTCAAAAGCACCGGAAATCAACAAATAAGACTTTAAAGGAGACAATCCACCGATCAACCTATTTTTCAGACCCAGAAACCAGGTGCACTGAGGTGATGATGGGTGTCGCGGTTGCGGGATGCAGGTACAGGAACATCCAATACCGATGACCGCGCGAGCGGCTATGCCACCGTAATTCCCCCCTAGGGGGGGGGAGTCCAGCGATCGGATCGCGTGAGGCTCTGTCACGTGATGAGTACAGCCAGCCAGTCGCAGTGCGCAACGGGGGCCACGCAGGCAAGCCTCGCGAGGTCAGCACCCTGCGGTCAGAACCTCTATGTTTATGCCAGGAAGTCCTGTTACGCTGTGCATACTATGTACATATATTTAGATAGTGATGCAGATTGAGATAAGAGTTCGTGATTTTATCAGCAATCTTCAGCAATTACCGATGCAGCAACCACACGAGATCTCAATTCATAACAACACACTCATCGCCGATCCTCTCATTGCGACCACACGCTCATAGCCGCATCCGCGCGCGCATCGCGTCTCCCCCCAGATATCGCACGTCGCGCGCCTCCAGGCCCCCCTCAGTGGCCCACGGGATCCTCCGCCCGGGCCACCGCGAACCTGACCAGTCCAGCTTAAGGCAACCCCCCCAAAAAATCCTCGGGGGGCCACCCCTGCCTCCCTCGTCGGCCCGGGGTCGGGCGCCACCGCCGCGCATCTCTTTCGTCAGTGGGCTGAGGAACTCCATTCGCAAGCACAAAAAAGGTTCAGTTGTCTGGGAGCTTCGGCCAGCTAGACAAACGCCTCGCCTACACCCTCGTCTGTGACGACCCCATTACTCAATAACCCCGGCCCTTTTCTCGCTCCATCTCGAGCAAACACGCATCTGGCCTCTTTCCCATCATGTCAGCTCTGTAGCCAAGCTGCTCGACCCCGATCACTGCATCCAAATTCTCCAAGACCATAAGATCAGCTACCTCCAGCGCTACAGCAACCCGACCCTACCAATCATACTCGCATCTTCTGCAAGAGCTGCAGGACGCTTTCAAAATGCGGATACGCTTGCCCTTTGCAGGTGCGTGAAAAGCTTCAACTGGCCCGGATCTGGGTCATCCATCGATCCTCGCAGCTCCGGGTCAAGGCATAGCTCCGGTCCCAGTTCCCCAAACAGCTTCTCGGGATGTATAAACCGCTAGTCCTGGCTAACCTCCTGTCCTCCCAGGTGTCTTCTTCGTCCTCCTCCTCATCGCAGGCTACGCCGGCCTGACCTCCCTCCAACTCGGTCAATATGTAAACGACAAAGTCCTCCACTTCGGCACCTTCTTCCTCCTCACGATCGTCTTCTACTGGATCCTCGACACCAACCGCCGCCGCACCCTCAACCTTACGCTCACTATCTGCACCTTCGTACTCGGCGTTGGCTCTGAGTTCTTGCAAGGATTCCTGCCCAACGGCCGCGAATTCGACTTCTACGATATTGTCGCCAACATCATCGGCTCGCTCGCCGGGTTGGGACTCTGCTCGTGGTACCACAAGCGCATGCTCGAACGCAAGCGCCGTGCCAAGACATACCAGGCTGTTCCTGGCGAAGACGATGCGGACGTGGAACTCGGCGAGGGACACGAGACGGGGGTTGTCGAGTCAAGCGGTACGAGAGACGGTTCTGGTGGGGTTGATGCCGGCGGAAGGTCGCTTGAGCAGGAAGTGGAAAACTGGGATGAGAACCAGGTGGACGATTGGGATGAGGACGATGCTGACGGTGACATTGGCGGAGTCAAAGGGAAGGATATCGACACGGGTGGCATTGGCAACTCGAAGAAGCGAGCCGACTAAGGCCCTGCTGCACGGTGGAAGGAAATGGAATGTGCGACATGATGGATGAGCATTGAGTTATGATTTCGGCGTTTGGGAGGCCCTTATCCTAGTAGCGTATTTGTTGTGATAGGGAAAAAAGTGTCTCTAGTATTTTATCTCCTGATCAAGTTTTGGAATCCGTTCATCCAAGTAACACCATGACACAACAAGTGACAATTTACGAACAGGCCCATCTTTCTCTGTCAGTATTTTTTAGAAGATCAGACAAACCCTCCAAGGGAACGACCCCGGATTTTCCTCGGTCATGTTTTGCCGGGGGAACCCCAGATTCGCACGCATGCAGCCGCTCTACCACCCAAAGCCCTCGTTGTGCCACACCACCTCGCGGCCCCTCATGACCCACGCGCCGACATACTTGCGCACCTCCCGCCCCATCGCTGAAGGCCCGCACACGAGCACGGCGACCCTCTCCTCGGCGCCCTTCCTGAAGACGTCGTCAATAATCTTACACAGGTCTGGACGCCTGCGGTATTGCTGGCTCGTAAGGCGGTTCCGACTGGGGCCGTGCGATGAAATGGCGCTCATCTCCATCTCTCCCTCAGGGTTTGTCTCAGCGGGGAGGCCGGCCATGGGGCCCGTGGCGTCCGAGTTGAGGGCGTCGCCAGTGTAGTAAATTTGGACGTTGGGGTCATCGAGGACGCTCTTGGTGGACTTGTCGGCTGACATGGCCCAGGTCACGTCGCCCGCACTGCGGACGGACCAGACGAAGTCGACCTTGGTGTTGGGATTGTCCTGGAGGATGGCCTGGTAGATGGGGATAGTGAATGTTGCACCTACCCCGCCGGCTACGAGCAGGACGCGGTCGACGGAGGAGCTGATGAGCTTGTCAAAGTGAAGAGATGCGGCGCCGTAGGGGCCCTCGATGCATAGCGGAACTTTGCTGTCGTGGGTGCCAGTGCCCGCGTTGGCGAAGCGGCCGAGATGTTTTGTCAAAGGCCCGTCGAGTTCGCGGGCTACCAGGGTGAGGTTGCCGGCCGTTTCGTCGACGGAAGCCACGGTGAAGGGGTTGAAGAGGAACTCGAATAGCATGGCCTTTGAGGATATAGGACCGGCGCCGGGCCGCGCTGCGGGAGGAACGCTGAGATAGATGTGGGAACCCGGACGGGCGCAAAAAGCATTGGCCTTGTCCCGGGGAATTGAGGCCGAAATTTTGACCAAGTTCGTTCCGGGGACGGTCTCAAGCTTAGAGGGTGCCGTGACCGTGCGAAGACGGCGGACAATAATGTCGATGAGGAGGACGACGACGGCCTTGGCCATGAAGAGACGGGCTGACTTGGCGTGGAAGAAGACGAGCGGCGGGATGGCGAAGGCGCCTACAAGATGGGTCACAAAGAAGATTCGGTAGGAATACCTACGGACTGCGGCGGCGGCGGTTGAGGTCATCATGTTCATGGTTGCAAAGGCGACGACGCCGGCGAAGACAATGGGCGCGAAGAGGCGCTTTTGAACGAGGCCCTTTGCAACGAAGAAGTTCAGGTAGAACATGACGTGCAACACGAGAAGGGAGAGCGTCACGCGGGAGAGGACGCGGTGCCACTTATTGAGCTCCTCGTGCGATGTGCCGAAAACTTTGGCGATGGGGCTGAAGCTCTTCAACGCCAGGAGATACTGGAATGGAATCTGGGAGACGGCAATGATGCCGAAACGCTTGGTGATATGGAGGTAGTCTGGAGTCGGTCAGAGGTAGTTCAATTGGGCACCTCGAGTGTGCAATGATCTCATCCAGTCCAGTTCGGCAACTCATTGAACGGCCAGCTAAGGCACATGGCTGAATGGCGGCCGTGCTGATACTCCATCGAGGGGATTCCCAACATGACTTACCATCGCCCGTCTCCAACACACTCAGAACAAGTAGCCAGGAGGCCCAAGCCAAACCAAAGACCCACTGGTCTTTCTGTCCCCAGTGCTGACCCATGAAGTAGACATCATCGTCCAGCCACCACTTGCCCTTCCGGATTTTGGCCTCCAAGTTGCCGCTCCAGCTCTGTCTCCTCTCTTTCAAGACAGGCGAGATGGGGACGGCGTCGTAGGCGGCACTCCTCTGCCAGCGTTGTCGGAGATATGATCCAAGGCGGACGAGCAAGGCTAGGACGATCGGTGCCAAGGCCGAGTAATGAGCATAGGCGCCATAGCGGTCTAGTGTTTCTCTGCGAAGCTGGACCTCTTCAGTTGAAAGGTCTATGAAACGGTAGGGCCAACCCATGGCTGGCGATCTATTGGACAATGAGGGGAGATGGAGAATTGAGATGGAGAAGGGAGGTCATGAGAGAAGCTCGGCACTATACGAGAGCAAACGAAATCAGCCTGCAAACAGACAGTCTGTAGCGGCCCGCAGGGTTCGGACGGAGACCGGTGCAGTAGAGAGGAAAAAGGGGACGGGGTCCAGCCAAAGTTCACCATCTACCTTCTTCGTCTCAGGTATTAATGTCCGAGCGGAGGATTTAATATTTGCTTTGTCTAGAACTATAGGAAGGCGCGTGTTCCAGCTGCCTGCCGCAATTGCCGGCCGCAGGAACTGCATGGTAATCCTCTTTCTGATTGGCCCAAAACTACCGAGTTAGTTTAGATAACCCCCGGACTACCCTTTTCGGTGGGCTTACCTACCTATATACCTAGCTAGCACCTAGCTAGGTACCTACCTTCCTGCCTGCGTACGGATACGGGTAACTGTACCAGGTAGCTAGCCGGTGGAGAAACGTCCCTAACGGCAGGGGAAACCTCGCGGGAGACCTAGGGGCTAGTCAGGAAGGCGCCCGGGATGAGCATTAACAAAGATTTGGCGTTCTTGACCTTGATACGCAATTTCCTTCCTTCTCTGGTGGAGACATCACAATGTCTCGATGTTGCCGCCCGCCTCATTTGCCTACTGTGGACTCCAAGGAGCCGCGCCGGTTAAATCACTTGCTTTCTGCTCTCCGGAGGCAATTCTTTCTCACCTCCAGGCTTGGACGCAAAACATCTCGGGTAGGGTAATGGTCGGCTCCCGAGACACACACAACTATCAGCCTGTTCACCCCCTGGAATGTGGCAGTGAGGGGTTCGAAATACGCCTTACTGCATCACAGCTGGGTCCACGACATGATCGGATTGGTTGCCTTCCTTCCATGCAGCCTGACCATGTTGCCAGCCTACGCTGCCTAGATGGCGGAGTCGGTCAAAATGCGGGTGCAATCCGAATTTCAAGATTGAGTCCTTTAATACTCTCGTTTATTCCATGAACAATTCAGTACAGTGAAGCCCCGAACGAGCTCATCGCCATCGTCTTCACTGAAATCACCTGCCATGCACCAAAATCCATGTTCCAACCCTGCATGTACCGATCTCGTCTTTCGCTGCTGGAAGAAAGGTGTGTTTGCACTAACGCCTGCCATCGGCTACACTGACAACCGCCACAGGCGATGGAAACGAATGGGAGACAACCACGAGGACCGCCGGCGACAAAAACCGACGTCTCTTGCCGAATAGCGACTTCAACGTGTGCATTGTGTATGCCGCAGGGACATTACTAGCGTAGACTGGTGCTAACGTGCTCACAGTGAGGCCAAGGCCCAGAAGATCCGTGAGTGTCCAGTCTGCAAACGACACTTTGCGGAAACATTCGCCATCCCAGACCTCTGGTGGAAAAGATATTGCAGAGACTCCAACGGTTATTTTGGCTATCAGACCACCATAGACGACGACGGCAACACGACCGCATTGAGTACGTCGCCCAAAGTCCAGTTCGACGATAACATCCTGTACTTACACAGACAGATACGTGGGCGCGCTTCCCAGTCAAGCTTACCAACAGAGAGCACCCAGGGTACGAATGGTTTAAGCTCAACGTCTTTACACGCTGGCTCCCATCACGGCAGCAGACTATTCTCATCATCTTCGATCTTCGAACGCCCGCGGCGAGCTGCATGACGCGAGTGCCCGAGAGTGAGCTCGACCCCCTGTTCACCATACCAGACCCGAGCTACTTCATCGATCCGTACTGGATATACATCCAGCTCCTGGAGAAGGTCGTCACTATGCAAGACGCCGCTGTGTGGGCAGTACGCGACACGGTCAGAACGACAGAGAAGCAGAGGGACGTGGCGAACTCATCGGGCGAGTCAATATCGAAACCGACAACGGACTACCGCCATTTGCACGAGACCGCGAGGCACGCCATCCACGTCTCGGAAACCCTGGAATTGGGCATCACGGCTGCCAGGAAGATCTTGGCGCAGCACGAGAGTCTCAAAGACGAGTCGGGGACCGGTGCTCGGCAGGAAGCGGCCTGGAATAAGGCCTGGCATCACACCCACCAGCGGTTGCAGTTCTTCGAGGAGATGCTCAACAGTCTCCAGGAGCGGTCGGCTTCCAACAAGGCCCGGCATTTTAACGAGATTTCCCTCGCCTATAATATGGTCGCCCAGTTCGACTCGGGCGTCTCGTTGGCCATTGGCCGTGCGACGCAGCGAGATAGCGAGGCCATGAGGACCATCGCTTTCCTTACGCTCTTGTTCTTGCCGGCAACTTTCGTGTCCGCCGTCTTCAGCACATCCTTTTTTGATTTCGATTCCGAGTCGGGATCGTGGCAGGTTTCAGACCAGTTCTGGGTTTACTGGGTAGTGGCGGTGCCCATCACTGCTGCAACGGCCGCTCTGTGGTACAATCGCCACAGTTTGGCCCTCTTTGGAATCATCGGTTCTATCCAGCAAAACCGGGTTTCTTCGAACGTAGACCCCGATATTGAGAATGAGCCATGGCATTCTTCGGCGCCACCCGTGCTAATTCGGAAGAGAACGGCATGAAACAGGCTGACCTGCTATGCTACAGCAAGATTATGAGGGGGAGGGAGGGGGAAATTTGGGCGGGCGGGCGTTCGAGTGAGTTCTAGATTTGGGTTAACGAATGGAAACCAAAATCCTGCTCCATGTTCTGGTTGCCTCTGGCCTTGTTGTAGCAGCTTCGGTTACTCATTAGTCCGAAAATCATTGATGCGACCAAGCGGTTGCAAGTGCCATGTTGTCCCTGCTGTCAGGATCCCGAACCAGCTTGCTCTTGATCATGGGTGCCTTGGGGTCTCACACCGAATCTCTGATAGCTGCGAATAAAGAGCGATAAAAGAGGGCCAGGCCATGTACCGGGCCACTCTCCATGATTGGTGAATACACCAGAAAATTCTACATTCAGAAGAGGAAGTGCCATGTACAGCATTAAGCACAGGTTTTCCGACAATATCAATCGCATCAAAGTCATCTCACAGAATTCGGTGCTCCAGTGACTTCGGACATGGACACCAGCAAAAGGACCCATAGCAATGCACAGAGTTCCGATGACCAAGATAACATCTCGACGAAGCGAACGAGACTGGACGGCAGTGATCTTAACCAAGCCCCCAGTCGGTGAGAGAAGGAAGCTTGCGATGAATTGACACGCGACGCACACACCGTCAGCTGGATCTGTGCTCTCCCAGTCGAACAGGCCTCGACGAATGCGCTGAAGGCGAGATTAGGGAAATGTTAGCATTCTTCGAGGAGCTTAGAGAGTGTGCTGCTCCGAACAAGGCTCTCTTATACCCTCGCTTCTCCAACCGACCACAGCCTGAAGCAGACATTGGAGGCTCAAGCTGGCCACGCCAAAGACCTGGACGATTATGTGCGTACAAAGCTGAAGAACGAAGATGGGGGCAGCCCCCGAACCATTAAGTTTGTCGAGGAGATTATTCGAAAGGCTTCGGGGTGTTCATGTGGGTTGTCTTGGTCATTGACATTCTCAACAGGGAGTTCAAAAAGGCCGCATGTTCGCAGTGCGGAAACGCCAGGTCACAATACCCGAAAAGCTTAGTGATCTCTTCAGGGACATGATCGTCAGGGACCACGAGAACATGTGTGACTTTCGCCTGTGCATAAAATGCATTATATACAACAGCAGGCCGTTGAAGCGAAAGGAGTACTACTTCGCTATGGTGTCTGGCCGCTGCCCTGAGGGCCTTGAACGCCAGCGCGCTGAGCGTATCTCGGAGGACGCCATGGACAGAATTTGTCTTCGACTCGTCAGAAGGTCTTTCCCAGACGACTGTGATATCCAATACGACGTACATGGAGCCCACAGTTCAATTCATCCATTAATCTGTCCGAGATTTTCTTCTCACAGATGACGATATTCGAGCTACAAGCCATCTGCCCGCAGGCAGCACCCGGCCTCGGGGCAATAGGTCACGAGAAGCTGAAATCATGCTGTGTATCATAAATTAGGGTCGCCGAGCTAGAGTTTTTGCCTATCTTTCAAAACGACCCCGAGCCGCTTCCGAAGGCAAAACAAGAAAAAAGCGGCTTCTACTCTACGACTCAAGAAGAATACCCATTCGTGGAATACACAATCAGTCACTTGTTTCATCATGCTGACTGTGCTGCGGGAAGCATGCCGCAGGTCTACTTCATGAAAGACTTGAGTACTGACAGGGCCGGTTGGATTGTGGTTGAAAACTTGCTTCAGAAGTACGGGACACGTCGACTCCATGAGACTATTAGTCTGTTCTGCATTCTCGCGATTCACAGCTCGGCAGGCCTGATTCAGCAATACTTCCCCCACAACCTCCAAGAAACAGGGGCGGAGCATTACTGTACACCGCTTCATACCGCCATCTCTAAAGATTCAGAAGAAGAAGCTGAAGCAAAATTGTCCTGTCGTGGCAAACATCTGCACGAAATCTTACCTAAGGTGGCGAACGAGGAGGTCAATGTTGATCATCCTGGTAGCAAGGGTCGCACTGCTTTGTTACTCGCGGCCGGAAAGGGGCACGACGGAGACGTCCATCGTGTTTATGGAAGCGAATACGTGCTGCTTCATATTTCAGCACAGAGGGGAAGCCTTCATGTTGCAAGAATACTTCTTGCCAATGGTGCAAGAGTCAACCAGGCTGACCAAAACGGCAGGACACCTCTCCACTATGCCCAATATTTCCATCCTAAGGTAACGAGAGAACTGATCGACAACGGTGCTTATGTGAACTTAAGAGACAACATCGGTGGAACGCCGATCTTATCTCGTATTGACTTGGGGATCAATGAAACATGAGACTCTTACTTGAGAACGGTGCTGAAGGCAGTCACACGGCCAATAAAGGGGAACCTGCATTCCTTGCGGCCATTGCTGCTCTCAAGACCTGCATCATCCGAGGGATTATTGACTATGGGGCTAAGATGGGTATATCGAATATCGTTGGTACAACTGCTTTGAGCAAGTTCCTCAACACCTGGAGAAAAAAAAGTTCTGCTGCCGTGGGAACCTTACCGACGCGATGATCCTGCTCGATGGTGGTGCCAGCGCAGCAGAAAGAGACAATTAGGGTCTGACAATACTTCAAACGATGACCGAATCATCCAACCAAGACAGCTTCCACAGAGGTCTCACTCGAGAAGTTCTCTCATCTGATGCCGACGTCAATGCAAGGGGCAACGAAGGCCGAACGCCGGCCTTGCTTGCCGCAGAACGGAGTGCCTCGTGCCTCGTAAAGATTCTACTGGACCATAGTACAAATCCTGACCTGGGGGACAACCATAGATAAACGACGCTCTGTGAGGCCGTCGATGATGTCTCGCTTTTCATGGATCACGCTTTGTGGACAGTTTCGGCTCTCGTTCGATGTGGCGCTGACCTCGACACCCACTCTCCAGGTGGCTTGAGCATCCGAAATTGGGTCCTTGAGATGCGAGATGAAGCCAAGATTTGGATTTATCAAGTCGCCGATGGAAAAGGCAAAGAGGAGAGGCGGCTAAAAAATCTGTCATTTGGGTTGGTTGATTTTTTGTACAAGGCGCTTATGACTGGACGACATCTCATGTAACCGGACTGCCCCCACTATATGCGCTCGAGATTCTGCGGAAAGCGTCTGGCGTCTTGTTGTAGGTGGTACTGGTCGCTGATGTACTTGGAATACAAAAAAAAAACCACACAGGTTGTCTGTATAACAGTAGAATGTTGGTTACATGGAACCCTAGCCTTTACCATATTCAGGCCAACCTGAACATGCGTTATCTATTCAAATCGTATCTCCAATTAGTTGTGATTAATGCGGACACCCCAAGGTCTCCTGCTTGGAAAAGCGATGACGCCCCCCCCCCCCCCCCCCCCCTATAGCAAGGACGACGTCGCAGAGGTCGGCGCGGACGCCGGCTTCGGCCGGCCAAGCCACTCCGCCACGTCCCGCCCCGCGGCGAAGGTGACACCGCCAAAGTGGAGACGGGCGCTTTCCGTCGGTATCATGGTGACCTTCCGCCGTAGCAGCGCAGCAGCAGAGAGCATTGGAACGACGTTCAGTTCCCGAAACCGAGTCTCCTCGCCCGGCGAGCGAGCGACCGCGTTGAGGGCCAAAGTTTCTCAATCGCCGAGCGCAGGCGCTCCGAACCGCACACCCGACCGCTCAGATAGATCCGCGCCCTTTGGCGCCCTTCACTGAACATACCTTTTACCCCGCCGGCGGCGCAGTCTCCACACGCCCTCCGACCCCGCGCCGGTGCCTTATCGTCCTCTTGTCTATCTCGATATTTACTCATCATCCCCAATCTCTCTCGCGCGCTCTTGACTCAACCCGAACCACCTCTCTTCGTATAGTTTTCCATTGCCTGAGCTGTCTGTCTTATACTATTCCGCCTCTAACCCTAATTAACCGACTAAAAAAACAACACTTCTCGGCAAGGAAGAAGGGGAAAAAAAAAAAAAACACCGCCATAATGCCCGCTATCGAAAAGGTCCTCACCGCCAACGCCCCGCCGCCCCTCCCGCAGTTCTCCCAGGCCATCAAGTACAACGGCATGGTCTACTGCTCCGGCAACATCGGCGTCATCCCCGACAAGCCGGGCATGGTGCAGGCCGAGGGTACCGTCAAGGACCGCACTGTACGTCCTCTTTCCTGTCCCTCCCCCTTTCTCACCCTACGGCCTCTCCTTCTCATCCAACCCCCACCCCCTTTGGATATCATGACATTGTATACATACTGACGCGACTTCGGTTCCCCCCCCCCTTTCAGCGCCAAGCCCTCAAGAATCTCTCCGCCGTCCTCGAAGCCTCGGGGAGCAGCCTCCGCAACGTCGTCAAGGTCAACGTCTACATCACCAAGATGGCCGACTTCGCCACCATGAACGAGGCGTACGACGAGTTCTTCACTTTTGACCCCAAGCCCGTGAGTCGTCTTTTATGCAGCCCCTCCCACGCTCGTCAGTGTGTGGTGGGACCCTCCGCGGGTTTCCGAAAAGCAAACTGACCTTGGGGGCAGGCCCGGACGTGCGTCGCCGTGTACCAGCTTCCACTGGGCACCGATGTCGAGATCGAGTGCACGGCATTCCTCAACAAGCCTGCCGAGAAGCTGTAAGGCTTTTGCCAGATTTCCGAAGGCTTGCTGAGTTACTTGTTTTATTCAAGAGGTCTGAGAGAAAAGTGTCATGTACACCTGTATTTATGTAATCAGCCCCCCCCGGGCACGTAGAGTGGATGGGAGACGACCCGCCTCAAGTGGGCTAAAATAAAAGCATTTGCGAAAGTCTAGAACACCATTTTGCCCACCTTCCTCGTGCAACCGATGCAAGAACCCCCACAGTCCACGTAACGCCGGGTAGTAAATACAAAGAACCCTCCCCACGTCGTGTCTTCGTCAAGCCTCTTTCAACACCTTGGATAGACACCTCATCCGGCGGGCCTCACTGTCGATATCTAGCAAGCTGTGCCATGATGTTCTCGACCTGCGCGGCTGAATCACCTGTGCCGACTGGTGCGGGATGACCACTTGTCGGCGGCGGGCCGTTGGGAGCATAAGCCTGCCCCCCGTACGAGGCAGGCTGAGTCTGTGTCCCAGGCGGTGCCGTCTGCATACCTCCCATGAGGGCCTGGAACTGCGCGTTTGCAGCTCCGGCGGCGCTGTTCGCGGCGGCCGGGCCAGCGCCTTGGGAGCTCATACTAGCCAGCAGCCGCTGGAGGGTCGCATTATCGATGCCGCTCATCAGGCTGGCGAGATCCGCCGGGTTGACGGCTGGCTGCTGAGCGGGAGGCGGACCACGTGGAGGGCCTTGGGATCCAGGGTAGGTAGGCGCGTGAGGCGGTACAGGCTGTCCATACGGCTGGCCGTATCCTTGGTACTGGGGCTGAGGAGGCGGCGCATTTTGATAAGGCGCTGCCGCCGGAACCGCCTGCGACTTGGCTCGGAGGATGAGTTCTGCCGCGATAGGGGGGTCGATGTCACGGTAATCGTCATACCGGGCACTGACGCCGCCTGAGCGGTCAAAGACTCGGATCGGGATCTTGCCGATATTCTGCGCGTGCACGTCGAGGTCCACAATGGCGTGGACGCCCTCAATCACCTGTCTTTGGATGATTGCCTCACGAGGGAAGCTTGGGTGAAGGAACATAACATCCACCTTCAAGCCTCGATCAGTGAAGCCACGCTGAACCCAGGCAATGAAGTCGCGGCTGAGCTCCTGGAGGAGCAGGAACTGGACGTCGGGCACTTGGTTCCCGTACCGGCGTGGAATGTCAAGGCGGTCATCGGCCGCCGCAGCTCGGTTGAAGGCGGGCGGGCTGGGGCTGCGTCTGCGGTAGCCGTCCTTCTGACGGCCGTAACCGCGGGGAGAACGAGATCGGCCACGCGACCGGTCAAGGGCGTCGTGCTGATACCGATCGCGGCTGCCGTGACTGTCTTCGCGGGCGTGGCCGCCGTTGCGTCTGGGAGGCGAGGATCGTCCCGGTCGGTAGTCGTCACGGTTGCGGCGATTCTCATGGTGCGAATTGCCTCCATCCTGACGTTCCTGGCGTCCAGCCTGTCGGCCCCCGCGACCACCGCGCTCTGGTGAACGGTTACGTTCATTACCGTCCTTCTTCTTCTGAGCCCGCGAGATTTCCAGATCTAGTCCATAGTCAGCACTCTTTGCTCCGTTGTGTTCGATACCATGTCACTTACGAATCTTGCGACCCTTGATCTCGATGCCCTGCAGGTTGTCCATGGCAGCCTGGGCGTCCTCCAGGTTGTGGTACTGGACGAAACCGTAGGCCGACTTGAGCGAGATCTGGGCAAGGCGGCCGTACTTGTGGAAGATGTCGAATACATCGCGTTTCGAGACTCGTTCGCTCGACAAATTGCCTGAAAAGAAGTCAATGGCGCCGTCAGGCCTGCCTGATGAGAGAGAGCGCGAACCGATGAAGATGCGTGAGCCATCGGGGAATCTATCCCACTTGGCATCTGCCATGTAGCGACGCTCGTCGTTGACAAATGTTTCCCAATGCTTCTGGCGGTCAGTAGTCTCATCCGGCTGGTTAGCTGCATGACCGACATTGTTCGGGTGCGGAGGCGCAGTCATGGAGGTGATCGGGACAGTCGCATTCAGACCGGTCGCGGGAGGAGGAGGAAGGCCGCCAAAGGCGTCGGACGTAGTGCCAGGGGCACCTGGAGCACCGGCAGACACATAGGTAGAGGGCTGTCCCGGCGTGGGCTGGGCGATCATGTTGGAGGGGGCCTGAGGGGCACCATTCTGCTGGTGAAAGGCCCGATAGTCTTCAGGAGGGAACGTGGAAGCCGTCTGCTGGGGCATTGGAGGTCTGGGAGGAAGAGTAGCAGACGCGGAGGGGGTCAAGTTGGAGGATGACTGGGCATCATGGTTCTGGGTAGAGCCGGCAGGGCTTTGGCCGGCGCTGGACTCGCTCGTATGACCGGTCATCTCAGCGACGAGGCGAGAGATGTCAACGGCGTGATCATCCTCGGGGGCATTGTCATTGCGTGCGTTGGACTCGGCGATGCTGGCAGTCGAGTTGGGCGCGCTCGAATCAGCTCCTGGGTGGGCGGTAGCTGTCGCGGAAGGCGCGGGATTGGTGGGAGATTGGTCTGCAGCAGCAGCAGCAGCAGCAGCAGCAGCAGGAGCAGCGCGGGCCGACGAGGAATCAGCGACAGGCGGAGGGACCCCTTGGGCAGGGCTTGACAGAGAAGCAGAAGCGGCGGAATAGTGCATGGATTCTGGTGCCTTTGATACATCATCCTGATCAGCGCCATCCTCATCCGCATCCCGAGGAGGAGAGTCGAAGATCTTGAGATAGTCATCCTCGCCGGCGTCTGGTTCCACCTGTTGTTCCTGCACCTTGACCGTGTCTGTCTCCTCTTCCTCTCCGTAGGCATCATCCAGACTGTCGACGTCGTCATTGTCGCCATTTGCATCGCCAGTTTCGGCGAAGGCGTACGAGTCGGTCGGGGCAGACTCGACTACAGGAGCGGGTGCAAAAGCGTCTAGGCCACCGTGGGCAACTCCATTAGTTTGGGCGGACATTGCATCAAGGATATCGGCAGTGTCCTGGAGAGCAGGCACGACAGCTGGAGCGGCGGAGTGAAGGGGAGATGGGCAGTGGGGCGAGAGGTCGGCGGCAGTAGCCTCGAACTCCGGGGTGGCTTCTGGCTCTGGCATCAAATTGTTGGAAGAGGGCGCACGTTGGGTGATGACGATAGGCGAGCAGTGCGGCGATAGTTTGGAGCCTTGCTGGTGCCGACGGCGAGGCTGGCGCAAAGAGGCAGGGAAGCAAGCTTGGGAGACAGAGAGAGAGAGAGAGAGAGAGAGAGAGAGAGAGAGAGAGAAAGAAAATAGCTGCTTGTTGAAGAGGGAGAAGAGCTGCGAGGCGGAAGTTGGGCTTTATGTCAGGCTGGGAGAGACTGATGGACAAGGCAACCGGACGCCTTGTTTTATTCTCTGCGAGTTCAGTTGAGCGGCAGGGGAGTCGCCATACGAGGGCGCGCAAAAGGCAAGGCGATGGTGAGGGTGAAGGCGAAGGTGGGAAAAGGCAAGCAAGACTGGCTGTGATTGGGCTGAGAACAAAACGCGGGAGGAAAGTGGGAGAAGGGTGGGGGTGGGAAGACAGCAGGCGCGGCGCGAGAGGGTTTAAAACGAGGGAAAAAAAAAGGAAGAGAAAAAAGTAGGTCGCGGACACGGGGAGTATCCAATGGAATAGATGATGAGTGCGCGCCGAGAAGAGCTTTCGCGAAACTGCATAAAAGTTTGCTTCAAAAGTAAAGGCAGGTCGGGAATTTCTCAGAGCTTATTCTCTTGAGCTGCGCAGGTGACTGATTGGACAGGACGAGGTCAGAGACTGTCGGGCCTTGAAGCCATGGGCGCGAGGTGTCGTTGCGGGCGGAGTGTCGGTGTGTCGCGCGAAAGTGTGTGTGCGGTAGGGAAAAACGCTAAAAGGTTCGGAGAGCTCGAGAACCCAAGACTGAGGGAGCACCTACTACTCATTACACTACTACCTACAGTGCCTACTTCTTGGAGAAGGCGTGCATTGTGGCCAATGCGATCTCGGGAAAACGGTTTTGCGATCCACATTAAACGCTAGCTGTTTATGGCGAAGGAGGTACGTAGCTGACACAGCAGATACTGTGTCAATAGACAGTGAGAATCGATCAGTCGGCACGGTCCTCCTTCTGCTCCGGAAAACTCCACTTCCACTTCTGTTTGGAGCAGGCAGTCAGTCTGTCTGAGTCTGAGCATGGCAGCGAGATGAAGGCCTGGACACCAGAGCTCATTGCACCGGTGCTTATCCAACGACCAACTCCCCCGATGATTTTATAATACTCTTTCTTCAGCCAAGTTTCACCGCCGCCAGAACTGGCCTAGTCCAAACCTTCAAACTGTCGACACCGGGCTGATACTTCGGCTCTGCACGATGAAGCTGGCCACAGGCTTTCTACAGGCCGTACGTCCAACCCTGAGAAATCCTCTCATACGGGCCCTGCAGCCTATTCGCTGGGTGAGGTACCAAGCGTTCGAGTCCGATTTCGACCCTGAAGAGCTCGACAGGGCGAGGTCGTGGCACAAGACTTTTGATGGCAGCCAGCTTCCCAGGGGTCAGACAACCTACGCGCGCTCAAGCGGTCCGGGTGGACAGCACGTCAACAAGTAGGTGCCGGCCAGCTATCGAGTATCAAACGAGCTTACTGCTAACCTCTCATCAGGACCGAAAGCAAAGCCGTCACTGTGTGGCCTGTGAAAGATCTTCTGCCGGTCCTGCCGAAACTGCTGCATCAGGGCATTAGAGGATCCAAGTATTACACGGCCAGGTCGGATTCTCTGACGTTGCAGGCCCAGACGCACCGGCATAGAGAGGCCAATGTGGAAGAGAATCACCAGAAGCTCATCGACGAAGTCAAGAGGATATACCAGGAGACCGTCCCCGGCGAGACGAGCCCGGAAAAGAAGAAGAAGCATGCGGAACTGTGAGTTGACATGCACAAGTCTGCGACGCCAAGTCAGAGGCTGACGTGTTTGCACAGAGCAAAGTCGTTTAACGAGGGGCGACTCAAGCAGAAGAAGCATCTGAGTTCCAAGAAGCAGAGCCGGAGGCCATCGTTCGACTGAGCGGTCGAGAGGAGATGGCATGGTGACGTGCGTTGCACGAGCGATCGATATCCATCAAAAGGCGCGAGTAATGGGCCCTCCAGCCCAAAGTTTGATGCTGCACTGCGGCATATAAACTCGTTGCTCAACCCTTTTTTTCTTCTTTTCCACTTGGCTCAACCCAGCAAAGTTGATTGAGACATGCAGCCACCAGGCCAGCCTGCTGGAAATGGACGTCGAGAAGAAAAAGGGAAGAGGTGGGCAGGGTATGGTCCATACTCTGGAATCCAAGCCAAGCGCGGCAGGCCGGCAAACGGGGGCGACCCTGCCTTGACCGTGAACTTTGACTTGGGAAATGGTACTTGGGCTGCAGGGCTGGAAAATATGGTCTGGGCGTTTTCCAACTGGAACCGCCTCTACGATGGTTGAAGAGACGGCAAGGATTCGCAGAGACGGTTGTTGGGCATCAAAAAGATGCACGACGGGGGGCAGAGAAAGAAGCCGGAAGCCTGGGGCAGAGAATAGAGGAAAACGATATCTGTTGGGGTAAGATATGTTTACACATGAACAACTGTTGTGCCTGCATGAGTACCTTGGGTAGATGAACAGAGATGCTCGGTGCAGCCCGAGGCATTGTCCCGAAGCAGCAGCCAGTCAAGCCTGCCGCTCCTGGTGAAGGAAGCCCACGACTTGTTTGCCATCGTTGGCCCGTGTACACGTCGATTTCTGGACGACAAGAGACAGCCTGGGGGGTGAGGCTTGAACTGACTGCCGAGTGTCAAAGAATGGAACGGACGAGGAACGGGGCTGGTTGGCGGCGCCTTTGAGTGCATGGAACCGGTGGGGGGGTCGGGGACTGCGGGAATCTCACATGGGACTCCTAGTTTGGGCCGGCGGCTTCGTAAGGACGTCGATATGCTCATTTCCCTTGCTCAAAACTCCGTCGCCATTGGTCGGCTCAGTTGTGCTGGGCTGCCATTGTCTCAAGGCACTTGGTAGGCGAATAAAGGGGTAGAAGGGGCAGATATCTCGATGATGAAACGGGGAACAATCCTTAGATAAGCAGTGGGGGGGAAGGCCGCGGAACACGAGGTCGAGATGCTTGGCTGGGTCTCCTCCCCCTTAATCCCCTAATGTGTCCAGCTGAAAGGCCCGGCTGGAACTCATCAGTGCCTCCGACCGAACCGATTAAGTAAGTACTTGTTCGTCTCTCGTCCGTCCAGCCCTATTCAATCCCTGTCTTCTCTGTCTGTCTTTGTTCATTCTCCCATCATTGTCCGTCATCATCTCTGCGTCTGTATGCACTCCATCGCGTGCCCGACGCCTTGATCCAGCGGGATCTGCGAACCAGTGTCATATTGACAGCGCATCATCCCCCCCTCCCCCTTCATCTATCTGCTGGGACTCGTATGCCCGTCTGATCCCTGCCTTGCACTGGCCCCGCGGGACCCCTCAATCACGTCCCCCTCTAAGGATAGGTACCTCCTCCACCTTCACTCCACCTCCAAGGCTCCAACCAAAGGGTAAAATCGGCTCGCACAGGGACCGTCGATCATCAAGTCGGCCCAAAAAAATCAATCCAAGCATTTGCCGTGCCCACTTTGCCAGCTGCTCGCTCTTCTGAAGCCGTCTTTGCCAGAATATTCGATTGAGAGCCTCATTTCATTGCTCCTTTCTTTCCAAACCGGGAAGATTATTGCTCTCTCCGTTTGCGACCTCTGCCTTGTCTTTGCGACCAAACTACCCCTAGGTCAGTCATCAACCGAACCAACGATATCGCCCCACCTCGTGGCCATCGCCAAAAATACCGACCGACTTTCACTGCCTGCTTACCCCGCCAACCTCACTCAATCTTTCCAAGTCGCGACCACCACCAACAACCACCCATACGACTTTTCCTCTTTAGACAATCGCCAAACCCTTGACAGGAGGGCGATATTTGCGGCCTCGATCCTCCCTCGCGTCCCCAACATCGTCCTTGAGACCCGTTGCGCCGCAGCCATGTCTTCCACTGGCTCCAACGGGGCCTCCCAGCAACCTCAGGTGCAGCCCTGCAGGTACAAGGTCGGCAAGACGCTGGGTGCCGGATCGTACTCGGTCGTCAAAGAATGCGTCCACATCGATACTGGTCGCTATTACGCCGCAAAGGTCATCAACAAGCGATTGATGGCCGGCAGAGAACACATGGTGCGCCCTTTCTCGGTCTATACTGGTAGACCAATCGAGCAGCCGAGCTGACCTAGCCTCTTCCCCTCCCCCCCTCTGCAGGTCCGTAACGAGATCGCAGTGCTGAAAAAGGTCTCGATGGGCCACCAGAATATCCTAACCCTCGTCGACTACTTCGAGACCATGAACAACCTCTACCTCGTCACCGACTTGGCTCTCGGCGGTGAGCTCTTCGACCGAATCTGCCGTAAAGGTAGCTATTACGAGTCCGACGCTGCCGACCTCATCCGCGCCACCCTCTCCGCAGTAGCTTACTTGCACGACCACGGCATCGTCCACCGTGACCTGAAGCCCGAGAACCTCCTTTTCCGCACACCAGAGGACAATGCAGACCTCCTGATTGCCGACTTCGGCCTGAGCCGCATCATGGACGAGGAGCAGTTCCACGTTCTGACCACGACATGTGGTACCCCTGGCTATATGGCCCCTGAGATCTTCAAGAAGGTTGGCCACGGCAAGCCCGTCGATATCTGGGCCCTCGGCGTCATCACCTACTTCCTCCTGTGCGGTTACACGCCGTTCGACCGCGACAGCGACTTCGAGGAGATGCAAGCCATCCTAAACGCCGACTACTGCTTCGAACCCTTCGAATACTGGCGTGGGGTCTCCGACCATGCCAAGGACTTCATCCGTCTCTGCCTCACCATCGACCCGAAGAAGCGCATGACGGCGCATGACGCCCTGCAGCACCCCTTCGTCGCCGGCTACCTCAACAGTGGCGACGGCGAGGGCCAGAACCTGCTGCCAAACGTCAAGAAGAACTTCAACGCGCGCAGGACGCTGCACGCCGCAATCGATACCGTGCGCGCCATCAACAAGCTCCGCGAGGGTCAGGCCAACCTGATGGATGGCGCCAGATCGCGCGAGCCTGCCCGGGGCGCCGCGGCTATGAAGGCTCAACCCAACTTGAGGAAAGACGACAGCGCCATCAGCGTGGGCAGCCAGCGCGACAAGGATTCGGGCTATGGCACACAACCCAAGGCTGACGCTGACAGCCAGAATGATGTCGTAATGACAGATGCCGGACCCACGCCGAGCAGTGTGCCAGCAAGCCTGCGGCCAGGCAACGAGCAGAACAAGGTGATCGAGACGAGCAAGGGGCTCTGGAGTGGTCCCGCGTTGCGACGATAGTCTCGTCCAAGTAGTGTACCGAGCGTAAATGTCACGGCTTTCCAGGACACTATGCACAGTGTCGGCGAAAGTCCCCCTTGTGCATCATTAGAGCTAGCTGAAGGGCTGCGCCCTATCACCCTCGACAGTCTGAGGAAGGGGAACCTGATGAGTGCCTTCACGCATATGCGAGGAGGTCGGGCAGCAAGATTTGGAGAAGTCAAAGTAACGGCGACAGTTTTCCCTCTGCCGCGCAGTATCATTGTACCCAGCGGCACAGACCTGTGTGCAGAGAGCACGGCCAGGGGGATGAAGCATGCAGGAGTGAGAGAGATGGCAGGAGAACAAGATACCTTGGGTTAATGCCCACGGCCTGGCTCCGTCATTGGGTGGCATAAACACATACTCAAATAACGGGTCGGGCTGATTCGTGGCGTCATTACCCTTTCGTTGCGGTTTTTTATTATTTATTTTTATGTGTTCGGGCGAGATTCCTACAGTCATGTAAGAACAGGCCTACGACAACGCAGCCCTTTTAGTGGAACGATACAAGATATACAGCCAGCCGTCCTAGAGTAATACCCAGTGGGACACATTCACGTTTCATGAGCGTGAGTCTGTTGTTGACGCATAAAAAGCAATATGAAATACTTGTGCCCCTGATTTGGGGACAGGCAAGTCGCTGCAGATTGGTGGCTTTGAGTATACGGCTGGGCCGTTGATGAATCGTCTTGGTGAATTTGGTCATTCTCTGGCGGGTATAGGCGCTTACGATGGGGTTTTTTTTTTTTTTTTTTTTTCAAAGCATCTTAAGCCATCTGAAAGTAAGTATGTTGGCTAACAATGAAATCCTAATGCTGAAGATGTGTGGTCCGGTTTCTATATGCCAAGCTTCTTGCTCAGCCAGTGTGAGAATCGCACCGATTTCTTGTCGAACAGCCTCCAGTTCACGTCTCCAAGCCAGATGGAGAATACCAGCATCATGACAAAGGTGATAGTCCAAGCGGAGCCCATGCTGTAGCCCGCCTCCAACATCCGGTGCTTGAGGCCACAGACGAAACTTCTGCTGACAAGCCAATGCACCAGGTACATACCATAACTGATCTCCCCCAAGTACAACATGACGCGCGAAGAAAGGCGACGTTGTAGGACGGGTAGGTTTTCCAGCGCCGTGACAAGCCCTACAGCCGCGACAGATGGAAAGAAGTTCCTGGGTTCTATGCCGAAAGTGGGCGCCCAGACGAACCATGAATACCCGGCGGCCGTGTAGCCGTCGCCATCCGACGGCCAGCCGCCCAAGAAGAGGCAGAACACGAGTAGCAGCCACGAGGCGGCGCTGGCGGCTTTGCGCTCCAGCCCCTTGAGAGGCGGAAGCTTCTGCCGCATCTGCCGGATGTCGCCGAGGATCATGCCCGCCAGGAAGAGGCACAACTGCCAGTTGGCTTGATAGAGGAAAAAGGCCAAGAGCGCGAGCACGCAGAGAATCCGCACCAGGGCCGGTGTCCGCGCGAAGACCAAGCAGCACGTGAAGACGAGCAGCGATCCTTGGTACTCGGGCGACAGCGTCCAGGCCGGCGGTAATATGGTATTGATGGAGCTGGTCGTGATGATGCCGGCCAGCGTGCCCCAGACATACAGGACATGGGACCAGACACCGACTGCCACGGGCCCCACGAGGGTGTTGCTGTCGTGGCCGTAGAATCCCTGGTGCTGGATCGCCATGGTTGTCGCGACGAGGGTAGGGATGACGGGCATGAAGAGCCGGAACGGGCGGCGGAACACGCTGGACGGGAGACTGGCGATGGCGTCGGCGCTCTGCCCAGCGTGGCACTTCTTCAGTGGGCTATACGTCAGCGCGAAGCCGCTCAGGACGAAGAAGATGGTGACCATGAAGATGCCGCTGTAAACGAGCCGGACAAACGGGAGCTGCACCAGGGAATCGTCCTCGGGCGTCTGTCCCCAGCTGTGGTTGACCCATGGGTGCTGCAACGCACGCGGGTCTCGTTAGTTGACGGGCAATATCACGCTTTGGCGACGCCGGGCGACTCACATCGGTCATGTAGTGGGAGACTGCGACGAACAACGCTGCGAGGCCACGCAGACCGTTCAGGTACGAAGTCGCCGTGGCCGCGGGGATCACCGCGTCCTTGTCGACGTGCCCGAGCTCGCGGGCCAGAATCGACGGCAACAGGGACAACAACGCGCGCCGTATGACCTCTTTGGAGCGCCGTCCGGCGCCGTAGCCCCGCGCGCGGAGCGACGACGGCGTCGCTCCGTTCTCGTCGATCGGCAGCTCCGCCGAACCTTGGTCTCCGGCCAGGGCGATGTACGATACGTCCGAACGCGACCCCAAGGGCTGGCCGCGGATGGCCTCCAGCGACTCCTTGTACATCGTCAGAACCGTCACCCAGGGACCAGAACCCTTCGCCATGTTCGTCCGGGCTCTTGTCTGGTAGCCGGCCGGCGGTCGATTCCGATGCTGTGTTGGCCAGCGGGGAGCCGGTTTTGTCTCGGGGGGAGGCGAGCCAGACGGGGCACTTTCTCCCAGTCCTTCGATTGGGGAGAAGCAGTCGCCAACGAGCGCAGGAGGTGAAGCAGTGTGGGATGCCGAGCAAACTGGTAGCCAGAACAGGCACAAACTCCGTACTGATGATTATAGGCATCCTGTGAAAGAAGTTGGAAGTATCTCTGGTTTATATGACAAGTTGATAGGTGCCGAAAGCAGCCGTAGGCCATGACCACGGAGAGATACCCCCCGCTCAGAGAAGGTCAACCGTGAACCCCGATAAGCAGGCTTGGATTGTTCTTTGCTCGTATCTTCACTTGTTCCTTATTCGGCTTGTTTCGCTGCGCCGTTTCGCTGTCTTGCGTATAGCGTCACTGTGCGACGTAGGTGGGCGCTGCGATCGGTCTCCATCACAGTTCCATCATAGCCCATCACACCTGTTAGATCGATGATGGCTGGCAGGGCAGCTAGGTATTTCGATGCGTGTTGATCGTACTTCAAGGGCTCGTCTGAGTTCCGAAACCAGAACGTTGCGTTGTATCTGTGTGTAACAGTAAGGTCTCTCGACAATGGACCGTTAAGCCAAAAGCTCCGCCAGGACTGACACCCCTGTAAGTGCTGCTTTCAACCTTATTTGCCTTGGCTGACCGGGCACTTCCGTCCGGCCCGGGAGTGCTCTGGGCATGCTGATAGACCGGCATACCGGTACCGGTACTACTGACTTGCCGAATAGCATTTTGGAATCTGGGGCCTGGCTGGACTCGCAGCGGGAGTCCAAGGTTGTCTCAACCTCTTTGGCTAGTAGGTATCCAAGTGGCACACTCACACTCTGCTTTTAGCGGCTTGTCTGAATCTGACAGGCGAGATCGGCCGCGATGGTGGCCCGGCTATCGCACGAAGGCAGAGACCTCGGAACGAGACCGGTGTTGGGTCGAGCGCGTGTGCATCTAGCTTAGCTGCTCAGCCGACGCTAGTGAGGAAGAGGAAAAGATCGTGGGAGAGGAATGGATCGTTGACGACATCCATCCTCGGCCCGAGAAACGTTGAAGTCGGACAGCCTGTATCAGGCGCCGGTTTGGGTGTTGCCCTGTCCACGGCCTCAGTCGAACCTCTCGCTGTTTTCCGTAAAGATGGGATTATTTGTGCACCGCTGCCGACGGGCGATCGATCGATTAAGTGTCATTATCCCGATTGACAAACGACGTGCCGACGGGGCTGTTTCTGCACCCTCCGGCGAGCACGGGCTACCACGAACTCCCTAGAGAGCCACAACCAATGTGATTTCGCAACTCGACCGGCCTTGTTATAGATTATTTACCAGAACTCAGGGCCCGGCCCTGCGCACCCAAAGAGTTCCGTTCTTCCTTCGTCGAGCCGAGACTCCGCAGCAGCGCATCCGGGCCGGTCTCTCGGCCGAGAAACTCCGTCATCATCCCCATCGCGTCCCTGCTTCCGCCGTACTCTAGAATGCCATGCCGGTACCGATCCCACGCTCCTGGGTCGCGAGGGTCCCGCGCGAAACACGTCTCGAAGAAGTCCGCCGCGAAGGCTTGGGCGCTGAGGAGAATGTAAGTCAGCTTCCGAGCAGACGGATGCAAAAAGAACCGAGTCGTATGACTATCGGAACAGAAGTCACAGGAGGAGGAAGAGGAGGAGGAAGAGGAGGAGGAAGAGGAGGAGGAGGAGGAGGAGGAGGAGGAGGGGTAAGGCGACTTGACACATACCTCAAATAAGCGTAGTATCCCGCATCGTACAGCTCGATTAAGTGTGTGGAGTGGACGTGTCCATAGCCCCGTTCGTCTGGGTTAGGCCTCAGGTTGAGAGAGTCCTGAAGGTCGTTGAACAGCCCGACCTCGTCCAGATCCCTCAGTGCCTGCGTGGACTCTTGGTTGTTGACGGTGAAGTCGAACGTCGCGAAGACCCTGTCCGCCGTCAGCACCCCGTCGGCTAGCTGTTTTGTTCGGGAGGCTACCAAGTGCACTTTGACGACTCTTATAACGAAGAAGAACTCACAATTGGCGAAGAAACCACAGCCCTCGATTCAGCTCCCGGCTCTCGACCAGCTTCTCCACGACCTCATCCGGTATCCTTTCCGGCGGCGGCGGCTCCTCGCCAGCAGGACGGGCCTCGCGCCACTTGGAAATGTACGCCGGGTCCACCCGCGTGTAATGCCAGCCCATCTTGATCAGCTCCGCCGGCATCCAGCACCAATTCTCCAGCATCGTGCTGGGCGTCTCGCCGAAATCGGCCGCCACGCGCGTGCCGTGAAAGCGTGTGTGTCTCGTCCGGCTAACGAGGTCGTGAAGGCCGTGGCCAAGCTCTGGGTCATGTTTAGCCGGTTTTCAGAGCGGGTTTTTAGGGGGCAAGCAAGGGTGGTCCAGCGGCGGCCGACGGTGGAACGAGGGGCGGAAAGGGGCCCAGAACTTGCCGTGGAACAAGGTCACGACCTCGTGGTGCTTCAACAGCGCACAAGATGCCGCCGTCGGAGGCTGGAAGGCACACATGAGGACCGTGGCGGGGTACACTCTGCTCCCATCCCCCTTGGCATACCCCTGATGACCAGTCAGCACAGCTTCCATCTTTGACCTCTCGGCGCGGGCCGACTTACACATTGCAAATTGACGTTACACGAAGTGCGGTATTTACCCTCCCTCCAGAGAATGTCGGCATAAAGGTAGCCCACGAACTCACCCTTCCTCCCCCCTCTCCCCTCCCAGACGCCCCAAACCTCGACCTCTGGATCCCAGACCTTGCCCACCAAGTCTTCCCCGGGCACCGGCACAAACTCAAGGCCCAAGAAGTCGGTAAAGAGACCCAACATGGCGGAAAGCGTATGTCCCAGGGGGAAGTACCCCGAGATGCTCTCGTGGTCGACCTCGGCCTCCTCCTCAAGGAGGCGGGTATAGAAGGCAAAGTCCCACGGCAAGATCTTCTCCCGGTCCTCCGACTCCTCGGTACCGCCAGAAAGCGCCTGCAGGTGTTCCCTCTTCTTTCTCCCAAGCCTCCTCATCTCCATCTGCCCCCTGGGCATCAGGTCCGCCCTCAGCCGCGCCAGGAAGCCTCCCACCCACTCCGTCGACGGCGCAACCTTTCTCTGCATCCGGAACCCGGCATGGCTCTTGTACCCCAACGACCTGGCGTTCTCGTCCCTCAGCACCAGCATCTCCTTGAACAGCGTCACGTTCTCCGGGAACCTGTTGTCGGACGCAACGTATACCCGCCTCCGTGTCTCTGGGTCACGGGCATGCCGCAGAACAGCGTCACAGTCCGCCCGTTCCAGTGTCACGAACCTCTTCCCCTTCTCCTCCGGCACGTCCTCCCTCCCCATCTTCCACCTCTCCCTCTCTGATGCCGGAACCCCCTCCAGCTCTGCTTCCGCGAGCCACAGCCCGTCGCCCCCTTTGCGCAGATTTTTCCGAAACTCCTCCTTCAGCTCCTCGATCCTTTCTCTCCTCTTCAAATAAGCCGCGATCCCCTCCTCGTCAAGAACCCCGTGCCCAGCCCCGCGGTAGTCCAGCCACAAGTCCTCCACCATCTTCCTCTCCTCGCGCCCCAGCGCCTCGCCCTTCTCCCTAACAGCTCTCACGAGCTCGTAGACACCCTCCAATTGCAACCTCTCCGCCGTCGACGCGGACCAGAGCTTCATCCCCTCCTCGATGGCCTCCCGCGTGGCCTTATCCGGCCCGCTGAAGCGGAGCAGGCCAAAGACCCCCGTCTCGCCCTGCGTGGCGTCGTCAGCCTCGAGGAACGGGGCGATGACGTTGGCGAAGCTGGCCTCGGAGGGCGAAACGGTCGCGGCGGCGCGTTCGCGGGCGGCGCGCTGGACCGCGAGGATTCGTTTGACCATGGGGACGATCTCGTCGGCCTTGGGGATGGTCGGCAGCGGCTGCGGTGGTTTCCGAGACATGATTTGCGGCGCTGACTTCGATTGGAGGATCCCTCTGTTGATTGCTGCGGAATGACTACAGATTGATTATGAGGCACAGCTACAGCTGCCGAATCATCTCGGCGAGGGGCTGGCTGGGCTGTACTTATATAGACGAAAAGAGTTGCTCTACTTGTGCTGCCATCACCAACTCATCGCTAGCCCCTTTACGGCAGATTAACATTCATTTTCCTTTCCCAGTTCCCGCCGACTGCCCATCGCCACGTGCCACACCCATCCAGCCAAACTCGTCACATCACGGCCTCCCAAGTCCGTCATAAAATAAAATAAAAAGCCTCATCACGAGGGTCACAATCTCTGCATCTACCACCTGTCGTCCTGAGCCCGGGAAGCTGTGATAGGCCAATTCAGGCCCGCGCCGCATGCCCGCGTCCCCACCCCTCGCCGGCCCCGCCCGCCGGCATGACCCGCAGCCGCGCTCGGCACCGGCACCAACCCCTAGCTCCACCCACACATTCCCCATGCACCGGTGATTGGCCGACTGGGACCGGTCACGCGCGCCCGACATGCAGGAGACAGGGCCGGGGAGGTAGAAGAGGGAGACATTGCCCATCCTGCCGTCCTCTTCCCCCCCTGAAAGAACTTTACAATTATCCATATGCCTCATCCCACGGCAAAAACGCAGAACCACGATCCGAACAAGAGTCCCTTTTCTCGCTCCCCCGAGGAGCCTCGCGCCCCTTTAGGTTGCGAACACTTTGACCAGCCTCGCCCACATGAAGCAGCGTTCCGGGCCATGCGGTTCATGCGCCGCGCCGGCTCTGGCTTTTGGAAACCAGACCAGACCCCCCCTCCCTCTGAAAAGGTTGTTTCTTTTTTCTCTCCCCTTTTTCCCATTGCTGCACCCCGACCCCCGAACTGGACACCGCCGGGGCCGTCTGCGAACTGGGCATTCCAGTTCTCCTCTCAGTTCACGATACCAAAGGTGCGAGAGCTTCACGATCCGGCGGCATAAGAAAGCTAGCCTGGGCATAGTGTTCTCCCGGCGGCGGGGCGACCACTGCTTCACAATGCGATGCCCCCTTCCCCCTTTGCACCCCTCGTATTTACAAGTCTTGCCAGGTTTCTGGGATTTTCCCCATGTACCATCTTCCTAATTATCGATGGTGCCGTACCACCCTCAGATTCTCATGGAGCGACGGTGTGTCGCCGACCACTGTGCCAAAGAGGCAATGCCTTGCGTTTCTCCCTGTCTGTCCGAACGGAGCCCCGGCTTCCCATCCCCCCTGGGCACTCTCTTCTTTGTTGGTGGGTAGAAATATTGAGAAAAACGCATGCGCCTTCGGAATCGACTCTGAACGGCCGTCGACGACCGCCGCGAACCGCCCCCCCGGGCCCTCGGAGGCGTGCCGAAGTCTGCCGTTGACAACCCAAGCGAAGTTGAGCCTCGCCGAACCGGCCGAACAGCCATCCAGGACCAGCAAACCTTTCTCGGCCTATCCCGCTGTCCACCGCGGGAAAGCGAGTGAGAGATCTCGATGGCTCCCCTCTAACCCCCCCTCCCAGTCTCCCAATGCTCCCCGCGCCTCGGAGGCCTTGCCGAGCGTGGAGGGCTACAGATGGCCGTTGAAAGCTCCCAGCACGAGCAAACACTCCCGTCCAACGGCCCTGTCTTCTGAATCTCCGGGATCAAGCTCCCGGAGCTATGAGCCGAGCCGTTTAACGCTCATATACTTTCCAATCTCCTTCCTACCCGCTCACACACAACCACAAAAGTTACCTTTCATCGGCAGCGAAGTGGCCGCGACAGGCCAAAGTCTCTCTATTTTCTGCTTGCCATCAGACCCTGGACCCGACTAGGTACCAACCCCGTCCGCTTCTTGACACCCACCCTCCTCCCCTCCTCTTTCTCCGGAAGTTCCCTCGGACCCAATAAGAAAACGAACAGTGGATCTGTTTTTGGCCACCCGTCATGCAAAACACACCTCCCTCGCGTCAGAGGACTCCAGATCGTCTCAACATTTGCTTCCCCCGGCACCAGCGCCGAGGAACACGCCAAGAAACGTTATTCAGAAACTCGGACCGCAGGTTGGCTGCTCCCTCTCCAACGCTTCCCCCCCCCCCCCCCCCCCCCCCCCCGCTTCGTTCTTCGGGTATGCATGAGGTCCAAGGCCCAAGCCTACGTGGGGACGAATTCCCCGTGCAGATGTCTGGGTTGACGAGACACGGCAATGAGAGAGAGAGAGATAGGTCTTGGCACGAAGCCGTGCCTCCTATGGCCTGTTGCGACTTGTATATGTTTGAGAACAACCGCCCCGTTGGAGCATGTTTCGACACTGGAGAGATGTGTGTACTCGACCCATACGGGCTCTCTCTATCCATCCACCCGCCTCCCGCCTCTAGACTCGTGAGCGGACAAAGGAGCAAGTGCTATCAACAGAATAAAAGGGAAAGACGCGGTCTCAACTTTAAACAACGCAATATATAGTCCTAGGCAAAAAGGACAGGCCCGGCTGGGATGGGGGGAGGTGGAAACGGAAGGGGGGAAAAGTGAGAAAGTAAATAGGCCTCATGCCACAACCCAAGCATCGTACGGCCCGACGCTTCTCACAGCACAGACCACGCCACAAAGGGAACAGTAGCGTCATGCGCCATCATGCCATGATGCCGACTCCCTTCTCCCCAGGGTGTTTCTCATTCAATCTCGCCTATCCTCCTTACTCAGGTTACCCAGAGAACGGCGCGAGTTCAGTCAAGGTCCGAATCCGCGCGCGACCTCCAACAGCGGCGGCCCGACCGGACGGTCCCGTCCAAAAGCCTACCTTGAAACATCGGTCTGATGTCGTGCGAATGCGCGCGACGCGATGTAGGCACTTGCATGTTTCCCCCCCTCCGTTTCCCTTTGGTGCCAAGACCGGCCGAGACCGCTTCCTCTGCCATTGCGGCAAACCTTCACGCGACCTGACGCAGGAAAAAAAGAAAGAAAAAAAAGCTACATGGCAACTTCGATGGGCTTTCCCGACAACGAACCTCTCGGGTCGCCGTGCCGGACGGTGGCGGGACAGGAGTGGGGAGGGCGGGGTTCGACTCGGCACGTCGGCGGTTGCAATGCCTATCGGCTCCGGGCCTGACGCCGAATGCCGGGACTGGCCCGACAATTAACCAGGTCCGGAATTAACGTGTGGACTGATGCGGAAAGGTGCTTGCACAACGTCGGACGAAAACCTGTGAACCACGGTCACCAGCCGGGTGATCCTGTCCTGCGGTGAACCATCGCTCTCGGCTAGGTACCCAGTCCGGCCTTGACCCATTATGGAAGCAAGCAGGCAAATGCCAGTTCGCAAGGCCACCCACCCACACCCACCCACGCCACTGCCAGGCTCGATATTGGGAGGGTTGTGACAGTTTCATGCGCTTGGAAATCAGTGCCGGTACTGTAGTAAGCGACGCTGGCAAGCTGGTAAGAGGCACCCCCGTCCGTGTCCTGACTGTAGGAGCCACGTCGCGGTTCTGGCGTCCATGCCGGTCTTCGATCGGAGCAGGCGGCATTGTATAAGGTCAGTGGGAGTCGACAAGTGCATAAGCATGCCTGAGTTCGAGAGCGGTAGGTAATCTCGTGTGGTTGGCCCGTCGAGCGGCTGTAGAGGGTGCGTGCGGCATGCATGGATGATGTGAGACAGCAGTTAGCGAAAACAGCCCACAGCAGCGGCCGTTTTTATCGACAGGCAGTACGGATACCACAACAGAAGAAATGGTGGCGGGGATCACCGTTGAGCTACCGGTACTACTACGTAGTACGTAGGGTCGGTAGGCTGATAAGCCGACCCGTGAAGCTGCGAGATTATTCTCACCGACTCCTCTGCCAATGTGGTGAGTCTCTCGCTGGCGCCCAAACCAATCAGGACAGCTATAAGAGCTGCGGCATCACGGGTTCTGGTTGGTCTTGGCACCCGGATCGCTCGGAGATGGTGCACGTCGGCGGCTGCGCGTGTCTCTCAACTGCGTCTGTCTGCCCAAGACAGGGCTTTCCTTTGGGCTCTTCCTGGGCAGGCCCCGAGGCCCCGCTGTGGAGGTGAGGAGGAGTTGGAAGAATCTTTTTAGTGTTTTAACAAAGGAGATCTCATTTCGGAGAGCATCGCCAACGAGTTCCGCCGGAAAGATTCCGAGATAGAAATGTAACGGAGAAGAGTAGGAAAGCTCCGCTCCACCACGAGGCCATGCAAGTATACTCAGTAATAGTCTAAATACTCGCTCCACCAAAATCTTGGTTGCGCAGGCTCACAATCTTGAGTGGTGCCGAGAAAGCATCTGGGTAGTGACTCTTAGGATGTCTGTCTGATCACTCCAACCCAGTAGGGGGGGGATTTGATTCTCTCTCTCTCCCCTCTCCTCCCCGGCCAGATTGCTTAGATCAGAGGGTCCTAACGCAAACGCAGCGCAACGCATGCACACGCGACATGCAAACGCCCAGACATGACTGGCCTGTCATATTGGTGGCCAAGTGATGTAGCAGTTGAGCAGAAACGGTGTCGGACTGCCAAGCCGCCAAGTGCGCTGGAGCCTCGCAGTAATGATGATGGTAGCAACACCCGACTCAGCTGAGCTGGCACAGACGACGTGCTATTAGCGGCTCTGCGGTGAGGCAGAGTGACACGGTGCTCAACATGTGAGATGGACATGGTGCGAACACATTCCCAGGTGTGTTGTTGGTATTGTTGCGGATGGAGAAAGCAGCTCTCGCACGCGATGGGAGAGGCCATCCGCCGCGAACTTGACACCCGACAGGCGGGTTCTACGCAGGAACTTGGAATGATTGACTTTCTCTAATGTTAGCAAACTCGGACCCCGTGACGGTTTCGAGTTCTCGGAGCGCTCTCCCCCTGATGGCCAGCCACTGCTACGATGGTTGACTTTGACGTTGGCCTGAGTGCTCGGCAAGAAAATGCGACGACCGCCCGGATACTTTTTCGCATCATAGTGGATAGTCGTCACTACCTGGTTGAAGGGGTGATCCATGATGCCGACTTTTTGCGATGTGTGGTAGGGAACAATGCCGGCGCCGTCTGAGTGGTTGCTTGTAGTCAACGGGAGCGCCATCTCTGGAGTAACAGCAGTCGCTAGTCTCTGCGGCTTGCACTAGAAAAACCACCAATTTTTTTTTGGGTTTGCCAAGACAGGGGCGGCAGTTTGTCCATGTGGCGGATATTAAGTCGTCGGGCTCGGAATCACCCAAGGCCGCGAAGCTACCAGGGCGTGGCTTCGGCTCACGAATCAACGACACGGCAGCGACTGCCGTTTCCCGTTGGTCCGGTATATTTGCTTCATGCTGTGGAAGCAAGCTCTTGGACTCTTCCCACCGCTCAAGCTACCGACGACTAGCGTGTCGCACGCGTGACTTGATGTGGTAACGATCGCAACCATATCCTGCCGAGGTCGTCCCCCACCCCCATTCGCCGCCTCGGGGTTAGCAACCACCCATGTTTGGCGCGATTTGCATCTCGGAGCAGAAACCAGATGATGGGGGCCTGTCGTATCGCTTTCGGTTGTCTTCCGCGCGTTGAACATGAGGGGGGCAAACCGCATCGATTGGCAGGACCGCATGCGGGCGGAAACAAGCTCTAGCTAAAACCAATAGTAGGGGCTGGTAATGCGCGATGCAGCTCTCTGGGCTTTGCGTGAGAAGCCTGAATTTGTCGAGGTTTGGTCCGGCACGGGGAACAGGTATGTAGCGGCGTGTCTGGTCTGGTTCAGAGAGAGAGAGTCGAGGCACGCATCTCTCGGTCGCAGCTCCTCAGGCGCGGAGCGTTTCGCTGTAGTCATAGTTGGGAAACGGATTTCGTTGCATGTGTGATGCACCACGACCTTTCGATACTACTCCACACACGCGTGTACGGATGGAGAGACCATCGTCCGATCCAACGACGGCCGTGACAGTCCGTGTACACAGCGCATTCGGGTCCTGGTAATCGCGGCCACAAGATGTCACTGGCCGACGAAAGGCGAGCAGGGTGGTGTAAGCACCATCCGCGTATCCTCGTACCGCGTATCTGCACCTCGCATAGGAACGAAGTAGTGGACACTAGGCAGGGTTGTCGGTAATCCAACGGTGTACGGAGTACAAGCGAGATGAATGGGAGAAGGGAAAGCGCAAACGGGATGCGGAGGTTTGGTCATGGCCGACGACCGACTCCTGGGGGCGGACTGCAGCGTCCTGTCCGTTAGGCGGGAGGGGAGCGGCGGGAATCAAATGGACCCCGGGATTAAGCGAAAGGGTGAAAAATTGCGCGTCTTGCGTAAGCATGCGGGATGACAAAGGAAGGGGGGGGGGGAGGAGAAGGAAGGAAAATTGGATTAATGACGACAGTGAGTACGGATACCTACCTAGCCAGCCTTGGGAGGGGGCTGGGCACAAGGAACATTGGCCGCCGAGTGGGGGCATCGCAGAAGAAAATGAACTCAACAGCTGTTGCTGCTCCTGCTGCTCCCTGGCAAGAGGTGGAGCAGGAAGGAGGTACCTGATGAACCAAGTACCGGTACTTGCGACACCGAGCAGCCCGTCTACTGAGCTGGGGCAACCTTGCCCGACCTCACGTCACCATCACCCCCTTACACTACTCATTGTGCACTATCCGGTGGTAGGTAGTGTAGGCACCCTAGGTACCTGTGGTGGTTTACCGGTATACATAGTAACCCTACTGCTAGCTGTGAGCTCCACTCGGTTTCGTTGGCTGTCCCCGCTAGCCAACCTTCAACCTCGTTGCCAGCGGGCGTGCGGACTCGCTTATTCCTGGCGCAGTTGGGCCCTTGGCCCCCCTTCTGACCTCTGGGCGCTAAGACAAGCAAGCAGTGAATTGTCGTCAACACAATCCCCCATCATTTCGCCTCTAGCCTTGTTCTTCTGGACCGACCCGCTTGCTTGCCTTTCTGGCTTTTCTGTTTGTGTGTTTGTGCGTGAAAGAGAGAAAGAGGGAGGCGGAGAGGGGCAGGGAGAGACGAAGCGCCGGCGCTTGCCAGCTCGAAACAGAGACATTTATTTGCCTTTCTGACAGAATTAGCATCCTGATGTGGGCTGGGCTGCATGTAACAGCTCACACTTCTCTTGGTCCGAGTCGTTGTCAAGTTGAGATGACACTCCTCTTGGCGCTTATTTCGGCAGCAATCAAGGGTGATGCCGCTTTTACAGAGCCCAGGTTATGCTAGCACGAAAGCGTCAATTCGGCTCTCGCTGATTAAACGCCGGCCGGGACGGAGTTAAATGGCATGCAGAATCCCCCTTCGTTCACATCGTTCGGGGGGGGGGGGGGGCTTGATGCCGGAGATGGCGGGGACCATATATTAGATAAGCATTGGTCCGCAGTGGAAAGCACAACCCGGACAGGCCTCCCAGTTTGGCTCGTTAGTCTGATTTGCATGCATGCATGCGTCGACCGGGGTTGGTGTCGAATCCATTTGCAAGCCACCGATTGCAAGTCCCGTTTTGACAGTGACGGTCCCTAACGCCTTGCGCCAGACCACAAAAACCGAATCGACAACGTCGGGCGGCCAGCGGTCAGGCCAGCCCGCCCGATGCATTGACCTTTGCGACGCTGTGGTCTTCCCCGATGGTGCCGATCGTGTTGGCCCAACGATGAGATGTCCCTTCCGGTACTTCACTACATCGTACCACTCGGGTCACAAAAAAGACAGCCAGTTTTCAAGAATCTCGTGGCCCTACCATCCAGATAACTGAAAATAAGGCAAAATGATCCTTTTTCATATAGTGTGTACCTGTATCTTGCCTGAACTCATAAGCGCCTCTCAATCGCGCCTGTTTGGCATATTTAAAGCTCTATTGTCTATCCCGGCAGTTGTAGTGGTGGTGGTGGTAGTTGTACTCCGTAGTGCTAGGTAAAACCGGCGGTCTATTTTGTCACCCGAGTGCCTACCTGCTCTGCACGCTCCACGTACCTACACTACTTGTTGCTCATGTGTGGACCGTAGCCACTAGGTGGGCTGTCTGTGTAGTCACGATGACATCCTTTTCTTCCAGGCTTGCCGAGCAAGCGAGGCAAGTAGGCGAGTGACATGTTTTCGGCAAGAGCCAACCTTGCTGCGACAGTCAACGATAATAGCCTCGACACCGGGTGAGGAGCAGCAGTTCGTTTCACTCAAATGGATTGATGTAAGAGGAGGAAGCAGGGAGCGAGGGCCAGCAAACAGACACGTCAATGTGACACTTTGCTAGGTATTGCACCTCCTCCTACGATGCAACGCGAGAAGGTGCTCGAACGGGACCTCGGTACAAAATGTACTCCGTACTACGTACTCAGTAGGTAGGTATGTATCGTTGGGACGGGGGGGTGATCCATCATCGGCCCTGTTGACCAATCGTCGACTCGAGCACGCACGCGACACACACCACACATACGGTATCATTTCTTTCTGTGACTGGCCTGGATGCAGGTGACGCGCGCCTGCAGGGTCAGGTCAGGTTCGATTCTGACAAGTGCGATGCGCCGATTTGTCGCATTGGGAACAGGAGTTGGGGGACGGACGGGCTTTGCTGGCGTGGGAGAACACGAACCATCAATAGCGGTGCGTTCATTCTTCGAGGCCAAAGACCAAGAACACATGGAAAGATGCGGGCTGGAATCCAAAGTAACTAGTAGCCAGTCTAGTGTAGATGGTGGAAGGAAATCACAAACAGACGGCAGCTTCTAGACCATCACTAATCGGATCCACCACGGACAGGTTTGGTCGTGGCCGTGACGGAGCAGAAAATTCGAAGCGAAAAATGGACCCCGGCGGCAAGTAGTGGCATGCAAACCAGCATCATCACGTAAGGAAAGCGGACTTGGAACTGGGAAATACGTACCTCTCCGTGCAGGGAGCGAACGTGCATCGCTGATGTTTCTCCTAAGATAAGCCCGTGCGCGGTCCATCACCTAGTACGGTGTATTGTCCACAAGCACTCGTGACTCTTGCTCCAGTACGTACCCCGAGACTCTGTTCTATCAGGAATGTACCTGTACCCGAGCTGCAGCCTCTGAGCGTCTCTCACATTCTGGTCGTGTGCCACTTTTTCCCTTTCCTCCCCCCCCAAGTAGGTATGTTTAATACACACGGAGATGGTCCCCAGCAACAAAGCGCATCAGACGCCACAAGTTCCCTCGCTAGTGCACTGTGAGTGTGCTCGCTCGCTTCGCATCTATCAGAACGGGTTGCAGTTTGTCGGTCACTCACCGCAGTCCCTTATCGTCATTAACGTGACCGGCACGCGACCACATAGGTACTGCGATTACATAGGTACTCACTCTCCAGCCCCCCCCCCCCCCCCCCGAGGACGATTACCATGAGACCTCCATAGCGACGGCGCCGAGCTTGCCAGCCTTCTAATGGCAATCATGACATGTCTATCCGGAGGAAGCGGGAACATGGCAGGGCTGCAATTGGCACCCGCGCGGCTCGTCCTTTCTCCTTCTTGTGCATGGGAGATGAGACGTACGGAAACGAAACCCGGCACTCGGACAGGACAGAACAGCGCAACCCTGAGTACCTGGTGCGTAGACAGAGACGCCAAGAGAGGCATGTTAAGGAACCCCAGGGTCTCGGAATGAAGCAGCAGAGCACCATGGCTCCCTCTTGATTCGGTTCAGCGCCCTCAGTTTTGTCAGTACACTACATTACTGTGGTGTTTGTACATTATCCAGTGGCCCACGCGCTGCACAGAACCACTTACCGCCCGGGGCCCCCTGGTCATGGCCAGCTGTGTAGGGACGGGAGACTCGCAACCTACCACGGGCAAGAAAAGTGAAGAAAGGTACGTGTGTACCCACGGTACGTACAGGTACAAGTCACGATACTTTGGGCTATCCGCAAAGAAAGAACGGACGGTGACACCCACACATTCATACAGGTACTCGCTCACACTCACACCCCACACAAAAACATGCATTCCACTCCGCTGTTGGCCTCTGACAAGCACCCCGGTCCCCGCCGCTTCCGTAGGCCGGCTTGGGTTCGCTTGGTACTTTTCCGCTCTGCCATGGGTGGCTTGGGTACCTCTGGGCTCTTACAAACCATGGGCTCTGGTAGAATCCAAGCCTCGGCCTCATCTCTTTGGGAGAGAGAAGAAGAAAAAAAACCCTGGGACCTGGGACCTTGTCTGCCTTACCTTAACCTACTTTGCCCTCCCCTGCCGCTTTGCCCCGTCCGTTCCGCGGTCTCGCCATACATATCAGTCTAGTCATCCACACTTTCCGCAACGTCGCTACCTGTTCCATTCCTCTTGATCTCTTATTCCCCTTCCTCTACCAGTCCTCCTCCTACTACTCAGATTCTCTCCGTCGCCCGTTGATTATTCACCCGTCTTCTCCCTTGGGCGGCCCCCATCCACTTACAGGACACACCAGCTTGAGGATTTGGCAGGTTTTGGAAATTACAGCAGGCTTGTTGTTCACCGGGACATGACGTAGCTGGCCCATCGAGAGACACATTCAAACATAACGACAAAGAACCCTACCGGATGTTTTGGTTTTAGTCAGACACGGACAAATTGACGCATCCCGGAAGAAGACCTCGTCGTCCTCGGAGGTCCTCCTTACCGTCACCTACTACCGCCTCTTGCCCCGCCACGCGCGTTGCATTGCAAGCAATCCTTCAATACTGCCTTGTCCTCCGAGCGCATCCAGCAAACATGCGTGATCTCCCCAGCCTCATCCAAGCGAAGCCGAAGCTACCGTCGCTCTGGACAGGCAACATCAACTTCGCCAAGCTCAACCCGATCCCGCACCGATACCGACCCAGCCGAGGAAAGAGGCATCAGAAGAAGAGCGACACCTACACCGACGCTAACGATATCACCTCGCTCCAAAAGTCGTTCAACCCTCTCGTCACAATACGGAGACTGCGGGCACACAAGTGGAGGCTTCTCGACTTACAGTACACGATATTGGTCGCCCTCATCATCTTCTCGCTTTGCATTACGCCGTCGGCACCCCTAATCAAGACTCTCGCTGTCGCAGGCGGTCTCCTGCTTCTGACCGTTCCCGCCACCAGCCAGTTCTTCTTCCCGGGGCTGAGCATATGGGCCTACCTCATTTATTTCTTTTGCAGTCGGTAAGTCGCTTACATGCTCTGGGCGTCGCGCTCAGGAGTCTGACCGAATCACAGCTTCATCGATGCGAAATACCGCCCTCACATCTGGGTTCGCGTCCTGCCAGCCCTCGAGAACGTCCTTTACGGCGCCAACCTTTCTAATATCCTGTCCGCTCACACCCACCCGTTCCTCGACATTCTCGCTTGGATCCCATACGGCTTGGGCCACTTTGGCGCCCCGTTCGTCTGCGCCGGCTTCCTGTTCCTCTTTGCCGCCCCCAGGACGCTCCCCGTCTTCGCCAAGTGCTTTGGATGGCTGAATGTGCTCGGCGTGACCATCCAGCTCCTCTTCCCCTGCACTCCTCCGTGGTACGAAAACGAGCATGGCCTGGCACCTGCTGCCTACGGCATGCAGGGGTCCCCGGCCGGCCTGGCTCGCATCGATGCCATTCTCGGTATCGACATGTACACAACGAGCTTCACCACTGCCCCTGTGCCTTTCGGCGCCTTTCCATCGCTGCACGCCGCCGACGCCGTCATGGAGGCTCTCATCTTGAGCCATTGCTTCCCGCGCTTCCGCCCTCTCTTCATGATTTACGTCGGATGGATCTGGTGGGCGACCATGTACCTCAACCACCACTATGCGGTCGACCTGGTCGGTGGCTCCCTTCTCTCCGCCGGCATCTTCTACTATGCCAAGGCTCGGTACCTGCCTCAACAGCAGGCCGATAAGAAGACCCGCTGGGAGTACGACTACGTTGAGGTTGGCGAGCAGACCAAGATCTTTGACGAGGAGTATGGACGGTTGTACAACATGGGATACCTCCAGCGCCGCGGCAGCTCGTCCAGCGACGAGTGGACGGTCGGAAGCAGTTCCAGCTACAGCACATCAAGCCAGGGCAGCGGGAGTCTAAGCCCCGCGCTCTCGGAAGAATCCGGCCGCAGCCTCTTCAGCATCGAGATCCGACCGGACCACGAACGATACGAGATTCCCCAGCTTACTGAGGTGGCCGTCAGGTAGATTGGGGTTTGCCTTGCACAGCACGCGCATTTCAATTCGAACTCACCATAATATAAGCGAGGACCATCCACGAGCTGGGTGGGCCATAATGCCGGCACGGCCACGCAGAGCGTATTCGGAGCCCTCGAAGAACGATTTCACCCTTGACCAATACCCTTTTCTTCGGTCCTCATCATCAGCAATCTTCACTCAACACGGATACCAGTTTGGACTATCTGCACCATTTGCATCAGAAGGAGCACAGCAACGGCGCAATCGCGGTGCTTTACTGCTATTATTATTATTACTTTATTTTTTATGTTGCAGACGAAATGACTAGCCGGCGACGCAAATACTCTTGCCAGGCATAGGAGTAACGGCCTCATGGATGACCATCACTGCAGAGAAAGACCAAGGAAATTGGCGTAAGAGACGTACGCGGAATGGGGACATGAAGAAGATATAGACCCCCGGTACATTTAATGTGTTTAATGTCGAGGACTCGGATGTTTTCCCGCTTCGGCCCAGTGCCGGACGTGAGGAGGACAAGATTGACCTCAGGCGTCCGACCAGCGAGGAAGGCGGACCCGATGTAATGCGGAGGACGAGAGTCAAAGTATACCACGAGCACAGGTAGAGCAGTCGCTACTGAAGTAGTTGATGAACATGAAGAATCAAGACGAGAAACAATTTCTCAAAAACTAAACGTTTCCATGTGTCAGGCGCACCATCGTGACCTGCTCAGTAAGCCCCGTTCGGATCGTCGTCGCATCAGCCAGTGTGGCTTAGTTGAGGGCGATTAGTATGGTGTCGTTGAATAACCTTCCGGGGGGGTTGTGGAAGAGGGGTTGACTACCGCAGCCAGCTCTTCTTTGGTTGCGGCGCAGGCGGCGAAGAAACGACTGTGGGCAAGGAGGGCCCGGAAACCACGCTAAGCCAAGACCCGAGCGATCGGGACCGCCTCCCGTCACGACCAGACTGGGGGAAAGGGGGGGGGGGGCGCTTACAAATGATTGCGGACCCACATCGAAAAAAGGGTACCGGACAAGAGTTTGTTCTGTCCGGGGGGGTCTTGTTGGTTTGTGAGGTTTGGGCTTTATTGTTCCTCTTCTCCCCTTTTTCGTTCTTTTTTTTTTTTTTTTTTTTTTTTTTTTTTTTTTTTGGGTGTGTGCGTGCCGGAAATTGATTACTACGGATAACATGTCCCGGGGATGACGAGAAAGATGCAAGTGCCGGGCGAGGGGGGGGGCCTGTTAGGCTTGGGGCGGACGAGGTGTAGCTAATTTCCTGGGAGGAAGGGGATGATGGTTGGTTCGACGGGAAAAAGGGGGGCCCGGGTTGTTGGGTTCTCCTCCGAGTCCGAATTGACGATGCGGGTCCGTCGCGTGGCATGAGCATGAATTTCGATGTTGGACGTAATGCCCGATGGCGGCTCCCCCGGGTTCGGCCAGGATTTGCCTGTGCACGGTGGCATTTCGTCACCGTCTTCATCGGCGGGTTGCCTGCCGGTCGACCTTGACATCGGGTGACACTGCGGCAGTGATGAGTCACTTGGTGCGATGGAATGACGGGGAATGGAGATGTTGGAGTTGACTAGTACCCTAAAAGAATTCATTTGCACTTCCCCGCCGTTGAAAAGACGAAAAGAAAATCAAAAACGTCTACAAAAGCAAACCACGCCACTGCATGCTTCCAACACCTTTTCTACCGCACGTTTTGCTAGAGGAAAGATGCGATCCAAACCGACGACACATATACATCTAGAGGTAGAGGGAGACGGGACGGGCCGCTACAAGATTGGGTCGTCCTCTGAAAATCCCAAAATCAAGAGCCGGCCTCCAACGCAGCCGAGGGCCACCGTGGAACCTCTCACGGCCGAGCGCGTCGGCCGGTACTCCGGCGGTAACCACAACACTTCCTCTGAGTCTCGTGTGATCCAGACTTTGTCTTGACTGATTCCATAGCCGCAAAAGGTTGCCGCTTCCGCCGCATCAGCCCGCGGCCGCGACGTCGCACCGGTGCCAGGTCTCAGATCTATGGTGCCTATATTCGTGTGGAGCTGCAGGTCGGTTTCTGAAAAGGAGATTTGGCCAACTTCAGAAGCATCGCGGCCGCGCATCCAAATCTTCCGTCGACACTGGCCGGTAGATGTGTCCCAGATCATGAGGGTATCATCTGCTGTCGATGCCAGCTGCATGCTGTTGTTAGAGAAGGCTGCTGAACGGTGCCATGCATTGTGAACAAATTTGCGAAGGCACTGTCCTGTAGCTACATCCCATATCTTAGCCATCCCGTCTCTTGAAAACGATGCCAGCTGTGTGCTGTCGCTTGAGAAGGCAGTCGAGACGGCGTATTTGTGATCAAGTGTCTGGCGACACTGGCCTGTAGCTATATCCCATATTTTGATAGTCTTATCCATCGACAATGATGCCAGAAGTAGGGAATCCATAGAAGAGTATGTAGGCTGGTGATATCTTTGGTCATTCCGCGTCTGTAAACATCCGGCTGTAGCCCTGTCTATCATTACAGTCCTCTGTTAGTATGTAACATTAATTATAGCTTCGTGTAGTTACCTGTAACGGAGACTGAGATGATACGGCCTTTGTGACTTTCGAGAGTCTTCAGACACCGGCCTGTTGCCTTGTGCCAAATCTTAACAGAGTTATCATAGGACCTTGATACCACCTTTGTGTTGTTTTCTAAGAAGGCTGCCGAGGTAGTAGCTTCGGTATGGCCCTTGAGCGTATTAAGATACCGGCCTGTACTGTCCCAAATCTTAACAGTTCTATCATCCGACGTTGACACTAATTGCGTGTTGTCGTCCGAGAAAGCTACCGAGCGAAGAGCACTAGTGTGATGTTTGTTGTGCGTCTGGAGACGCTGGCTTGTGGCCATGTCCCAGATCTTGATAGTTGTGTCTGCTGAAGCTGATACCAACTGCATGTTGTTTTTTGTAAAGGTTATTGAGTGCACCATACCAGTATGGCCTGTAAGTGTTTGGACACACTGGCCTGTAGACCTATCCCAGATCTTGATGGTTTTATCTGCTGATGCTGATGCTAGCTGCATGCCATCAGCTGAGAAGATGACTGAAACAACTTTCCCTCTATGGCCTTCAAGTGTTTGGACACATCGTTCGACAGTGATATCCCAGATTTTGATACAATTGTACGCAGACGCCGAAGCTAGCTGCATACCGTCGTTTGAGAACGCTGTCGAGAAAATGGGGCCGGTATGTCCTGATAATGTCTTGATGCAGTGGCCGGTAACAGTGTCCCAGATCTTAACAGTATGATCCAGCGATCCTGATGCAAGCTGCCTGTTATCGCCCGACAAGGTAAGTGAATAGATGTGCGCAACATGACCTGCAAGTGTTTTGAGACAGTGACCTGTGTTGATATCCCAGATCTTAATAGTTCTATCGCTTGATGCTGATGCCATCTGCGAGCTGGCACCGAAAAAGACCACTGAATCGACCGAGCCAGTATGGCCCTTTAATGTCTTGATGCAGTGGCCGGTAATTCTGTCCCAGATTGTGACGATGCAATTCTCGAACCCTGAGGCGAATCCTGAGGCAAAATGCCTGCCATCGCTTGCCAAGGCAACTGAAGTGACTTTTTTGCATGTGTGAACCAGAAATGTCTGGATACATTGGCCTGTAGTAATATCCCAGATCTTGACAGTGCTGTCCCATGAACTGGACACCAGCTGCATTCTATTACTGCAGAAGACCACGGAGGAAACAACCGCTTTATGACCTTCAAGAGTCTGCAGGCATGCGCTCCAATTGTCTTCCACAGCTGGCTTTATCGTGATCCACTGAGGCTCCTCGTCACCGAACACCGTTCTGATAGTACTAAGTTTCGGGCAGAATATGAGTGCGGAAGTGTAAACCTGAAGGGGACTGATTTCAATACCACCTCGATTGGCTCGAATAAATCTCAATGCGTCCCGGGCCAGATCCGTAAGTTTAGGGCTTTCTAATGATAGCTATACCCTATCAGTATCTCGTAAGAACTTGGATTGCCGTTCGAGACGTACCTGCATCAGATTTGCCAGCCTGGATACCTGAAGGATACCCTCCGACAGGCTCCCAAGGAGACTAAGCGCCTCAAACCAGTGAAGGAGATGCTTCTTCAAGAATGTATAGACTGGTCCGCCGTCACATAACTCTCGACCCCATTGACTCTGTTCGTTACAACCCTCCGCTAAATGGCTGACCCAATAGACACAGGAATAGCGGACAGACGCTAGCGGATCGGGATCGGGTGGCTTGACTCGGCTGATTGGAAATCCCGGCTTGCGTATTTTATACATATCGCGTCCAAGTGTCTCCTTCATGGCCTGGATCGATAGTGAGGCGACGATGTTGTGCACCGCTACTAGGCCAGACGGATGTTGCGCAATGTGCTTTGTCAGAAAGTCCTTTGCTGACTGGTGGATGATGTAAACAACGTTGTCTCTTATTGTGAGAAAAGATCCGCTTCGTCCTGCAATTGCCGCGATGTTCTGTTGCGTGGCGGAAACGCTCGGCGGCAAATCGACAAGGACCCTCAGCTCTTCCAAGTGAAGCGGGCGATACGCGGCAGCAACAGTCGAAAGAAGCTTCCAGCAGTGATTGGGTCTGTCGCGCCCTTGACTCTCGATCTGCCGTATCATTCGTTCGTATAGTTTGTCCAAACCGGCCGGGATATCGTTGATGATATCCATGACTTCCCAAACCTCCGCCTTGTGAAGCTCTTGGATGACGAGAGACACCCATAGGAACGTCCCGTTGGCCTTTTGTTGTATTTCGCTTCGGATTCGGTCTTGTTGCAAAACGTCTCCCTCCAGGACCGCCAGCTGCGAGATGCACTGAGAGATGTATGTGTTGACAGCGCGGGACACAAGCTCTGCGTTTTCCTTCAGCTCTAGACTCAACCTAGTCTGGGACTCTCTGGGCCGTATGACTTGCTCAATGTCGCGTCTGTTACGGCTGGAAAGGAGCCACTTTGCCTGAGTTGTTGAGGAGGCCTGAATAATGAGGTGAAGAAGCTGGCTGAGATCCGTCTCGCACTCGTCAAGTGCGTCAATGACTAGGTAGGTCGTTCGTGAGCCTAGGTCTTGTAAGATGAAGAGGAGAGTTCTTGACAAGACATCCCAGCTGTTTACGTCCTCGAATATTTGCTTGCCCGCATGGTCGTACTTCTTTCGCAATCGCTCAATCAAAAATGGCTGTTGATCGAGCAGTAGGTAGATGAGGCCGCGTAGGACGGCCGTTGCGTTGTTCAAACGCGCATCTGTCGCTTGGCATAAGAAATAGGAAAGAACCGTGCCTGCAGGCCGCTTCTCCAGCTCGGTGATGATGCCGCACATAAGCATTGTTTTGCCTTTGCCCGGGTCGCCCTTGACCCAAAGCATACGACTCTGCCCGTCGTCCTGCCATTGGCGGAAGTCGTCATGATCAAGGACCCAGCGGAAAGAGTCCCACAGTAGTCCGCCTTTACTGCGCTCGATGCGTTCCTTGTCGTCGCGGGGATCGCTGACACGTAAGTCCCTAAGAAGCTCGCGCTCGAGCTCACCGCTGGATGTTGGGCCTTCCTCATCGGTTAGCCAGGATTTGCAACCGCTCGCAAGAGAGTCTACCAATGTAAATGTCGCGGGCAGTAAAGTTTCCTGACCCCGTGTGTTGAACACCAGCGCCATGGAGTTCCGAGTGAGCACCAGGCCCCTGTGAGATTTGAGAGACCGTGCTATCGTCGTCGTTTTGAGGCATGGTCTTCTTTCGCTTTCGGGGGTTATCCAAGTCGGGGTCTTTCCCACGCCGTGTCCCTCTGGACTCGGCTTCCATCGCGTAGCCTCTCGCGGTTTGTAGGACGCAAGATTGTAAGAGGCAGCGTTGTCATAAAGTCTGTTCCATCAGGTTGTGCAAATAACAGCACTCAGCTGAGCAGGATTTGTTGGCCCACGTGCGCAGGCATCATCGGGGTTTGGGCGGTTAAATGAGGCACAGGAACCCGATAGAAACGTGAAATCCTGTAATCAGGATGTACCTAAGATAACCGCCAAGGCTGCCACTGCCTGACACCCCGTACTTCACAGTGCTCCGCGACCATCTATAAGAACTGAACCTCCCCACAAGCTTTGTCCCAGCGTCGGTAAATGATACAATATACAACAGCTACCTGATAAGACACCCTCACTGGAGTCTGAAGCGTCATCATGTGGGATAAAGCCAGAACACCCGAGACACACGAGGAATACACCATCGCGGTGGTATGCGCCATGAGCTTCGAGATGAGCGCTGTTCGCTTCATGCTGAGCCGGGAACATCCCCGTCTGCGGGCGAAGGACGGGGACTCGAATATGTACGTCCTCGGCGAGCTCAGCGGCCACAACGTCGTCCTCGCGTGCCTCCCCGGCCAACAGGGTAAAGGTGCCGCTGCGACAGTTGCCACCAACCTGGACCGCACATTCCCTCGCATCAGATGGCGGTTCCTCGTGGGCATCGCGGGAGGCGTCCCCAGCGACAGGCACGACATTCGCTTGGGCGATGTTGTCGTGAGCATGCCCGAGGGGCAGTCTGGCGGTGTCGTGCAGTACGATCTGGGCAAGGACACCGACGCCGGGTTCGTGCTCAAGGGTTCGTTGTGGCCCCCGCCGTCTATGTTAAGGAGCGCCGTGGAGATGATGCGGTCCGACCATCTGGTCAGCGACAACAAGATCGAAGAGTTTGTGACGGCGATGCTCCAAAAGGCACCAAAGCTCGCCGTTTACCAACGGCCATCCCATGAACCCGACATCCTGTTCCTCGAAGACTATACCCACGACGCCAGCAGCGCTACGTGTGCGCGATGTGACAGATCCAAGGCAAAAGAGAGAACACCGCGTCAGCCCGAGGGCTCCGTGATCCACTACGGCTTGATTGCCTCGGGCGACAGCGTGCTGAAGAGCTCGGCAAAGAGGAGCGCGGCTGTGCGCAGCTTGGGCGACGTGCTCTGCTTCGAGATGGAGGCCGCCGGGATCATGTCCGAGTTCTCTTGCATCGTCATCCGCGGCATCTCCGATTACGCGGATTCCCACAAGAACGACGCCTGGCACTACTTCGCCGCCGCTGCCGCCGCCGCTTGCACCAAAGAACTGCTCACCTACCTAGATCCTTCGGAGGCCCCGTCGATGTCCGCTGTGCCGACACCTTCCGTCGACGAAGCATCGAATCCCAGTACTGGGCCCGCCGGTAGCCATAGTTTCTATGGCACAGGCATCCAGCATTCCGGCTCCGGGAACTTCTCAGTCGGGAAGGATCTGCACATTAGGTGATGCCCAAAGACTGGGGAGCCGTCTGAACGACGTTCACGGCACAGATAGGCTTTCGAAACATCTGGTGGTGCTTACAGGTTCGACTTCCGGAGTGGGAAGACTTGTATATACCGCTGAGCTTGTTTCTTGCTTGACCAATGTCTTGGTTAAATTTGCCTCTGTTGCGGGCACATCTCGTCCCTACCAAACGAGCTTTAAGCCTTCCACATCTCTGTGTTAACTTCAGTAATAGCCTCAGCGTGACAAATGATCAGGTAGAATAACCGGTTTGCGTCTAGAAAAGGAAAGTTGTGCGTAGGAGACGAAGACCATCTCCAGAATAATCTCTTTCAACTGACAAGCCCAACTGAGATGAGCCAATCGTCCCAGTTTGCTTGGATACCTCAAGCGTCGTAAGCGGACCACCGTTTTGGACAGCGGGGGTACTGACAGCTATATCCTCATGACATCAATGTCTTTTTATCCATGTTTAAGGACTACGCCAAGCAAGCCATTCAAGTGCTCTCCAATAGTTGATCGTTCGTCATCGTTATGACTAGCTACCTAGCTGACAAACATGTGGCTCCTCCACTCGAGCCGAACTTCCTCCTCCGTCGTCTTCCTGACCCCCATGGAGACCTCGTACAAGAGGGGTGTGCATTAGGTATCCATCCTTCCAACGCCTCAAGAAAAGAAAGAAAGCAAAGTCCAAGGTGATTCGTTCCCCGACACATCCCCAGCTCGTCGAGCCCGTCTTCATACAAGGCTAAAGCGGCTCTCGCGAAAACCAGGGGGGCCATCGTAGTAAGAGCCATTCCGTACTTGCAACGAAGCAAGCTAGACGGCATAGAGCAGGGTGCAAAGCGAGATATGAGGCTGATTCTCAAGCCCATAGTGTACTTTTCCATCCGGTACCATACAAGAAAAGAAAGCAAAAAGGAAAAAAAGAAGCCAGGTGGACCAGCTGTGAGCTCCCCAAGCTGGCTCGCGGGCCAAGATTTTTAACGGAGCAAGTCGGGCGTGCGACTGTTGCATTTTTATATACTCTGGCAGGGATATGGGCAGCTCGTCTTGTACGAGTGAAATGCTGAGCTCAAAAGCCAGGCCGGAATGTACGGTTCGGCTTTCCGGCACTCATGGTCTTCTAGATCTTAGGCGCTGGAATAGGCGTTTCCTTCTTGGCAGACTTGGGCTCTTCGGTCTTTTCCGACTTTCTTCGCTTGTGCTTTTCCTTCTTGGGCGTCTCCTCAGCTGCAGGAGAGGACCGGAAAGGGACTTGAGGGACGGGCACGACGGACTCGCGGCGAACACTTGGAGGCTGGATAGGCGTTTCTTTGCGGGCAGAGGCAGTCCGGGAGCTGCTGAGAATGGCCAGCTCGTCATTCTTGGACTTCTTGGAGATCTTCGACTTAGACTTCGGCAGAGGGGTCGAGATCTGAGGGGTAGGACTGGAACCGGTAGGGATGTTGGAGAGAGAGTAGCTAGCCGTCGGGATAGTCGGTGGAGGAATAGCCGTGACCTTCTTGGCGGAAGCCTGGACGGCCCCCAGAGCAGAGTTATCGGCGTCGCGCTTGGCCTTCTTGGTCTTCTTCTCGGCATAGGCAGCCTCCTTCTCCAGCTGAGCAGAAGCGTCTTCCTCGTCTGCAGGGACCTTGCGCTTCGATGCCTTCTTGGATTGATCGGGAGTAGCGGCAGCAACCTTCTGTCCCTTCAGGAGCGCCGAATTGGGGTTGGAACCCACACTCGAGATCGACTCGATGCTATCGCGTCGCTTCTTGCTCTTCTTATCCTTCTTGGAGGTCAGAGGCTGCGAGTTGGGGACTTCAATGACAGTCGACTGTGAGTCCTGAACGGGGTCTCGGGCGGTCTTGTCCTTCTTGTCCTTCTTTGTGGCCTTGGGGGTAGGCTCGTCGATGTCCATGGCATCGCCCTGAGTGGACGCGCGCTTAGACTTCTTGGAGCTGGACGGCAAGGCAGGAGCTGGCGCCATATCGACGTCCTCGTCGCTGTCGGATGAGGCATCAAAACCAATCGAGCCCAGCGGGGTACCATCAGAGACACCAATAGGGTGGAAACGAGCTTTCAAACCCGGAGGCTGAGGGCGTGCAGCGTTCGGCTGGTTGAGTGTAGGGGCACAGGGCTCGCTGCCGACCAATTGGGTTACACGCTTGACGTGCAAGACCTTGTCGACCTTCTGGGAGGCTGAATGTAGTTAGCATATTGCACTACGGGGGTCTGAGACGTTCTGCTTACCCTGTTCGTAGCGAGTGCCCTTCTTGTTGGGGATGAGGAGCTGCACAGCAGTGGATCCGACGTCGAAGCCAACGGTATAGTCCTCAGAGTTGTGCTTGAAAATGGCATCGCCGTTCTGCGCCTTGTCCATCGGGATTTGAAGCTTCTCAATGACGTTGATGGGAACGGATGCCGGGGCGGTAAAGTACCAGAGCTGCTTGCCGTCGAGCTTGGCCTTGGCGAAGAAGTCGCTCATGTCCTTTCCATCCTCATCGCCTTGAGCCTTTCTCAGGACGAAGTCCTTGCCGACGAAGCCAGGAACGGTGAGGTCATTGCTATTGCGTCTGGCAGTAACAGCAACGGCATTGTCATTAGACTCCTCATCGGAGCTATCCTCCTCGTTGCTAGATCCATCATCATCATCATCATCATCACCTTCCTCTTCTTCTTCTTCTTCTTCGTCGCTGGAGGTGGCCTCGCTAGAGCTGGTCGAGGCGGGCTTGACCACCTTAATGCCATTAACCGCGGGCTTGGCCGCGGACCTTGTGCGCTTTGCGGCCTCGTCTTCCAATTTGCTCTCTGATCCGCTCGAAGAGGTGGTGGATGCGCCATTGGTGGGTGCCACCTTCACAGGAACCTTAGGTGCCGGTTTCTTGTTGGACTCGCTCTCGCTCTCGCTCTCGCTGCTGCTATCGCTGGAGTCGGACGCTTCCGCTTCCGCTTCGGAATCCGAGGACTCTTCGGATGAGCTTTCGGGCTTTACAGGAGCTTTCTTGGTGGTGGAAGCGGGCTTCGCGGACGAGGTCTTGCGTTCGGCATCGCTATCGGCGACCTCGTCCTCCTTGGCGCGCTTAGCCTTCTTGAGGGGTGTACCAGCAGGTTTGCTCGACGAAGTCTGGCCATTGAGCTTGTTCACAATACTGGGAACTGCCGGAGTATCACTATCACTATCGTCACTGCTGCTAGTGTTGTCCTCTTCGTCGGTATCGGAAGCGCGAGGGTCGAACTTCTTCTCGACCTTGGCCTTGGATTGAGAGCCCCGAGCAAATTTGCTTTTCGATTGGCTGAGAGCCGGCTCCTGGGACTGTTTCTCCATCATAGTGCTCAGCAAGTGAACGCCATCTAGCTTGCGTGTCGACATCGTGTCTAGGATGTATCGGGGAGGAAGACGCGAGACGGACGTGGCGTGGACTGAGGGCGTCGTGATGGTGGAATTGGCTGCGGCAGGAAATTTTCGAGGGTCTCGCGAGGATCCAGCAGAGCTTGCCAGGGTTGCACGGACCATTGGTGGGGTTGCAGCGGCAGAAGCTACCGCGACGCGCAGAGTGCCAGGCGTGGCGGGCGTGGCGGGCGTGGCGGGCGTGCTGGGTCGTCTCAGCGAGGGCATGGTGGGGGCTCGGCCGCGCATGAAGGATTTTCCACCATTGTTTTTCGGTGTATGCATTTCGCTTCGGAAACTCGCAGAGCGACGTCGGCCGCCGTCGGATTTTCCAGACATCTTGAGATTGCGGACAATATCGGATGCCTTGGGCTTGGCGTGGCTTGTGGCAAGATTTTGAAGAAGGAAAAGAAAAGGCTGTGTGTGAGTTCGGCAGGCAAGAGTTGTGTTGTAGAGAAGAAAAGTCGCTGACCTTTCGCAGTCGGCAAGGTCTGTGAGGTCTGTGAGTGAGAAAGAGAGAAAGAGAGAGAGAGAGAGAGAGAGAGAGAGAGATAGGAAAAGAAAGTGAGATAGATATCCTCAGCAGAAGTTGCCGGCCGTGGCTGCCTCTTTAAGTGCCGAGTACGTACCGGCCACTTTAAGAGGAAGGAGTAGGACACCACGTCTCTCTCCCCGAGTGTGAACTGAACGAGAGCTGTTCATCACGCCTCACTTCTCTCTCAGACGGGCATCTCGGCTTTGCCATCACTGGTAAGGGCAGCTTCATTGCTTTCATCTACCAATAGAGGGAAAGAGCCAAAGGGGGTTCTTTGCTATAACCTCTTTTAAGCCATTGATTCATTGTTGGGAAGGCGGTCTCGATCCGGCATGGCAACGCCAAAGCGACGCAAGGTTGAGACGTCTGAGGGCTCAAGACGTGAGTTGGTCCCTTGGGCTGTTCCGCTGAGTCCTCTTTAGCCCAAGTGCCTGCTAACATCTTGCAAAGCAATGAGCGCTTTTGCTCTGAGGCAACAGCTACTTTCAGCCAGTCCGTCTTTGTCGCCAGCGCCTCAGCCTGAGTCTCAGCCGGCCCAAGAGTCACAAGCATCAACCCCGAAGTCCACCTCCAAGAGGCAGTCCCCCGCAAAGACAAGATCATCAAAAAGGCTTGCAGACACCGAGAAGGCGTCAGAACCTCTCCAAGAAGCAGCAATTTCAAGCTCCAGCCATAGTAAAATCTCGAACAGCCATGATGTAACGCAGGCAGTAGATATGACCACCGCGCTAAAGTGAGAGACTCTTCCGACGTGTCTACCGCTCGCTGACACTTGTTAGCAGTCCGACGGTCGATGTTGAAGATATAAGATCAGGAAAGTCTGGCCCTCAACAATTCTCGACTTTCAGGCCGACAAAAAGCAACTCCCGCAAAATCGCCGGCGGGATTCTGGAACTCAGGCTTCATGACAGCGAGGTAAGCGACACCTAGGTCATCACGCATTACAATGCTGACGGGGTCAAGCGTTTTTTGGTGCTCGGAAGCTACGGGATCCGGGTAGCTGACGGCGAGGTTACCATCGCGGGAGCAAGCATCCGGCCTAGCGATGGCATCAGATGGGTGCATGCACCTCACTGCCATGCGATCCCTGTGCTGCGTTGTACGGAAGAGACAAGGCTAGAGCTTCATCCGCATCCGCAAGGAGCCAGTCTCCGAAAACTCGAGAGACTTTCGCCTCTCTTTCGAAGTTTGTGGCACGAGCCGGAGCCAAAGATGAGCAAGCAAGCCGCTAAAAGAGATACATACAAAATTGTGAGAGAGCTCCTCCGAGACGCAGAAAGCATGGCTAACTGACTGCCTGTAGATATGCACCACGGAAGATGCGCCGAAGCGGGCCTTGATTCAGGACCTGCGCTCTCCTCCCGCCTGGAATAAGAAGCTGGCGGGCTTGACGAAAGCAAGGCAGCCGGACCAACCGCCTTTGAGCGTGATGCTCTGCGGCCCCAAATCATCTGGCAAGTCCACGTTTGGTCGGATACTGGGAAACCGCCTTCTTACTGGCGCCGGCCAGCAGACGCGAAATAGGAAAACGCCCCTATCGGTGGTGGTGCTAGATCTTGATCCCGGACAACCGGAGTACACTCCCGCGGGTACGATCGCATTGGTCCACGTAAGAGAACCAAACCTGGGGCCGTCCTTTACCCATATAGCGGCAGGGGAGCAGCACGTATCTGTGGTGAGATGCCACTCAATCGCCTCGGTTTCTCCCGCCTCGGATCCAGAGCTGTATTTGGAATGCGCATTGGACCTTTACCACCGTCACCAAAGCGCGTGCAAGGGGCTACCCTTGATCATCAACACCCCTGGTTGGGTTCTGGGGACCGGACTCGATCTTTTGACCGAGCTGGTGTCAACCATCAAACCCACCGAAGTCATATACATGTCGGAAGACGGGCCTAAGGAGACTGTCGAAGGCCTGCAGGCGGCTTGTAAGGAGACTTTTACACTTCTGCCTTCCCAGCAGTCGGAGTTCACCTCGAGAACGGCAGCACACTTGCGCTCGATGCAGGCGCTCGCGTATTTCCATACTGTTAAGGATCCTTCAAACAGACTGACATGGAATCCGACACCGTTGTCGTCGTCACCGCCACTAACGGTTGGCTACAAGGGCAAGAACCGCGGTGTTTTGGGTATCATCAGTTACGAGTACCAGCCACCGGCAGAGTTGCTTGCGGAAACGATCAACGGTTCGATCCTGTGTCTGGTCGAAGCCGAGGACATCAAGGCGTTTGACCGCCTCGCCAAAGAGAGTGAGGGAATCATGACACGTGCACCAGGCCCTGATGCGATGGACGTTGACGGCAGTGCATCAAACTTGGACTGGATCATCTCGAAGACGCCGGAGGGTATCCCCTACATCCCGAACTCTGACGCTCAAACCTTGGACCCTCGATACTCGCAAACACTCGGCATGGTGCTGCTTCGCGGCATCGACACCAAAAACGGCGCCCTGCAAATCCTCACCCCGGTTCCTTTGGAACGCATCGTGGCTGCAAAAGAGGCAGGCCACCACTTAGTGCTGATCCACGGCAAGCTCGACTCACCCGGCTGGGCGTACACCGAAGACCTGTACTACCAGTCTTTCAACAGCACCGAAGGCGACGTTAGGGATGACACGGTGGAGGTCATGGACGAGGACACGGAGAGTGATAGGTCAGACGAGGAGCCTGAGAACCTCGAGCTGGCCAACGACGTCAGTGACACACCGTGGATCGAGGTACTGCAAGGCCACGAGAAGCGGCCGGTGGGATCGCGTGTATGGAGAGTACGGCGGGATTTAGGGCGGGCCGGGCCGGGAGCTGAATAAGAGATGAATGAAGTGGAAGTAGATGCCGAATGGGGTGGGCTGGAGAAAGCCAAGGTGCATAGACACATACCACACCACCACCAGCATGAGATACATAGTACTATTGTAAGGCGTCTGCAAGGGCGGATCCGTGCCCTCCCACCTACGTCTCACATGTTGCATTGTACCGTATATACACAGAGCATGCATGCAGCATTGCTGCAATCGCATGCTTTCTCCCACTATTGTGCTGAGGCTTTGTCTGCCACACGCAGCCATTTAAACTACGCAGGAAAAATACAGCGTGCATCACTGTCCGAGTCCCCCTTCATCTTTTCCCCATTCCACCCGCCAGGGGCCCCCACATGCTATGACGTCTCGGACCCGGTTTAAGAAATATCCAATTCCCCAATGATACCCCTCCTTTCGGCCCCTCCTTTCGGCCCCTCCATTTGGCCCCTCCACAGTGCCACTCTTTGTCATGCTTTCTCATTGCTTATTTCCCCGATAACCTAAGAATGCCAACACAGCAGTTCACTGCTGACTATGCCAAACTCCCCGGTGCAGCGGTATTCCGAGGACTTGCCGATCGTGGGATAAATCCGTTGGTGGCATGAATGCTTCGAAGTTGGAATGAGGTTATAAAAAAATTATTTTTTGCCAGCTTAACCTCTCATCAACGCCTTGGAATATTCCCGCTTCCCAACTTCACTCGTTTCTTCGTTTGACAGATACCCTGAATATGACGGCTCTTCCCGACAGCGAAGTCGATGTTCTCATCATCGGCGCCGGCCCAGCAGGGCTGATGCTCGCGTTGTGGTTATCTAGACTTGGTGTCAAGACGCGCATCGTGGACAAGAGGACCTCCAAGATCTACTCAGGACAGGCAGACGGGTGAGTAGCTCTCGTCATTCACCATGAAACTCGAATTCTTACATAGTATGCAGCTTCCAAGTAAGGACTCTTGAGATCCTAGACAGCTTTGGCGTCGGAGAGCGCGTATGGAAAGAAGCAAACCGCATGCTAGGTCGGTCAAGCCATGTTTGAAAAAAACAAACATACACTCAACCAACTCACACTGCTGCAGAGGTTTCCTTTTGGAACCCAGACGAGAGCGGAAAAATTGCGCGCAGCGCTCACGTCGCAAACACCATCCCCGGCCTCTCTCGCTTCACCGAGTCTGTGCTCCACCAGGGCCGCATCGAGCAGTTTTTCCTCGAAGCCATCCGCGCCTCCTACGCCTCCGCCGCGGACGCCCTGCACGTTGAGCGCATGGTGATCCCCACGTCACTCGAGATTGACGAGAGCAAGGCCGATGACCCGGACGCGCACCCCGTGACGGTGACGCTGAGACATCTGACTGAGGAGGAGGCGACGCCGACGCAGATGCTGAGCAACCTGAACGACGGCCTCTTTAGGAGCAACCTCGCAGACGACGACGTGGGTGAAATGCTGGACCGCTCCAAGGGGCGGGAGGCAAGGGACGAGATTGTGAGGGCGAAGTATGTCGTCGGGTGCGATGGGGCGCACTCATGGACGAGGAAGACGCTTGGTGAGGGGTTTGAGATGAAGGGCGAGACGACGGATGCTATTTGGTGCGTATTGGCGAGACGAAACGTCGGGAAGGTCGAAGCTGACGGACGCGATCTAGGGGCGTGATGGACATCGTTCCCATCACAGACTTTCGTGAGTGTGAAAACTCCAGGCGACGCAATGCATCCAGCTGACGAATCAATAGCCGATATCCGGTTCCGGACCATAATCAACAGCACTTCGGGCGCAGTCATGGTCATCCCGCGCGAGAACAGAATCGTCCGTCTCTACATCCAGCTCAAGGAGGTCACGGCCGGCGGCGGCCGCCTCGACAGATCCCAAATCACCCCGGACTTCATCTTCAAGTCCGCACAGAAGATCTTCAGCCCATACAAGCTCGAATATCACTACTGCGATTGGTGAGCTCAAGTCTCACCACCAGGCCACGGGGGTCGACTGCTGACAGCGACATAGGTGGACGGCATACCAGATCGGTCAGAGGACGGGTGACAACTTCAGCAAGCTCAACCGCGTCTTCCTCGCGGGAGGTAAGTAGCCCCATTTTCCCAACCCTGAAGGCAGCAGCTCACCGGCCACCCTCAGATGCCGTACACACGCACTCCCCCAAGGCGGGCCAGGGCATGAACGTTTCGATGCAGGACAGCTACAACCTCGGCTGGAAGATCGGCCTGGCCTGCAAAAACATCATCCCCCGCCACACCCTCGCGACGTACGAGCTCGAGCGCAAGAAGATCGCCAAGGATCTCATCGCGTTCGATGGCAAATTCTCCAAGCTGTTCACGGGCCGCCCTGCCAAGGACATCCAAAACGAGACGGGCGTCACCGACGACGAGCTGCAGCAGGCGTTCCACAAGAGCCGGATGGTATGCGCAATTTCGTCCCGATGAATACACGCGAGATAGCTGACACGCAAGCAGTTCACGAGCGGCGTCGGTGTGGACTACCAGCCCACCGTCTTCGTCGCCAAAGAGGCCGAAGAAACCGACCAGGACCCCGGACTGAGGAAGAGCGCCGCGGAGAGCACGCCGTCCCTCGCCGCGAACTGCAAGCTCGGCCAGCGCTTCCCGTCGCACAAGGTCATCAGCCAGTCCGACGCCCGCCTGTGGGAACTGCACCACAAGATGCCCTCCGACGGGCGCTTCCGCCTCGTTGTCTTCGGCGGCGACATCTCACGGGGGGGCCAGCGCGAAAGCGTCAACGCCCTCGGCGCATGGCTGTCGTCATACCTGCCTGGGCTGCCTACAATCGGCCTTTCGCCCGCGTCGGACCCGCATGGCGGGTCGATGAAGTTCAAGACGGACGCGGACCCGTCCATCGTGGACGTTCTGCTCGTGCACACGGCGCCGCGGGACGAGGTCGACGTGCTGAAGGACGTGCACGAGGCGTACCACCCGTTCGACAGCAAGCTCGGCTGGGACTACGACAAGATCTTCGTGGACGGGGAGACGATGTACGAGGAGCCCCAGAAGGCGTATGAGAAGTACGGCATCGACCGGGTCAGGGGGGCCGTCGTTGGGCTACGTCCGGATGGGTATGTCGGACTCGTCACCTCGGTGGACCATGGCGGCCAGGAGCAGATCCAGAAATGGCTTGACGGCGTCTTCCAGGGCTGATGAGGATTGCCTCGCTCCTCGGATAGACAAAACGATTTACTTCAATAAGAGAAAGATCCGATCGCCGACGTTTGGTGTATTGTATTCAAAGCGTCTGATAGAATGCGATTCAGTCGATGCAATCTACCTTTGCTAAAGATCATGGATTGTTGAGGTATACGTGTGTCTTTTCAGGGAAAATAATGAGCGTAAGCAGAGGAGCCCATCGAGGTACACACACACACACGGGTGGAAACAGGTTGACCAGATCCAATGGAGAGGGGCAGCCCAGTCATTGGCCAGAAGACAACCAACCCCTCTTCCTGCGAGATGATAAGATGAAATCTTCAAACCCGAGAAGGGGAAGTGGAAAAGTGCAGAGGAAAAATGAAACCGTCGACTCTATACAGCAATAACCCCGTCTAATTACAACAACGTTATGCGTCGTTCATCATAAGGAAAAGGGGGAAAAAATCCAAAAATCCAAAAAATCCGATGTCCAACGCCATTGCTTCGTGTATCGTTCCGTCTTCACGCATACACAGAAGCGAGCCGGGCCGTTGAACTAACTCCCTTGCACAAGGTGTGCACCGTTTGGGGGCGGCGCGCTCGGCTTCATCCCAAGTGGAATATCCCGGGGCAGGGGTCTCCTCTGCTGCAACGCACCGGTGGTGACCTGAGAGACTGTCATGTCCAGGGCAAACCCGGCTAGAGATCACCAAGGATCCCCCCCCCCGGTCATGGGAGACCATCCCACACAGTAGAGCCATCAAATAGTGTCAGGCATGGAAACTCGAACACACGCCCATGGCTGCGGTGGATATCGCGACCAGTCAACGGGGGGTTAGCACCGAAGAATTAACCGCCGACGGCCTCGAAAGGCCTGCTCGTCCAGTGCGGTATAAGTGTCGGACTGTCGAGGCCTGACATCGAGCCAGCAATCACCCCCGGGCCATCATTCACCGAGACGTCGAGAAATGCGAGCTGCTGCTCATTCTGTCGTATGAGAACGACGTACGAGTCGGGGGGGGAGGGGCTGGTTGAGCAACACTATAGGCACGACGACGGCATTTCGACGTCGTCTTGGATACGTGGGGCTCGCGTCAAGACAGCCGCTGGCTGCATGTAACATGTTGCGAGCCCGTTTTACTTTGGGGTTAATGTTGTCGATACGGAAGAGCATAGGCACGATTTGATTGCAGCTTTGCATCGGCGACGGCGGTGTTTGTTGTTGTCGTAGCGAGGATGTGCCGCGGGGGGGGGGGGGGGGGGGGGGGATGTATATGTGTAGAACGATTCGCCGACAACTGTCAGATTGTCCGTCCATCGGGGTATTTACGAGCAGCACCTCTCTGTCTCTCTCCAGAGTTCTCTCTCTCCCCCCAGAGTTCTCTATCTGATCCAACGTACAGGTTTCGCGACGAGGACTCTCCTCGCTGCGAGGCGTGTACCCTGCAGACGCCGCCGGCCTCCCAGTTCCAGCCGAAGAGTCCACACGGGACGTAGCAGCGCGCGCTGTGGTGCACCCATTACCTAGATAGGCACCTAACCCCGTCTCTAGACAACGCCGGCTTGAAGTTAGGCCGAGGGGGATTCCGTTGATCGCCGACAGGAGGCGGGGAAGGTGGAACGATTATCCAGCGTGTTGACCATCTGGAAGGGTTTACGATACGAGCGTGCACACACAGCCGTTTGCTTTGTTTTTGTACCTCAATTAATTGGACTTGATCATCACCGGCCTGTTGGCCAAAACGATAAGCTTCTAATTTCAATTTGCACAAGACCTTAAGATGCCATGACTTTCCCCAGGCCCCCGTTTTTATTTTTTTACTTCTTCTCCTGTTTTCCCATCACCCTTCCCTTATTCTCTGTCGTATTTTGGCGTGATGTCGCTCTCATCACCTTAGGCTTGATACCGGATGCGGAATATGAGATTAGATTACGTGTCATTAGTCAAAGCCCCAGCCCCCGGGATTAATCAACAAAGGACATCTCGTGCTGCACACGAAACTCTCTACTCTCTCCATTCCATCATTCCTCTTCCATTATATATACGTGGTCACCGTATATTCCCTCAGCATCATCGTCCACCATCCGACCGCGCCTGGGCCGAAGCTCCGATGACAGTTGAGTCGATACTCGATGCACACAGCGAATAGACAAACTCAAGCACAGAAGTTGCGATGCGAACGAATCGACCTAGCTCAGGAAAGAAAACAAAACAAAAGAAAAGACATTAAAAAACAAGGAAACTCCAGCCACATCGCCAGATACCGACCGACCTGAAATGCCTTTTTTTTTACGACGCTTTTTTCAATCGCTTCCGACGCCTTAGCGTGTATGCTCGAAATAATCATTGATAACAGCAAACTCATCGATACTTCCCAAAGAAAAGGCCTCATTATCATTTCCTCCTCTTCATCACATGCAGGCGCTTCTTCAAAGCGCCTCCGCTTGTCCGGGACTTCATATATCAGCCGGTTCAAGAAGCCTTGTTGACATGGCTGCATGTGAGGGGAATGCGTTAGCTGATGCCGCGGGAATACTGAGATGACGTATCACACACATTCCCGAACTCGGAGGCGGGTCCAGCCGATCGCCAACACCCCACTGATTGCTGAGAATGCGGTATTCATCGCAACAAGTGTTGCGGTCGCTTGCTGAATGACTGACTGAATCCAGGACAACGATGCCACTACTCGTCGAATTGCCTGCCGATGCCCTGAAGATCCATGAGCAAGTTGTCAGCGGCCTGGCCGTTGGTGGATTCGTTGCCTCCTTCGTTGGGAAGGAGCTGGTCGATAGCAGTGACTGCGCCGACCACACGCTGAGTTCGAGCATCTTGGTGCTCAGCAGTGCCGGCATGATCGCTGCTGCGGCCCCGTAGGGCTGTGTCCGAAAGGAACTGGCCGAGGCGCGCGCGGTTCTCCGCCGAGTTTTGCTCGGCCGTGTTGGGCCCCGAGTTACCACTAGCAATCAGCGTCGTCAGTCGGACCGAAAGCGAAACGATCGAATCAATATGATACAGGGAGGAGTGTGGGTGGAAGTGCGGGTTCGGACAAGGAGGGCTCAGCTTTTTGCCAGGCATATTCTTGTCGGCACTCGCGGTTGTTTAGCTCGTCCTCTTCGATAGCCACCCTGCCTGGGTAGCCATCTCAAGACGCCTGAGCTACCAAGACACGTCCTTGAAGCAGACTTCATGGACGGACTCCCGCGTAGGCGAGCGATGGTGTCTCATGGGCCGTGTTTCTCACGTACCTGTAGGCGGAGCCCTGCTCGGCAGCGTTGGAGGCGGCGTCGGCATTGCCGTTCTGATTTGGAGAGGCTTCCATGCTGGTGTTTTGGGAATAGCAGAGGCTAAGGGAATAGAGCCACGATCCCGTTCAGGTGTCTGTGTGGTTGGTTGCTCTGGTCGTCTGTGGGAGGTGAATGGTGTATAGTTTTGAGGAGAGCTTCGCGGCAAGAGTGGAAAGTCAGGTGGGTTTGGGGAAGCAGGGCGGCAGGAAAGGTAGGTTGAGTGAGGAGCAAAGCAAGGTGTGAAGTAGGATGGTGGGAGTAAATAAATACAATACTCTTGTGCATGACCAAGGACACTTACGATCTGGGGAGTATGCAAAGGAGAAGAAAGCTCCTCGGCGAGAGAAGGGGGTCGCTTTTTTTCTTCGTGGGTGCGGGAGGCGGAAGCTGGGAGCTGTGGCTTTCGGTGTGCGCAGAAGGGGGGAGAATGGAGTGAGAGTACTTGGTTTGTAGTGTGGAGGGGCTTTGAGTGACAGTTCTTTCGTCAGGTACCTAGAGTTAGACGGGACGGACAGGGACTACAGCTCGGGCAGCCGATCTCGCTTTGGGACGAGGTCGCGGCAAACCCTTTTGTCGCGGGCGTGGGGATCCAGCTTTTAGCGGTTAGTCCAGTCGTAAGGCTCATCCTGGGGTCCCAGGATAGTCCTTGTCCCTCGGATGATTGCCAAGTGAATATGATTCGGAAGTGCAGCGCAGCGCAGCAGCAGGTGCAGGCATTCTGCATCATTCAGAGCACCTGGGCCGGAACGTTTTGGCATGCTGCGCATACCCCATACCCACGTCCATACACAGGTGGACGTACACCCGCATGCCCACACACAAGCCCCTCCATCCTTTTCCCTACCGTTCTGATCATCCCCAGCTGCCGTCTGGCCCATGAAAAAAAAGTACGATGGCAGGCAGCCTCGATACTCAGGTTCTCAACGACGACGGAGCATGAGGGTTAATCGCCCAAGTGAAACGCCCATCTTCTCCTCACCGACGTTCCAATCTTAGATCCCATCTGCTTCCGCCGCCCTCACGGCGGCCGTGGCGGCCACTTCTGATCGACCGCTTACCATCACAATCCCTGTCTATCCGACCTAGTACCTACCTAACGCTTTCGTTTCACTCTCGTTTGTTGCCTCGCATGGGCACTCAAAAAAACCAAAAAAAAAAAACCAAGTTGATGAGCTATGCGGATGGTGCTTGGCCCCTGTATTGCCTCCACTTGCTTTCACTCGCTCGCCCGGGATCTTTCTTTTTTTCCACGGTTTTCCCAGCCATCTAATCGAACCGGTGCACAACTCACCTCACTCATCTCATTCATTGCTTATCCCTGTCCGGCTACTTGGCCATGGGCTGCCTCAGCCACAATGCTTACTTGCCATTATACCAATACCGCCGCCAACCAAACGCCCTAACCAGAAGCTGCCAATCGACTGCCGAGAAAAAAATATAAAAATTTGCAGCGATGCTGGCAAGATGCATGACACGCCACGCTACTCTCTTGCTCTGTAGAAAGAGGGAGGGAGAGAGGGAGAGTTGTGCGTGGCTTGGAACGAGCCAATTGCACCCACAGCATCCTTTCTCCCCCCTCCTCCCTCTTCATACGAAAAATGGCGATCCTCTGTAGCGTTCTCCAACAATTCAGTTTCTCCACACCCAGAGGGGCGGTACCGCAACGTTCCAAACGAGAGAAGGCTTCTTTTTTTGAAACAGAATGCCACTCAGTGTATTGGCGTTCGATCTGAAGCAAACCTCGCGGGCGCAGATGGATAAAATGCACGCGCGAACGCATCGCTCGAGACGGGCGACTGGCCATTTGGTCTGGCAATCGTACAGGCTAGGTGGGTAACTTGGGGTGCCGAGCGACTAGCGTAGTCGGCTTCGAAGCAATTGCTGATATCATGGGCCTTGTGGTTGGCACGAGTCCCAACGGCCCAGCACACACATCAATTGGGCGTCGCGTTTCTCCCGGCCATCCGTCATGGGCTAATTAGTCAGTGGTAGCTACTTGGTCGGTTACACACCGTCTGACGGCATTGTTGTCAGTCCGGAAACGTCTGTTTTGGAGAGTCTTTTTTTCTTTTGCCCTCCCCCAACTGTTCATGCTCTTTCTAATCTAGTGGAGGGGGGGGGGGGGGGGTTCGCATGGTTCGCCCCACTGTTTTCTGTGATGCTGGCTGCCTGCCGCTTGGTCGCCTTATGAGCTAACCAAGTGTAGACTAGCTGGCCTCTTGCCCTCGGCAGCTGCCGCCGGCCTGGAAGGAAGCCAGGCGTTGGCGGAGAAAAGCGGCCATCGTGGTGCTCAACTCAACGTGGCGACTAGGGAACCGTTAAAGAGCTCAAAAACACAAGGAATAAGAATGGTTGCGGTTGAAATAGACTTCAGACGAACAGCAGGGACCGGGCCACTCGGACTCCAAAGTCTGTGCATTGACCATGTGGGATTCTGTCATAGCGGTCCCGCTGTCATGGATCTATCTACTCAAGGATAACCCACCGAGAAATCTGGGTCGTGTAGCGAGAACCAAGTCTCCATCGAGGACTGATTGTTTGCAAATTGCGATGAACAAGTCGTTTGTGGAACGTACAAAGGGATACAAACCGACCCCACGCGAGCCCGAGGGAAAGGTCCGACCTGTTGAAAGCGTCACGCCGACTCCCGTACCTGACAGGTCTAAGGCATTCCCAACCTGCAGCCACCCCTGACACCATCCATTACGGTACCCATCAACGCACCACCCGGATCCATGGTCCCAGCACTGACTGCCATGTGCGTTAAAACGACGAAAGCGAATGATTTGCATAGTACCCGAGTACACGTACGCCAACGCCATCACGCATGACAACTGTGCGCCCGGCCCACGACAAAAACCTTTGGGGCAATTGCGGCGCGACGAGCCCATGCAGGAACAGGCAAGCTGGAATTGCATTCTTGGCTGTTGCCCACAGGTGTCGGGGAGCGTTTCTCGAGGGCGCGCACGAACAGAGCTTGACATACAGGTCTAGATGAAAAAATTGTCCAAGAAACTCGGCTCAGACAACGTCAGCGTTGAACTCCCGAGCTTGTGGGGATGGGATGCTGCTGGACCTACAACGGCAGGTGCCATGGGGGGCGTGTCTGTCTGGAACCCTTGCAGACGCTATTCCTTTTTTGGAAACACTCCACCCACGGCAGTGGCGCTCTCATCATATCCGACTTTTTGATACGTTTTGACAGTGTCGCTAGGTATCTTAATTCCCGAACTGTGATCCGGTTCCGCGCAAGGCTAAAGGCACGGCGTCGACGGGCTGCCCGACAGCACCGCCGGCGCCGGCGCCACTGGAGCCTAGCCCGAGGTGATCGATGTCGGCAACGGCAGCAGCCGCTAGCGACGACGAACGCTGTTGAGTTGTGACGGTCCCGTGAACAAGACGAAGGGACTGGTCCGAGAGGAATGTTTGAATGCGCGCGTCTCTCTGGCCGCGGGCTTCACTAGAGGTTACTGTTTTTGTAGCCGAAGAGTTGCTGCGATGTTGAGCATCATCAGCAATAGCACGACACGACTCAGTAGCGTAGCTCCGCAGATGAAAGGGCAAGGAGGTAGATGGGGAGAGGTTCATCTGAGAAACATACGTGCTGACCGAGCCCTGCTGTGGAGTGTTGGAAGACATGCTTGGGAGACGACGGCAGAGAGGAGAGGCCCGGGAAAAGGAAACGACCTTTCCCGGTTGTTTGGGCTGGGGAGGGATGTTTCTACGCCGCTGTGACAGGACAAGTGAGAGGGATAAGGGTGGACGGCCTGTGTGCTTCTTCGGAATTGGAAAAAGGGTTCTGGGACGTGCATGCATGCAAGCTATCTTTTTCTCCGTGGGAAAGAGAGAAACAAACATAGTTGTAGCTGGCGGGCCATCTCGGTCTATATGTGTTAAATGAGAAGAAGGGTTGCGACGGCCATACCTGTCTGTACGTTTTTGTAGCTTTCCTTGATCAGGCGGGGACGAGGTGAGGTTGTGGAAGAGAAAAGGTGCAAAACTGGCGAGGTACGAGGGTCCCATCCAATCAGGGTACATCGAGACCGATTCTTTGGCGGGCCCGAGGTGATTACCGTATATTCTTTCCTGTCTTGAGTCTCTGTCGCGTGGGGTGTCTGCCGGTGGTAGAGGTGTTACTTTTTCTTGGGCGCCACGACGTGTAGCGCCTCTGAGTGGGTGGACCGGGGCGCGGACGGCAGGCCGGCCGGTGCACCTTGCCTTGTAAACCGGCACAGCCCCTGCTAGCGGCAATGTTCCCCGAGCTCTCCCAAAAACCAGTCCTCATCCAGCATACAGTACCGGCTCAAAAGTCTTGTTACAGCAAAAAGAACACCCAATCAAGCAACTAGGATCCCACCGTGTGACCCATAATCATAAGGGATTTACACAACATTATCATAACAACCGGATTGTTTAGCCTTGGTTTATGTGAGACAAGCATCACGTGACTCTTATTGCTGTTGCAAGACTTTTGAGCTGGTACTGTAGATGGACACAAGTCTGCCGAGTTGGCGATTGATCCAAAATGGTAGGCGTGGTTCGCCATGCCAAGCTTCGCCTTGTGCCACCTAGATGGACTTGTTGGGCGTTAGATGTTATCATCAACATCGACTAGGTATCCTGCTCACCCAATATCCCTGTTCATGCAGCAATGTATCCCTGTTCATGCAGCAATGCCTACAGAGTCTATGTAAAATCCGACACAATTGACGCTGCTTCATCCACGCACTTTCCAACAGCTGGTTCTCGCCGAACACGCGAATCATGTCAAACGCCGAAAGCCGTCGATTAGCAGAGGCCCTCTCATTGGCATGCCAGGGCACCAGTGACACTGCTAGAGACCGACTGCAAGTACGTTCTATATCACTCGTGTCGGGGGAAGTGGCTTGTTTTCAGCAGTTTCCTACAGCTCTGGAGGATTCCCCCATTCACCTCGAGCGCGCCTAGAGCAAGCTACCTGATTACGTGACCAATGTCATCGAAAGCCGATTTCTACCTTGTTTCGCATCGTCAGCCGATCCTGAGACATGGGTATAGTAGCTGATATGCAGCGAAGCTGCTGACTATACGGTCGCTTTGGCGGCGGCGGGGGGGGAGAGGGTGTGCAATTCCTAAAACTCCCCAGATGTGCATCCTTCTGCTCGCTGCTTGCCATAGTGGGTGCGCCCGTTGGTGCATCTAACATGCTCCGGAATGGAAAGCTGCTGGGGTCGTGTCAACGCAGCCAGGGGCGGTATACGGAGAGCGCGGTAGGGATCGCGCTCGTAACCCCCCGGCAAAACGAACGTTTTAGATTTTTATTATTTTGCACGTCAAAGGAGACCAGTGTAAATGTACGAGGGGGGAGGCAAAGTCTAGTCGACCGGAGATGGAGACGGATCCCGGCTCTTTCTCTTTTTCTCTCTTCTAGGGACGACGGGTGAAGATTGCAGTTATTGGGTCCCCTCTACTAGGCCGTCTCCTACACATCAAATCCTGCCTCAAATATAGATCTGAATACAAGTGATGGCTGGGTTGCTGTGCGTCCCTATCACTGTCTTCGATTCGACCAATCCATCATCGGCGGCCAGCGGATCTCGCCGTGCGGTTGTAGGCACCACCGCGCCCCGCAAAGTTTAGCCGGCAAACATCCCTTCAACTTGCGGCGCCCGAGGGTCGTGTCGGCCACAATCGCCTGGCGTACCATGTGCCGCTAGAGGAGGAAATCCGCCTCAATTTGCCTACGCACATGCACCCAGGTCGCTACATGGGAACATGTGCGTCTTGGGGGACGAGGGAACCAGGACCATAGCCAGGTGCTATTCGTCCCGATAGGTGATGCCACTCGCTGTAGCCTGCATATTTGGTAAAATCCTCTTCAGCAGAACCGCACTCCAATAAGACTCCCCCAGGAGGAAGGATCTACGGGAGGATCTACAGCAGGGTCTGCGTGCTGCGCGCATCCAAGGATGGAGGTTTACCGTCGGGATTGTCACGCCTTGGTACAAAGTTACCGTTGTCCGCTTTGCATCGTTGCTTTTTTTTTTTTTCCGAGCCTGCATCGACATCAATCTGCCACGGACGACAAATGGGGAGGGGGCAAGGGGGGGGGGGGGGGGGGGTGTGGGCTCAGCCGGTGAAGCTATGAAAACGGACGGCAAGAAACTTGCCACACGGACAGTGAGAATGGACCGATAGGCAATGGCCTCGCCCGATAAGGGACACGGCGGGAAGCCGAACCTCGAGAAATCGACACCTCGCAAGTCCAAAATGACAAGACGACACCAACAAGGAAGAGGCGGCCGTAGAAGAGGGAAGGGGTATGCTCCCCCCGGGCTGCTCAACAAAAAGGAAAGAAAAAAAGAAGATTACGGCTCAACCTCTCCAGGTGCAAGTGTTCCCCTTCTTCGCATCACTCTGCCATTAGGGGATATCGCTAAGTCGCGGACGCGCCGGCCCTCTATAAAACGGTGGCTTCTTTGGATTGGCATGCCGTCCCAGTGCAAGTCTCCAGCAGGGGACCATGTCATTGAAAAATCCACCAGGGGCAATAGGTTGGCATGTGCCCCAAGTCTTTGACCCCTGACCGGCTTTTTTTGTCATCTGTCATGGTTTTCAAATGTTCTACATTGACCGAATTGCTTCTAAAACAGCAAGCCTCTGTTCGCCTTAACCTGCCTTAACTGCTGTGCGTGTTTTCAACCCCGATACAGGAAGCCGTAGCAGTTTCGGTAGCTGAGCCACCGCTAATGTGTGTTCAGCCAATCCTACCCGCTCTCAAGACGTCCCAGGGGACGAGCTCAATAGCCCCCCCCCCCGGGCCCGTTTGCACTTGAAAACTTGGACGATAGATGAGTGAGGATAGCGTCGACAGTCTCGCGGCCTTACATTATTGGGTAGTCATGTACCTGAGGTACCACCCGGATGATGAGAAGAATGGACGGTTGTACAGCAGTCTTGCATCTCGGTTCAGGTAAAGAGGGTTGGGGGAAACCCCAAGTCAATGTGACAACTGACATTGGGTACGGCAGTAATTGGCGTCACTAAGCCGGGGGATAGACATGGTTGCTTCAGCCACCTTCTCTTCTGTCGACAAGCTCAGCAGCACGACACCACCACCAGCCGACCCATACCCCGCACGCCATCCTCAGCGCACGAGGTGGCTCTTCGACGCCGCCCGTCTTTGCACATGTGGGCGATGCGGGCTCCCGACCTCCCGGCCCCTTTCCGCCCGCCCATATGCTCCCGCGTCCACGGCGACGGCAGCTGCCTGCGTCCATGACCTGATGTGCCGACCCTACACCTCTCAAATCTCCAAGACTTTCAGTGAATTTTTGCGCGTGTCGCCCTTGGCGCTCCGAGGGCCACTTCGGCCGCTCGATTGCGGTGGCATTGGGGTCATCCAGCTCGACCGCCAGGGGGGGAGGAACGCCATCATTTCTCGCAATCGTGCGCGCGATAGACCCCCCAGGACCACCATCGGAAATGTAACCCGCTAGCAAGGTTGGAGTGGACCCGAACAGTCGGGTGCTGATGAACGGCGGCAGGGTGTCCCCCCCAGAAGGTTACAACATATTCGTACACCCGGCGCACCAGCCCCAACCCTTTGAACCGTAAAAGGGAGCTGCAGGCCCCTGGTCAGAGTTGAGTTGGAACACCCCCCCCCCCCCCCCCCCCAAAGACATCACGGAAACTTGCGCACCCCCCCCCCCCCCCCCCCTCTCTATGTATGTACATCTGTAAAGTACTACATACGCACGTTATTTTCTTCCTAACCCGCCTGTCTTATCTTATTAGTAGCTAAAATGGGTGGCCAGACTCGGTTCTATCTTCTGGGGCCTGGCGAGCAAGCAAGCAACTAATCATAGTTCTAGGGCTATGATGCTTGCTTGCTCGACGGCCAGCATCACACCCACCTGGTCAGTTTTGGTAACTGAACACCTCCCCCTTCACCCCCTACCATCTTTTGCGGCTACCAGAGCTGGAAAAGAAAAAGAAAAAAAACCCAAGTGGCTTGTGTTTTTTTCGGATTGCATGTCACATTCTGCAAAGCGCGCATAGGAGCGGCCAAGAAGGGCCGGTCGAGTCGAGGTGCTTGTCCTCGGTCACACGTCGTGCCGCCTCTAGGCAAGGAAGAAGGATGGAAAATGACGGTTCAACCGGCGGACGGAAGACGCGTCTATCTGCAGTGTGCTTTTTTGTCCGTTCTCTGATCCAGGTGTCAGCCGAGAGATAGTGAGATCTGACCGACACCGGACGACCTGTCATTTAGTAACCAACCACACCGACCGGACCGGACCGGACCTGAAATGATGGTTACGGCGGGAGTTCCGCCCTGAAATGGTTGCAGAAGAAAGAACAACAAACGAGAAGCGGAAGGATTAATTGTTATTAAACTCCTAGGTTTCTACGAAGCAACGCCATCAAGCCAGCCATGCCTCGACTTGCTCCGGGATTACGTCTTAAATTGCGCATCCTCCCTTCCCCTGGGTCGATCTTTCCCTCCGAGGACAACTTCGCATGGAGCCTCATGCCCCCCCCCCAAGCGATCTGGTAACCACCGTTTTAGGCCCGTACAGTGATCCAAAAGCCCGCTACTCTCGTGTCGTTTGTCACTTGGTCGGGAATTGTGCCGCTGCGCTGCGCCGCGCCGCGTCTGCCGAAATGGCGGCGATTACTTGTGGCTCTTCTCCGACTTGGGGTTGTACCGCTGTCCTGCGTGACAAACTAGGGTACCAGAGTATGCAGTCACAGCAAAACAAGGTGAAAGGAACTCCCATCGAGGGGCCAAACGACGCCCGAGTGCGAATCGACGACGAATGGGCCAGCAGCAGCGTTGCAGTCAAGCCCAAAGTCTGTTTGTTATCGGTCGCTAGCGGGCAGTAAATAGTGCCGGCTCTAGATCAGGGTGTGCCGTCCGCAACCACACACCACCTCCTGTTTTGTCGCACACCCTCACGGCCTCGACCCCTTCGATAGAGAAACACTGGTGTAATAGGATGCGAATAGGGTGAGAAGAGAAGAAGGGGGGGGGGGGGGGTGGTAAGCGTGAGAGGGCGGAAGGCTAAGGGCCAGAAGGGAAGGGGGAGGGGTGGGAGCGAGTACATGTCTGTCTGTCTGTCTGTTCCTGGAGAAAAGCAGAGCCGACACACATGGATGTAGGGTGTGACGGAGGGACTGGGACTGGGAAACACCCAGAGAGCAGACCGTCCTGTCGCCGGCAAGCGTCATTGTCTTCTGCAGAAGAAGCCTGTCAGGTACCTGGCGGCGCTGAGAGGGGTCAGAGGGGTGGGAAAAGGAAGGGGAGGGTGTGGAAAAGAGAAAAAAGAAGTGGTCTTGCCGGGGTGGATGCCGAGGGTGTGCGAGTAGGAACCGTTGAGCAGTGGTCACTCCGTCCAAAGAGTAGGAGGGGAGAGGGGGAAAAAAGGGAAGAAGTGGGTTTGGACGTCGCTCGGGAATCCTGGTTGACGGATGATGGGGCGGCAGGTACCGTAGACACTGGTGAGATCCGGTAAAAGCTAGGAAGCCCGCTAGCCAGAAAAAGCTAGCAGATATCCTAGAGCAGCTAGCGGATATCTACCACGCTAATCTCAATATATAAAGCGGTCAACCTACTAGCCTACCTATCCACCCACTTGCCTACTTGCCTACTGCTGACGTAAATAACTAACCCCTGCTTCTGCCACCTCTAGATCCCTGTTTCTGCCAGTGCACTATACCTCTCACAGCGGCCGCGATACCCCTTACCGTTAGTAGGTTTCCTAGCTTTTACCGGATCTCACCAGTGTCTACGGTAGGTGAAGAGAGTGAAAACGCAGCTACCCCCACCCCCACCTTGCCAGCAACAAGTCAAGGTACAACAAGGGGGAGATAGTACTTGGAGCTTGCTCGTACATCTGCTGCGTGTGCTCCGAAAGCTCTGCCTTGGTTGATAGGGGAGGTTTAGCTACGAGATTCAATGGTATCGTATTTCCATCGTGTTTGAATTTTTGGGCATGATGCCTGTTTTTTTTTTGTTTTTTTGCTGTTTTCTTTTTCTGTTTTTTTTTCCTTCCCGGTCGTGTTGGACCATCGTTGTGTACTTGTGCGACCTCAGGAGGGACCGCCTTGTGACAGTACGTACCTCACTCTACCGTGTATGCGCAAAAGGTACGTAGGTTTGTACCAAAGACCAACAGCTCTGTCCCCCTTCCTTCTCGATCCGCTCGCTGAAGATTTCACTGACATGATGTGCGCTCGAAGTCACGGTTGAGGGCTCGCCACCAACTGCCGCAGTGGGATGGCAGGAAACGTGTGTACAAGATTTGAAGGGCCTTTGTTCCCAGGCGAGCTCAGCGCCGCCAGGCCCTAACGGCTCCCGGTATTGGCAAAGCAAAGCAGACGAACGCTCACGCAAGGGGGTTCGTGGGAGACTACTCGGCCAAGATCGCGGCGCTCAAAACATCTCCTTCACGGAAACCAGTTGGGACGAAATCAACTGACACGTCTTCGATATATACCAAGAACACCCCCCCAAAGCACTGATGGCGGAAGTTTGTTGTTTACTTTGGATCGGAGCACTTGTGCCGCTCAACGCTAGGCAAATACCGCTTCTCGTATATGATGTTTGAGCCAAGGGAGTGAGGAACTCATCTGCTGGCAGCCGCAGCTAAAAATAACCAAGGCCATGAGCTCATACCGGAGACTAAAGTCATTTGGACTGTTGACCGAGCTTCCCCTTCATCCCGCACGTGAAAATGCCCACCGAGTCGGGTTTGAATTGGCCCACCACACTGAATGACGTATGATTCCACGAAGCCCTTCAGTTGCAGGGTTCAAGATTTCGGTCCATGTTTCCGTGGCTTGCTGAATAAGCAGTGTTCTCGCAATGAATGAGCTTCACCAAGCCTCGGCCGCGTCGCCTTTCACTTTTGTGAGGGCCTGCCATGGCCGATTGGCATTCTTAGCTTCGCTATGATGATGTCAAGCGAACCTCTCTCATATATATGGCATGCATGTGAGCTTTTTCGTCAGCGGCCGCGCCGGGTAGGTGTCATAAGTTGATGAATCACGGGGTGATGGTAGGTCCAATGGCACACAACTGAGAGTGCTTTGCCATCAAGACACTGCAGCTCCCCGGTCGTTCCCATGACATCCACCTGGACCGGGATCAAGGTACCTCCTCGAAGGACGATCTTTTGCGGCTCTGCACAGTAAAAAAACGTGAATCTAGGTCTCCAGAACACGGTGCCTCGTCATCACCCCATACACTCACGGTAGCTTGAATTTGCCGCTCCTTGCATTGACCGGGCAAATCGGAGGGCCACCTTTGGGTGCCAAGGCGAGTCCCTTTCTCGGCCAGACTGAGCGAGACTCGACCAGACCAAGCGGGCGCGTCCCTCTCTCGCCTGCAAGCTGCCGACTGTTCCCACCCATGCAACTATCCGTTGCGATTGCGACTGATAGTTGCGTTACCACCAGTTCTGCCGCCTTTGAACCAACCAATCGGTATCCCATCCGCCATATGCGAACCAGGCTCGGAGTAGGCGAGGCACTGTAATGGCCCACAGTGACACGGTGACACAAATGCGTCGACCTGGGACCTCTGCCAAAAGCCTGTCCAGACTCTCCAACCTTTTCGACCGTACCCGCCGTGGCTCTAGGGGATGAATTCGTCGGGCTCCAATTCAGGGTAATTGCTGTTTCGGAGGGCGTGTTTTTCCACTTTGGCTGCTTCCATGAGCGCGCGGGCGTTCGGGTGGCGAATACCACCCTCCCCTAACGCTGAGAAGAGGAGCACGAACGCACTACGGCCCCCGGGAGATTGAGGTTACCTGTTACCATTGTGAGCCGGGCGTACCTCTGGCTCCATGGGATCCTGTACCATCGAACCCGGTGCCGTCGGATTCTAATGACGTGGCACACAAGGTGTATGCGAATCCGACCAGTACTTGTTCGTTGCTTCTCGGAACCTGCCGGTGAGGTGTTGCTTGTCGTCTGGACCCCCCTTTCCCAGTGGCCCTTGATTTCCCCTCTCGTGCAAAAAAGGGCGGTACGGTGTCTTCGAATTCCCCTGCATGAGCCTCCCCCCCTTCTGGATTACGGCCCGTGGAGCGCTCTGTGACCGGCTGTTTCGCCCCCCCCAGAACCCAGCGGCATCGAACAACAAACACTCACCGCCACCCTTGGGATTGTGGAATTAGACGGTTCGGGCCGGGTCCTGTCGCGCAAGGCCGCTCAACCTCGTCAGCCATGGGTATCTTTCCGAGCCTTGGCCATGGTGCGCAAAAAAAAAAAAAAAAAGGCATCCATTCACGTGCCTCGTTGGTGTACGCAACATCTTGCAGCCTAAATTTTCAGAGCCGCGTTGTGGGCCTCATCCCTTCGTCGTCGTCTCTGTCTCTGTCTCTCATATCTCCACATGTGATCATCTGTAGGATGGCTTGGGAAATAACGAAAATAAGAAAATAAGAAATAAAAAAGGCTGGATGAGCCGAATGACGTTGGTCGTAGATGTGGTTAAGCTCCACTAAAGAGACTTTGCACAGACAGGACAGCACGTTGACTGCGGAACCTAAAGTTTGGCGGAGACGCACGGGCGGGCGTTTGCCACGGCATCCCTGGCCATGGCAACTGCAACGTTGCCTTGGGTAGGTAGGTACCTTGGGTACAGTACAAACCGAAGATACCTGGGGCAGTCGAAAGTCGGGACCGAGATTTCAAGGTCCTGTAGGTACCTACCTACCTATTGCTGCTATCGGTCCAATCCCGGGCGGGCAGGATCAGGTTCCGAAATGGTAATGAAGATGCGCCAGGAAAAAGAACTGACTGGCCCATCTACAGTGGGGTAGTAGCCCTGTACACTACCTCGGTACCTACATACCTACTTGAGGTATCTATCTATTTCCAACCCCACAGCCACAATTGAAAGGGTCTGCCGCTGTTTGTTGTCAAGTATCAAAAGCGAAAGTGCAGTCCACGAGCACACGACTTATTCTGTTGAACTCCTCACCTTGAAATCCTGATTAATTGCTGAAAGTACGGTTTCTATTGAATTGCGGTTACAATATCGGCAGCATTGCAGTCACTCCGCCATCACCCTATTCGAACTGCTTCCCGACACCCTTCAGATCATGCTCCATATCTGGCCTCAACAACGGCGTTGCATTTGCCATCTCGCCGCGACCCGAAGGGTTTCCGAGGCGCTGCAATATCCCGCCGACCTCTCCGTGAACCCGAGCCAAGTGAGTGTGCGGTCCGTCAAAGGCAAGTACCGGGTCGGGTATGTGAACCGCAGCCCTGGTCTGGGCGCTTTCTGCAGCGGGCGTAAGGCATGCTCGAGAGTCGCGGTCTCCCTGTGAGTCCTCGGTCTGGCTTCTGTGCAAGTTAGTGGGCCATTGATCGTGAAGCGATCCGCCGAACGGGAAACCTCATTGCCTCCTGGCCCTGATCGGATGACTCCATCAAAGCTGGCTTGATACGCACCAAATGGCATGTGATATGAATGGGACTCGAGAAAACATATAAAGAAACATGGTATATGGCTTTTGAGAGGGGCAATGTCACCTTATACTGCCGTTTATCACGAGCATTGAATGAGTAGCAGAGAGTTTGGGCATCGTTTCGACGGCTCAGATCAGGTATAATGGGTTGCCTGCCGCGGCGGGACCTCTTTTGGAGAGGCAGCTTGTGCAGGAGGGAATTTAAGAAGAACGAGAGAAGGAGCCCATTACGCCCCGTCTGGTCAGCATGCGAGCGTACCGGCGAAGCGCATTCGTGATGGCGTTTCATGAAAATCGTAATAAGCTGGGGGGATCTGGAAGGAAAAGCCCAGCAAGTAACATGGGCAAATCGTATATCGCATCGTTTCCTGGGTCCTTAAAGGGGGGGGGGGACTGCGGAGGTGGTTGACTGGTGTGTAGAGTTACATTATCAGAAATCGCATCCACCGGATCGAACTCCGGCGATCCGGACACTGAGCGCATGGGACGGCAGACACCAAAAAGCAAGCATAAAAAAGTAGAACGAGCGTTCCTGGGCGGGGAAAGGGGTTTCCGGGGCATGCAATGACATGGTCCGGTGCGTCAACCTGCAATGCGGTGAGAAGAGACGTGCAGCCGCGGGTTTGGCGGAAGCACAACCGCTCCGAGGCAGGGCGGACCGGGGGGGCTGGCTGCTGCGAGCCCGACGATTTAGGACACCCGTTGTCTGGTATGGTGCAGGCTCTTATCTTGTGGTGGGGTTCGAGATTAGCTCAGCGCAAGACCTGCATGGCCTGCCAGCCGTAGTTCCAGTCAGTCTTGGAATACTGCGATCCTTAGTTCAGCCATCTCTGTCCCCAAGACATCAAAAGTTTTTACCTCGAAAATCCCGGCCCGACCCACGTGTTGCTATCACTTCAGATATTCCACACATAACCTGAACCAGTCAAGGCTACTGACGCCCGCTGGTAATGCGCATGGCGATGATGCAAGCATTAGCCGTTAACAGGGATTAGTCAAGTCCTGTCAACCCACTCAAGCAGCAGGGCTCACTACAACTACAAATGAGAGCTGTAGCTTAACTTGGTGCGTTGATGGCAGTTTTTGGGTTGAAAACACATGCTTCGTATCGTTTTATAACATATAAGACTGGCACGGCATCGACTTCCCATCCATGACCACACCACCGTCCCATTAACCTCCCGCATCGCATGGTCTATGCCCAAATTGGTCAGGTGGTTACCCCGCGGCCGAAATAGGCAGGTGGGGGCGGGTCTCAGTCGCAACTGGGGATGGACAACGGAGAACGGATACGTTGAGAAGGTGGGTTTCTCTTTTTCCCGATACATCGCACCCTTCGCGACTTCCGTTCCCGTTCCGGGCCGAATGCCACACTCCAGAATTGCGTGATGGTGATCAGAAATCGTGAGTGTCAATATATTCCCACAGCCCGGCTCCAAGAGACTCGTAAGGTGATGCAACCCGAGTCATCGTCCCGGCCAAAACTGGGCCCCGACCCCCGCCAACTCGGCGTCTACGCTGTAGACCCGTGACCTGGCGTCTGCTCCGATAATGGGCGCAACCCGCTGCAGACGCCTCGCGATGCTGTTGATCTCCGCCGCGAGTTTATCATTGCGGCGCTGAGCATCTTCAACGTTCCCGACGCAGGCGGTCGGGATATTGGCGGCGGCATGCGTGTTGATTGAAGCGGTGCCCAGTCGAGCCGCCCGAGGAGCTTCTGCCTCCAGCTCTGATTCCCTGGGTAACAGATTAGCTCAAGTGCCCGACGGACGGCAGACACACGATGAAGGTGGGGGGTGGAGGTGCTGTGATTTGCCGGTACGCGACAGGGGTGCGCGGGGTGTGTCAGCAGTGAAGGTACTCCGGTATAGTCTTGGCAGATTAAAGGGAGGAGGCGACAATGTTTGGGGACCCAGGATTTACCTCGCAGCACTACCGTTCAGAGGTGTAGTCGAGGGCATCGCTATCTTACTCGAGCCAGCACGGGGAACTGATGCTTTCAACACGTTTTCCCAGATGGAAACTCGGGGCAACCTTGTGGGAAGTTTCTTTGCTCTTTGAGAAAGACACTTTTGACTGTATTGCTCGAGTAGACTTCGTGGTAAGTTACCGAGGGTGGTACAGAAGGAGTATGGAAGAGGAGTGATCCTGGATGAGTTCGGCAAGGAATCGACACCAACGAGCTTTCCGAGCTGCTTGTAAGAAACGAACCCTTGGCCAAGGTAGAGCGTACTTATTTGAGGCAGTTGGATGTTCTTGGTTGACGCGGCCATACAAAATAAGATGATGGGGTGGAAAACCAACGGCGGGGATGGCACCTTATAAACATGAGAGTTAGTACTGGTCATTGTTGAACGGTGCCTCGAGTAAGGATTTCGACCCTGCTGGTTTAACGAGAGACGTTCCCTACTGAGGCCCATGTCGGCCAGAGATGAGCGTACGTCGTGGTCAGGTCGTACAAGATAAAGACGTATGCTGCCCAATCCAGAAATTGGCCTGCATACCAAGAGTTACGTATAGAGCTGAGGATGGGAAGGGGAGGCAGGAGACAAGGGTTTTTGGAGCTGCCGGCTCAAACAGTTTCCTGCTGCCCTCGACCACGGCACCTTGCGGGCCTGGCCCGACGTCGTTTTTCCGCCTTGAGCCTAGGGTTACGAGGCGGCATGGGCTCTGTGTTTTAGGGTCTGCTACGTAGTAGGTCTGGATTCACGTGGGACTGGTTCGGCAGGTGGCGGCGGGGTGGTTCGTAAATGGGCAGAAGAGCAGAGTGCAGGGTCAGTACAGGGGGGTCATCAGCAACGGCCGAAAAACTGCAGAAGTGGAGCATGTGTGGGAGAAGCCAGATCTGGCGAAACGCCATCGCGTGCCTCGGCATCTGTGTCGCCTTGCTTATACAGTATGCAGTGTGCGTCATCCTATTGTCCCTGTTGGCGTGAAGGTCAGGCGTGGTTTCATTTGCGGGTGCCGTTTTTGCCTCCAACACAGGTGAGAGAGATCAAACAGACAGAAATGGTACGTACTCGTCAAACGTCATCTGCGACTGACCAATCATGTTACACTGTTGAGGCTCTGATGGGCCTTACGCGGCGGCGCCAAAGCCGGGGAGGGGCCGACTCTGTCGCGCCTCGATTGCTTTCATATCCGGTAGAACGTTGATACTGTCCGGCGCATTCGAAACAGTGAGCACAGTGCATGCCGTCGGTAGCCGCATCGGCTGTAGGTTATCAGAAATCTGCACCTACCTACATATACACGGGGTCTGCCAGAGTCTTTGAAAGCCTGTGGGGTAAACCACAGACAGATGAGTGTGGAAGTATTGTAAAACTTGCAAGTGTCTGAAGAACAGACATAAGATAAAATTGTTAGATAACACCATCTTATTGTTTGGATGGGACGATGAAATGGATCTCTGTTGGTTGACGGAAAGATTAGGAAATCTTCTCGCGTCGACTCTCGACCATTCGCAGGGTTGCGAGCAAAGAAGATGAGTAGCTTAACCGCTCTTCAGCTCGGGATTTCAGCTGATTTCGTGTCATCATCAAGTAAGTCAATCCGAATAGCGGGGCGACTTCGAATAAGCCGGATGTTTTACCATGCATATTTCCGCAGAATGAGACTTCACAATATGGAAGATCCAGCTGCTATAACATCACCCCGGCTCGGAGATCCAAGCCGAGAGAATCAACCACCACATGGACTACATTTACTGGAAAATTTCTGGTAAGGCTGTAACAAAAGTCAAGCTAAAGCATATGTAGAAGCTCATAGTAATGTGTTGCCCCCCTCCATGACCATTGTGGTTGCTGGGCAGACCGTAATGCTATCGATGAAAAGACGGCTTATGGACCCCCTAAACTGGACATAAGAGACAGAAGCAATGGAAACCAACCGATTATTCCGTCTCCCTGCTGTACTGTCTTTGCACAGACCGCGCGGTTCGTAGTTATCGTCGACGGGCACCCCGTCTCCGTTCGCACCTTCCCAGGCACTGTGCTCCTTCCCTTATTCGAGGTTGAGCATTATGAAACGTCTCCTGGAAGGAACTAATCGAGAGCCTTTCAGCTTCTTTGCGACTGAACAACTATTGTTGCTTCATGTTGCCGAAGTAAGTTCGTTTAGGGGCTGAAAGCGCTTGCTTGTGGCATCGACCCTTTTCGGTAAAGGAAACCGCTTCCAGGCCAGGCCGCCAAGACTTGGAACTTTCTCGGCCATCCACGCCTCCATCTTGAATCGTTTAAATCATACAAGCTCTCGACCCCGGTCTGAACAGAAACATGGGTGCAGTGATCAGCCGCCTTCACGAAGGTGTGGCCCCGGATAAGCGACGTGGAGAACTCCAGCACAGCACAAAGCCTTCGGCCATCATTTTGTCTTTGGTCTCAGCTTATCATCAGCTTTCCGAGAAGCATCAATGGCACGAGCTTGGTGCGCCTTGACTCTATCGTGCTCCTCCTTGTCGGTGTGGAGGCGCTCGTAGAGGTCTCGATGCTCCGCCAGGTAATGGGCAACACAGGATAGTGTCTCGGCGGCATCGGACTGCTGATCCGAGCTCGATCTGGTAAGAAGTAAGCATTTTAATCGTTATTGTATCTAGTTCCAATGATTTCACTGACCTTTTCATAGATTTACCGTTCATTACGACCGACGCTTGGGAAGTCGACATTTGGTATCGAATTGAGACGGTGTTTGACGAATGCTTGTCGACTAAGTGAATTGCGAGACTGCATATGTCGCGCAAAAAGAAGACGCAAGCTCCATTTGTTGATTCGAGAAACGAACGAGTACGTGGCTCCAGGCCGACAGCGGTGACTACTTATGGGCGCGGAGGGCTCGTGAAGCCATCTGCCGCACCCCTTCCTCCAGCGCAATCTTGACCGACACCCCACAACGAGAAGCTTGCAGTCACACAAAACCCCATGGTATCAAGTGTAATAAACTGCACACTGATGTGTTCTCTTTGTGGCCCCAAAGACAAAGGTGCCGAGGGACTCGAAGGCGGCACAGGGCACAGTTCCCATTGGTTGTTCGGCCGTTGACGAGCCTCCCGCCCAAGACCATGTAGAGGGAAGCGCGTACAAGATCCGCGGCATTCCTCGCTGTGAAGTACTACTGGGCTTTAGTCTCACCGAGAACGACCGGCAGGGCTCATAGGAGGGTGGCTCGGCGTCATCGACTCTCACACTGGGTAGACGACCAGTTGGGGCTTGCCTGACTATGCCGATGTTCTCTACTTGTGGGTGTCTCACAAGGATCCGCACCCTGCCAGCGTTCCAGCTCCTTGGCCACGAACAGAGCGGAGCAGCCCTCGTCAAAAGCGCTCACACAGTCTCTACCAAGCTTCCGGGGAAGTCAGGAACAGCTTCCGGCACCCGGTGTGTTGAGCATTTGACGGCCAACCCAGATGTCACCCTGCAAGAACGAGGAATGAAAAGCACGGACTGCAGCCCAAGCCGCTCCTTATGCATTCGGCCTCGTCTTGCATCGGCAAAATCAACGCCAGTGGAACGGCCCATGCCGAGAGGCCACGCTCTGCCTCGGAGGTAGATGTTCGCTGTGGCTGCGCCGCACTTACCCTTCCTGTGTCGCGCGTGTGGGAGAACAGCATGATCAGTTGGATGCACGGAGATGCGACTCGGGGGAGAGAGCATGCATATACATGGCCAATCACCCGCCGGCTCCGAGCGAATCTATTTCCCATTGGTGTCAGCAATCAGAAGCCAAGGATGGCCGGCCCTTCGTCCACCGCCCTTTGCTCTAGTAAGCGTCTCTTCGCAGGCATGGAGTATGAGGCCTTGGCTATCTGCTTCCTTGACCGACATGGTCTCACCGCGGTGGCATTGATAACGTGCCGGTCGAAATCTAGAGCCTTGCAGTCATAGAACAGCAATATGCCCGAATGAAGACCGAAACCGACGAAAGAGCCATGAGAAAATAGCAGGATCTTGATAGAAAGAAAAAAAAACATCTATCGAAGTCGGATTTGAGCCGTTTAGCAACAAACTTCTGTACCGGAGCACAATAGTAAGCAACGCGTCATTTCGTCACCACCCTGTATTGGGAGGACATGGCATGGCGAGCACAGCATTGGAGCCCGTACCACACCCCTGGCGACACGTCGATCGAAAAGGGAAACGAATTCAGGGCAGTATTACGGCCGAGGAGGATATTGTCGGAAGAACAGGCTACCCGTACCCATTGTATAGCGTTCTTGTTTGCTCCATAGGGACGGTGTGTGGCACAGGGGCATTGTACAACCGACGGATCCCTCGACCAGTCTCCCCGTGTACAACCCAACGAATATGACTGGCGCCTCCGCGCAAAGCGCGCCTCGACCATTCTACTTGTGCGACCGGCCCAGGCGTTAGCCTTCTGCGAGCCGACCCCAGAGACCGAGGTCTGCGAAAGCCGTTGATGGCCGATGCTCTCTGGGATCTGGGATTCCCTAGCGTCTTTCGGATTCGTCTGTTCCCACGAAGTTCCGGTTCACCCTTGTCACGACGGCTGCATTGACGGGTTCTAACCTTGTCACACCTCGTTGGCATCGGATGACAGGCACCTGCTTCACACCCAGGCCTACGATAAGATTGCCCACAGACTCTCCTTCGCGCAGTTTGCCCTTCTACCACGTCCCGGTGAGATGGCGCATATCGGTGAGGCGACACCTATTTGCCGGTGTGGCATTAGCCTCGCTTTGCAATCGGCCGGCGTGCAACAAGATTGCGCGCCTGCGGGTTCTGTGGCTGGTCGCGTTCCCTCATAGGCGGAGTTGACACATACGCACGTATGAGGCCTTTGAAAGGGCCGAATCGCATATAAGCCGGCAGGGTCATGTCGTGATATCAGATTTCACATCAGGGCACGTCCCTCGGTGTTTTGCTTCGCGTCGATCATCAAGCAAACACTGCTCCTCCACCTCCACTCGCATTTCAGCAACTATTGCCGACCTTCCGCTCAGTATCATCACGATGGGCCTCACTATGGCATTCTGCAGGCCGTTGAGCGAAAAGACAATGTTTGCGACACCAATCGTCGCTTACGCCAAGGAGTTTACTTTACTGCCCGATATCGCGCTGAATAGAACCCCATGTCACCAGTTTTCTTTTTTAGGTTGTTTTTTTCTTCTAACCTATTTCCTTGGTCAACGCCGCCCTGTTCTGATCTGGACCCATGCAGATATCTAGCACATAGACGCAAGGGCCGAGTGCGCCTGCTGGACAAAAACGTCCGTCCGAGTGTCTGAGTCGGACCTCATCCTGGCGCTGTACCCCGGGCTATAGAAAATGTCCGGAATGTCGTTTCCTTCGGCTCCTGCGATTGCAGTCCGGATTGAGGAAGGTCAAGCTTGGAACCGAGCAGAACCCACGGATCCAGACGATCCCATGCTGCAGCCCAGGGGTACACTCTTTCGCCGTCACTTTGTTAAGCGAGAGGGTTCCATCGTTGACGCCCAACTTTCCTGTGGACACTGCGTTGGTGACCTTACATCCTAATGCTCTCTATGTGTACCCGGGTATAGTCAGTAACTAGTATCCAGCTCTTCCCAGATCGCCGCCACTTGTCAGCTACAGGTCCCCGGCCGTGGAGAGCCGAAGCTCTGCTGCTACAAACGAGTGAGACCAGCCTCAAAGCTGAGTAACAAAAAAAAAACCCCCCGACAAAAAAGGAGCGGAGCAGTCAAACTACTGTAAACGAGGTGAGAAGAAGCAGTTCATCATCCTCTTCGCTAGAGAACCACCAGTCTTTTATGGAAGCTTTTTGGTAAGGGGTTTTCACTGGCGTCGTTCAAGTTACATGTGTTAGTCGGATACCTGTTTCTGTTTTTCTGTCCGGTCCTAAGAGGGCAGGCTGCAGCTTGATGCCGTCTCCGCTGACCTGGCAATGCGAGATTCCGCCGGCGGAACCAGCGAACAGGAGGCCGGGGCTGGATAGGACGGCTTATGCATCTGCCAACGAGCATATAATCAGGCGGACTGAGAACATGGCCGTCTTTACTGCTTTTTTCTCCTTAATCTTTTTTTTTTTTTTTGTATTTTCTCTCAGAGAGTGAGACGGCTGCGCCCCGGCAGCGGCGGGACTAAGGGACGGTCTCAAAAGACTCTCGCTTGTGGCGCTACTAATCCAACCCGCGCGCCCACAACCTCGTGGCTTCGAGACGCCCAAAGCCCGTTAGACCTCGACCGCTCGGCCCACCCGTCAAAGCTATTTCTCATCCGTTCAACGATGCCGTGCCGGATGGCTGGTATGGCGTGTTCCCTTCCGCATCGTCCGTGAGGTCACACAGACGCGGCGGGCCGTGCTTTTTTTTTTTTTTTTTTCTTGTTCTTTTTCCGTCGACAGCGCCGGAAGCCCCTGGTTTCCATCTTCGAGCGCAGCTGATTGGGAGTGGAGGGGGATTTAGCATATTTTGTTGTTACGCGACGGCTGAGAAGGTAGGCCTCTTCATGAGTTTAAACGCTCGCCAGGTGAGCTGGCACAGTGCTTGTAGCTCAGTTGACGGCAGCCGGACCCCAGCCCGGGAGATGCGTTTCGGAGGCTCTTCCCAACTGGCCATGGTGTACCAGCCCTTATCCGGTCTCACCACCACATACCAACCAGACGTGCAGGGAGGGCGCCCACTAGCAGCAGTCCACTTTGTCGGGTTCACAGGAACGCCTTGGGTTGTTCCTTGCACACACACACACACTAAAACTCCCGCCCTCTCCTCCCCCCCCCCCCCTGTAATCCCTCCACTAGCTTCTTTACCTTGCACTCGGCAGAAAACTGTGGGGAGAAGTTCGGCCCCTAGGGAAGAGGGAGCCCAAAAACTGGATCGCTTCGGGGGCCCTGGCCTCGTTGCTGGCGGTCCCCAGTCACCCCGCGATCCCACCTGAGGTACCCAAGTAGACAAAGGCCCAGCGCCGGTCACTGAGTCCGGGCGGATGCTCGACCAATGACGCGTCATTCACCTCGTGGCATGGCCCTGTGCGACTGGGGCCGAACCGAGACGCGCGTATTCTTTGTATACATCATCGACGCCGTGTGCGTCACTGCCGTCGAGCTGGATCGTGACGACGTTGAGCGATGACGAAGCAGAGACGCAGAAGCCATAGCAAAGAACCGTCGGCCAGATGATGTCCGGTATCACATCACGAGTTGTGCGAAAATCACGGGCAGTGATGAAGAACCGAATATCATGCATTTGTGCGCCGAGTGCCGCCTACCGAAACCAATGGCTAAACACCTGAAATGATTTTTCCGCCATCGTCCTACCAAAATAGACACTTTTGTTTTTTCTATATCCGTGACCAAATGTGTAAAGAAGAATCCCGAAAAGAAAGAGTTTTGTAACAGGGTAGTAATGATACAGTGTCGTCGAAAAAAAGAGAGGAGTTGTGTCCCGTGTTATACACAGCTGCGGATGCAGGGAGAGGAGCGCCGTTGAGGCGTCAATGCCCGTTCATAGCCGTCTGCGGCAGATTGGCGAGGTGTTGGCCAAGCATTTCGTCGAGCGACGTAGGCCGTTGTTCGCCCGAATGAACTCGGTGGGCGAGGCCGTAGTCCTTGTCACTCATGAACCTGTCAAGGCGGACGTCTCTCGAGGGCTTCTCGTTGGGTGCAGGCCGACTGGCAGACCAGCTGCTCCTAGTTTCATATCAGCTGCTACTCGGAAGTGGTTGCCTGCGGTGCTGGGCGGGGGAGGGGGGACAATGATAATGTAAAGACTTACAGGCGGCCGGTGTTGTTATCCATGGAGGAGGTGTGGCTGGCAGGCATGGCGAAGGATGAAGGGTATCGTACGTAAAGTGAAGAAAGAAGTACTTTTGTGCAAAGGATATCGGGGAACGGCCAAGGGGTCGTTTTGCAAAGAAGCGAGCAAATGATACAAGGTGGAGGGTCTTGCTCCGAGCAACGACTACCGGGACGACGAGATGGAAAGAAAGGAGATGGATGGGGACAGGTCCGCGAGTCGGCATGGCTACCAAGGTCGTCTTTAGTAGAAGAGGCCGACGAAGGAGACGGCGGACACATATGATATGCGAACCAGATGCTGGACGCCTGCTTGGGTCACGAATCTCATGAAGCGCGGCGTGGTGGTGAGTAAATCGGGGGTGAAGGAAACAACCGAGGTGTGCCTTGGCGCACGGCGACGAGTACCGATGCCACCACTTCAATGTATGTCGGATCAACTGGGTTGGGATATCGAGGGTACAGAAGATCGCCAAGAAGACGACCAGGTCAAAGTGCAATTACAACCCCGAATCATTGCGTCGTGTCTGACGTTGGCCTCACTTCTTCCTCCGTGCCGGATATGATTCGGCCGTCACTGCACCTATGTGCAATAACCAATCTCTTTTCTATCAAAAGGCGGTCCGACAGGAACAAGAATAGGGCCAGGAACAGGGGATACAAGGGAAAAGGGTGGTCGATTCTAGGAGCAAAGTCTGTCCCATGCATCAGTCAGACTCTAAATCGGTTCTCAGTATTGGGTCAGTGTACAGGGCGGTGGGGCATTAGGAGATGAAGAAGCAGGCTGGAGGAGGATGTGAGGGACGATTCGGAGCTAAAAGAATATTAGGGAGTTGCGTGGGTGATCACAAGACTGCATGAAAAACGCCCCCAAAGCGGCCATGAATGACCAAGAAAAGTTTTCGCCAAATTCGTAAGCATTATGGCTGTGGGCGGATTAACGCATCATGGACCAAAACGGAGAGGGTGTTGACAAGCGCGAAGCCGCCGAAGGAGGGGAACAGGACAGGCAGGCTGCCCCGTCTCGAAAAGCAGACGCGTCCGTGTAGCTGAAGAGGGTGGATGGGGTGTGGCGATGACGGAAAACGGAACTTCACACACGCGGAATCGAGTTATTATGGAAAATGGCGTATTCTCGGTCAAGGGCCAATTTTGCGGTGTGAAGCGTGTGTTGTGGTGCCCCAGCTTGAGAGACATGCGTTCGTTCATAGGCCAATGGCCGCTATGGGAGAATTGTGACGTCGTGCTTAACTGTTGGCTTAAGCACCATCTCGAGGTAGGTGTGAGGACCGGAGGGCCTCAGAGACCGCAAAGGATGATTGGACGGAGAAGGGAGAAAGGGGCGGCCGGCGAGAGAAACGAGCGAGCGTAGCTGGAAGGACATGAGTACCTGTTATCGAGACCTGGATATGAGGGGATGAACAACTCACGATCAGAAGACGGCACATGAAACGGCGGCGGGGTGTCGTTGGAGGCTAGAAGGATTGTTAGCGTCCCCGCTAGTAGTCGTGGCCATGACGGGTGTGGATCATGGAGAGAAAGGTACCCAGGTGCTTGTACTCTGCAGCTGTCTTAGAGTGCGCTGGGGAAGCAATGGCGTCAGATGACATTTGCTGAGGAAATGCTGTCAGAGAGGTGTGTGCAGGAAGAGGGCGCCCATCATCGTCAATCGTGTCGGGTTGGGCCAAGTTAGGACATGGAAAAAGAAGGGCGGAAGTGGATTTGGGAGATGGCGGTGAGTAAGAAGTAGTAGGTAACCGAGAAGGTGTAGTAGGTAGGTATGTATGTAACGAAGGGGAGGTGGGCTGATAGCTCTTTCCAGTCATTTCCTATCGCTCGGCCGGGGAAGGAAGAGGGGGGAAAGAAAGCAAAGTGCAGCTACCTATCTTGAAGTGATGGGCAGGGAAAGATCGGACCAGGTACGTGACAAGCAGGCTCGATCCCTGCTTCTTCTTTTGGCCCCTGTCAGAACGGTACCCTACCTGCCTACCTACCAGGTCCCTCGCAGGCAAGTACGTACTGCCTGCCACGACGGCAATGGCGACACCTTATCTCCGCCCTCAGCTGAACTACTATGTAGTGTAAGTGTACACCCTGCAACTCTACAACCACATCCGCCTTACACTACAGCACATGGCCGAATATCTCAAATAATAGACAGGGGATCTTGTCCTGCTTCCCCCAAGATGAGAGAGACTGTTCCCAGTCATCCGAGGAAAAGTACCATGCAGTACACTTGTGCATCTCTTTGCCGGGCCGACGACTAGCCCTGTCATGCCTCTCATCGTCTAACGCACTCTGATCCCGAAGAGACTGCACTAGCAGCACCCGCCCTAGCAGCAGCAGCAGCAGCAGAAGCAGCAAGGGCCATAGCCTGCTATACCGGTATGGTAGATCAAGGCATCCATTGATTGATTTCATGGCTTTCATCCCCTGCTCACCTTCATCCTTGTCCCATGTCCGACTTGGATGTTGCAGCGTTTCTATTGCCAGAACATGCGATGAACGGCTGCGTCCCTCCCGAACACTACGGTGGAGTTGTTCCAAGACTCTAGCTTCTTTCTTTTCGAGACGCACATCGGACGTGAAGATTGACATGAGGTGACAGCATGCAGCTAGTCGCCAGCCAATATATCTCCCAACATAGAGCCTCACGCCACACACAAACACCCTTGACAACCGCGAGCATCGGGTCAATCTTTCTCATCACATTCTCCATGACATATTGCAGCTTCTTTGGTGCATCTTCATCTATCCTCTCCCGCTATGACAGTACTTTAATGCTCTTCGCACAGATGTTCAACATCTAAAATCGCCTATTGTGAGTGGCTTATCTACCTACCCACAAGTGTTTGTCCTAATTCCTAAAGTTGGACGGAGTACATACTTGACAGCATATCGGCGTTTGAAGTGCCGGCTTGGCACGACATTCGATGCTGGCGAGTACCAGACAGAGTTGACACCAGGACGCCTTGCTCGCCAAAATGCAAATCATTGTCGAGTCACCTTCTTTACGTCCGCAACCCTCGACACCATTTATCTTCACTACCAAATCGGCCTTGACAATACCTCCTTGAATTCAGAAACGGTCCACTGCTTAACGCATACCAGTCACCCAAAGTACTATCAACTGTGCATCACATATCTCATTTATCAGTAAACCTGTACTGAGACTTGGGTCATGCAACATGCGGCCGCTCCAACATGATGAAGTCCACCAATCCTGCGAACCAGGACTTACTATCTGTCCTGACCAACCGCAAACTGGCCTACCCAGCATCGATACTAAGGCTATGCCGTTCCTGGATGACCCGGTCTGATGGCCTGAAACTCGTTGTACTCACCATTCAAGGTCACCAACCAAATCTCCACAGCGGTGAAATCAGGACGTTCCATCAGGAGCTCGTATCTCGGACGCCACGGCGGTGAAGAGACGCAGCCTTTTGTCCCAGGTCCTTCTGCAGACCGACTTCTGCAGCATACTTGTTTCGGACTACACCATATGCAGTCGCAGATCGACAGCTGGCCTCCGTTTTCTTTTTCTTTTTTTTCTGTTCTTGTTTCTTTGTACACAGGGCGAACGTTTCTTCTCTATCGACACCCCAGAAACCCACTCATGCCACGGACAATGAGAGCAGAATAAATCCCAAAAGCTGCAGACCATGTGCGGGCACGCTGATCTTTTTTCTGCCCCATAATTATGTTTAAGAGACCATGCTGACGAAGAAGAAATCGTGACACGAGGTCGACGCTGAACATCAAAAGCACATCATACGTGCAGACACCCATAGTCCTAAGCCCCCTTTCTCAGCCCTTGATTGATACTGTGGCTCGTATCACCAAAGGACAGGTGCGGGATCGGTTAAGCAAACATCACAAATGTACGGGGAGGGCCGCCTCCCGACGGCATAGCTATCGATGAACCAGTCCCTTGAAATGCGAAACCCAAATACATTTGGTGACATTCCAGTCAATGCCCGATGCAAACTTCCCCAGAAGGGTGTGCGACTTTTTGCTATGGCGAATGACATTGCTTTTGCCTGTTGATGTGCTGTCAGAGGTGGGGGAGGGAGGGCTCGATGGTGTTCACTCCGAATCTCAGACCGAGCTTGGTACATGCAGTATTTGCTTTTCTTTCCTTCAACGGCAAGTAACATCCTTCAGCAAAGGTTCTGACCGCCTTTATGCGCTCTTGATACCGGCTGCCTTAACTCGCCACCCAGCAAGATCAACGCTGCAACACTGCCAGATTCTGCACCAGCAACCCAATCAGGAAACCCTAATTAGGAACACAGCTGTCTGGCCGACTCATGAGGGAGCCTCATCGTCAACGATTTTCGGGGTCATGGCAGTCCGCAGTCTCACAGGTCTTGTTCGTGGCACGCCTTTCTCTGGTTTCCGTTGAGTATGCTTCGAACAAGTCAATCCTCGGGCTCACAGTTGCTTTGTGGTACCTTGTCTTCGCCAGAGCCTTTCATGCAGACAAATGCCATTTTCCCACGAAGAAGCAGACATGTTCTTCACGGATTCCCATGAACAATGCGTTGTCACCCCGTTGTTCGAACGTTTGAGGTCCTCATGGATTTTCCGTATAAGGGATAGCTCCCCGTCTCTCTTCTATCCGCTTCTTCCCAGTACATCCAACATACCAGACGCGCATCAAACCTCAAAAATTACACACAAACGGTAACGTACAAACCTTGAATAGCACCCTTCACTAACGACCGTCAGATAAACTTCGCAATGCCTCCCCACGAAGCCTACCACGCAAGACTTTCTCCCCGTTCCGCCGAAAGTGATCGTTCGCGCGTTAGTTACCTGGCGCCCTTCGCAGTCGGGACAAGCGTCGCCCTCTTCTTGGCCTTCTTGATCACCATTGCGCTCTGGCGCAGGGATGTTTTCAAGGCCAGGTCGGAAAACAGGGAGATGCTCAAATCGCTCACCTTGACCAAGCAGCAGCTCGCGGAGGCGATCGAACTACACGAAAAGCAGAGCAGGTACATCCGGCAGCTGCACAATATCAGTTCGCGATACGTCGTCGAGCACGGACCGCTCCCGCTAGCCGTGTTGGAGCAGGTTGCGGCGGAGGTCGGGCAAGTGCCGGAGGGCAACCCGTCACCCGAGAACGGGGACGAGTTCGTCGTCAGTGATGACGAGGAATGGGAGAACGAGACACGGGCCCGGGAGTCGCTCGTCTCGGACGATAGCAGGGTCGAGACGGACCCGGCTGCGCCGAGGATCGCGACGATCGGCGTTATGCGCACCGCTGCCTGGCTGCAAGGTCCGGAGCCGGAACGGCTGCATGAGCTTCCGAAAGCACCGTGACAGACACTAGATAGAGCTTCAATAGTGAGCGTGCATTGAACATCAAGAAATGCGCAACGGAAGACTCGAGTATGAGGAACATGCCATAAGTATTCTCAACGGAATGATATTCGACAACAACCAGGACATCCCCGGTCACGTTGCCGAGGGGTGTAACGTCTTGGTCGCCATTATCGAATACCAAACAGCAATAAGAGTCATCCAAGGGATCCATAGGAGACGACCTCGGTCTCCTGGTCATAGAAAAGCGTATTATTTAACTCTGTCGAAAGGCAACGCCATCGCCTCGGCCATGGCTGTAGACGGAGGGGCCTGAGACCATCTGTATGGCAGAGAACTCCGGAATCCGTATTAATGTTCAAGTCTTGCCGCGTCTCTTTACAATCCCAACACCGCGAGAGTCTAAGCAAGCCAGCATTTCGATTACGAAGAGTCAGTCGTTTAACGTGGTAGAATAGTTGCTGTTGCTGCTGCTGTCTCAGCTGGCACAACTGGAGTGATATTAAGAGTACTTGGTTGAAGTTGTTAGAGGAGATATCAGCAGCACACCCTCTAGTTCCTCACTATACCACATCAGCCGCGCTGTTCTGGTCCCCCCCTTTCCCCAGACCCCGACAATCTCTGCGAGTAAAGCTTTCAGCCCGGCCGACGTAGCTCCGAATGTTGATCGAAGCTTGTATGCTACCGTGAATCTATAACGCAGCTGCACCTCGTGGTGTACCATTCATTCCGGCGCAGGTGCCTGGCCTCCTCTCCTCGACAGTGTTCCCTATTGGTCATGTTCTAGACAGTCAAACACCAGGATCCCACCATCTATGACACTTTAATAGACCTATATAAGTATACCCTAGGCGTTTTGGCTTTCTAATTTCCTTGCTTCCTCCCATCGTCGTACCGAGTCGTTCACTCTGCCGCGGTCTTGTGTACCTTTACGTTTCTGACAGCACCTTGGTACGGCGAGAAGCTTCTTCCCCGTGTAATCCTTAGCATCTACTGGGAACAGTAAATACTTATTTGCATACGCACTGTTGTTGTCCTCTGTCTCAATAATATTTGTTGATCTGTAGCACCTCTGGGTCGGCATTGTCAGCAGGAACCAGGTGGTCGAAAGTAACGCTATAATAGTTAATACCCCTATAAATAATAACTAATAATTTATTATTAGTATATCCCCTATTAGTACAAAGACTAACCTGTCTTGTTACCTTTTATGTCGAACCTAACCCAAGTACTCATCCCAGATCACCAAATCACCAGAGGCATTAGCACGATCCTCAGCCTCCTTCCCATAGAGATGCTTATATGTTAGTGCTACAAGCATAGGGCCGGCTGGTTAAAAGTACTCTGTTGTATTGCACAGGGGGATTTTCCATTGTATCGCCGGGAAAAGCTTTTCTATGGACACCAGTGGACCGTCAATTTGGATTCGAAGCGACCGTTCCGTCCGTGTGAGGGTTATACAGAGAGCCGCAAGACGAGGAACCGAGAGGATCAAGTGAATGCGGGAAACACCGCCTATAAATCGAAAATAGTGCATCCCGTTTCCCCACCTGGCACACTTAGCGGACCGACACTCTCTGCCGCAGGTAGTACTTTCGCCCAACAACCCATAGCGGCGTAGAGCCTGATTGAACAGGTCCTGCTGCATACACATCGCGGTTGTGGTCCATCTTGCCTCGAGCTCCTTGTGGCTCGAGTCATTGGAAAGGCTCGCCGAGTTTTCTTTCAAGCACACAGGCCGAGCATCTTATTGATTGCCACATGAAGAAAGAGACCCCAAGCGGTCGCTTTCAGGAACCAAGGAAAACGAGTCGAACCCGAAAAAGGCCAATCGGCATGCTTGTTCCATTACAATAGATGGAAAGACGCACAATGGGGAACCACTGCCTCGACGGCATTTTTGGTACAAGGCCCTTCTTTAAGGCGCGACTGATGACTCGGTCTTTGCAAGCCCTTGATTCCTCTTACGAAACAAAGCGGTCTCCTGTCCAGCCACATCCCGTGGACAAAGTCACCGGAAAGATGGGACAACATCGAGGGTTCTACTCTAGCCGAAGGATCTATATATCCCGTGCCACACGTCTTTCCAGATGCCACTCCTGATCTCAAGCTGGACTCTATCTTTCCCGACGACCTCCCTTTCTCCCCTTGGTGAGTTCTAGACATTCTCATGTGTGCTAACGACTGGTGTTGCAAGGTGCGAGACTCATAACCGCCAGAAGCCGGAGCTCCCAACTGTCCGCAGGTGCCTGGGCGTTCCTCATCCCTCCAAAGGTAAGCCCCGCCGCCCGCTAATACGCTGACGAGATTCAGGATCTCAGACGTAAAGATGTCCTCAAAATACCAAGCTGGAACCCGTCGTAAGTCTCCTCTTTCCTCTCCCTCAACTGACCGATCGCAGCAACTCCAAGGGCCCTCCCTATACCTCATTGACCTAATCTCCGGAACCAAGGTAAGTGCCATTCCTTTTCTGCTAACTCAGTTTGGATAGGCAATCCGGCCCGTCCAAAACACGCCAAAGCAGTTGTCACCCAGGCCTTTGACAGGGTTTCCGATCATGTTGCGAGACGCTGACGATGGGTTTCCCTGAATCAGCGTAACGCATTCTGCTTGCATTGCTGTGAGTGATCTCTTGTATTCATTCCTACTGACATGGACAGAAAACCGAATCATTGCAGCGCCATGCGACGGAGCCCTTCACTTTGATCTGTAAGTCCCCCTTGTTCGACTCAAATGACTGATTCCAGGAACATCTCTCCGGTGAAGTTACGGGCTACCTATGGAAGCAGCTTCCTCTCCCTGTTTGGGTGGCTGGCAACAGGCGCACGAACCTCGCGCTCACAAAACCAGCGCGACTAAGTTCTCTTTGTAAGTTTCCCACTCGTACGACCTTATTCCCCTTTTTTCCCCTTCCTTTTTTTTCCCTTTCCTTTTTGCTCTTTCTAATCATGTAGCCCTCTCTGCCTTTAAGCAGCCCGCAAAGGAGACACACACGGCGCGTCCGAGGTACGTGCTCTCCCCCACGATCCTTACTGAGCATCGAAGCTAGGACTCGGACAAGGCCCATCGACCTGGCCGCTGTGCGCCAGCCACCTCGGGACCATCTCAGCCGAAGCTCTTCAAGCCAGGCAAGTACTCCCCACGGGTTTGACTTTAGTAGGCTGACGCGATAGGAACTCGAACGGCTCTGTTTGAACTCCAGCGAACCGTCAATTCGATCAGAGGACCGCCCCCTACACCTCGCCACCGCGTCACGGTGGAGGCCGCGGCCGATGGAGTACCGTCCGCCACAAATATCCGGACCGAAGTGAAGACGGCACACTATCAAGAGTTGGGTTTGCGCATGCACTTGATATCGATAGAGATCAGCACGGCGGATCGAGCCAAGAAGGACAGGGTGGGGGTGATTGATGAAGACAGCATGGCAGGGGAGACAAAGTCGAGACAGACAAGCCGGACGATGAACGCAAGAGAGAAGAACCCACAAATCACAAAAAATAATCATCTTCAGCTGCAGTGAGCTTCTTTTTTGATAGTGGACCGAATTTTCAACCCATAATAGCCCTAATTGATGAACGAACGCCCTGATTATAAGAAAAGTGCGCCGGAAACATTTCCGCTCTCGGCCGTCGCAGCCATTACTCGTTTCGTAACACATGTCTAGAAGAACTTGCTCTTGAGGCCGCCAAGAACGACGTTCCTTTTCTGTTTGTTGAGGTACTTGCCCACATCGTCTGCCCACCCCTGGCTCTGGTTCTGCAGGTGATCCATATTGTCACTCATGATGTTGAGTTTCTCGGTGCGCTCGTTGAGTTGTCTAGTCAAATAGTCGCCCCAACCCTCGTTGCTGCCCCCAGCAGCACCGGCGCTGCCGGCACCGGCTTGTCCACCAGCCCGTGCAGCTCTCGCCTCTGCCGCCGCTGCTGCGATCATCCGCTTGCTGGGAGGACGGTTGGGGTCGATGAGCAAGTCGAGGTCGGTTGGGGAGACGTGCTGCGTTCCCGAAAGCCACTGCATGTTCGAGATAGTAGGGCGTGGCGGCGTCACAATCTCTGGGTTGATGAGAACATCCGCGCTCACCGGAAGGTCATTACCAGTCCCCCATACGGAGAGGATGGCAATCTCACTGGGCCCGGTCCAGCCGAAGATATCACCAGTCTGCGTCACCACTGATGAGATACTACGGCTGCTATCGAGCATGGGAAGTGATGCTTTTCCAATCTCTTTGAGGCCAGGGATAGAGAACGCACGGGTCGTGCGGTCGCCAAACACACCGACGATGGCGACACCGTGAAGCTCAAACTCCGTGACACTTGCCGAGTCGCACAGCATATCGTCGAATGTCTTGGATGCGCCCTTGGAGCTCGCAGGCTTGAAAATTCGGATCTCGGTTTGTGTCACTGGGTTATGTCAATCTCAACACTACAAACAGCAGTCCCATACGAGTGCAAGAAACTTACCAGCAACCAAAACGCCATTGACCTGTTGGCCATTTCTGAGCGCTGCCACAATGGGTCCCGTGGCGTATGCAGGCTTGCCAGTGTCAGCTTGAATGGGGCAAAGGGCCACGACCTTGCCGTCGAACTGCTGGGCACCGGCAAGCTTGACGGTGTAGCTGTTTCCAGAGGGCAGAATCTTGAAGGTGGCTACTCGTCCCAGGTTGGTGCCCACGAAACAGCAGATGCTGGAGTAGTTATCGCCCTCGAGTGTCATGACACTGAATTCAATAGCTACTGGCCACTCTTTTCCTTGGCTAGTGTTATGCGATCCCTTGAGGAAAGATGATCTCTTTTCTTGTTTGGCGAATTCCGCCATGGAGGCCTGGAAGATGACCGAAGGACCTCGCAAGTCGATGACGCTGAAAAAGCCGCCTTCCGAGCCAACGGCCACAAATCCAACATCCGAGACGCAAATGGCCGAGATGGAACCCTGCATCATCTCATACAGCTGCCACGGCTGCAGGCCTTCCTTAAGACCGGGCTCTGCCCTCGAACTAATGTCCGTCAGAGACCCTGGGTTCGACGGAAGGTCTTCGTGGTGATCTTTGCCGAAAAATCTGTTGCCGGCCCATCTGTAGAGGACCACCTCACCAGTGCGAGTCCCCACTGCGAACTCGCCCGTGTTTGGCGCCAGGTTCATCGCCATGATATCAATATCCTCGTAGCGGTCAAGCGATCGTGCAACGTCGACCTGCAACATGGTCGGGTTCTCGATTTCATCGGCATGGCCGGCATCCCATAACCGCACCGTACTGTCGCCATGGGCTATCTGGAAGATGGTGCGACCCTCGTACCTACGCTTTGGCTTCGCCGCCTCGGCGCCACCCTTCAGAAGTGGTTCACCCTGGTTTCTGGTTTCCACCATGCCGAGCCAACGTCCACGGTCTAGGGTTTGCACAGCGAACCTGTTGACATACGGGTGAACAAAGGAGACGGACGGATGCAGTTGATTCGTCGGGCTGATGGGGTATCCCGAGGGAAAGCTCATGGTCAGAAGCTCGCCGGAAGAGAGGAGTGTCATTACAGCAATGGGGTCCTGTGCGCCCGCGAAGTAGGGCGAGGAGCGAGGAATAAGCAAAAAGTCGACGACCTGAGCACCCGGCGGTGTCGGCAAGGTGATCTGGCGTTTTCCGTGTAAGTGATCTTGGAGGACTTGCCATGATGAAGTGGCATAGATGGGCGTTTGTCCAAGCTCGATAAAGGTAAGCCCCTTTTGAGGAGCATCAGGACTCAGGCCGCCCGCGATCAGCAACCCAGTGTCGTCCGGGTTATCTTTACAGCACCAAGCGATGCGTGCGTATGGCTCCGTGTAGCCGACATGGTCTGCGTGCGGTGATGGCTGGTCGACCTTCATCTCATTTATAGTTCTGGCCATGATTATGCGACCATCCTTGGGGTCCCAGAACACCATGCTCCCGTCGTCGTGGGCCGTCATGATAAAGGTGCCCGTGGGGTGCCACAGGGCGTGCGAAAGCCTCGGTCGGCGAACAGCGTCCGCGGACTCTCCTCCTCCGCCAGGTGCGCCGGGTTGCAGGACATACTCAAAGAACTTGATTGGTTTGTTCTGCTTGAATGAGTAGATGACGGCGCCCGTCGTGTACGCGATGAGCATCTGGCCAATGTCTCTAGGGTGCAGCGCGATGCTCACCAGCCCAACCACACGAGCGTTGGGATCCTTCTCTTTCCAAAAATTTGGTAACCGGAATGACCTCGTGATATTCTCCCTGTCCAGATCATAGGCCAAGACCTCTCCGGTGGCTAGGCCAAGGAAGGCCCAGTCAAGCATGGGGTCCGTGAGGAGGCAGGCGACGTGACCAGGGCAGACGAGGCCGGCGATGCGTTTTGCAGTATCGAGGTCCCATACTCCCAGCTCGTTCTTGGCGTCAAGGGAGACCAGTCGGTTGGCGGCGAAGTGGAGCGAACGAAAAGATGTGCGTCTTGGCGGCTCGATGACCTTGTGGACTCTGCTCTGGCCGAAAACGAAGATCTTGCCAGGGCCAAATTTAGATTCGTTGGTAGCGATTGCGAGAAGCGACTGGATCGGATCGTAGGCTAAGCAGCTGCAGCGTTTCCCGTCAGTACGAGTCTTCGAAGTGCGCTGCACATCGCCGAATGCCCGGTAGTAGACGCGCGTCCACGTGGGGTAGCTCGAGCACTGACCTGACCTGCGAGTTGATGCCGTATGTGGACTGGTAATCGGGCGCAAAGAGGTCGGGAACAATGGACGCAGACAGGTCCTTTTGCAGGCCTGTCTGCTTTTGTCGAAGAAAGGCGGCCATGGCTTTTGAGAGGGAGAGAGAGCGGTGCAAGTTGGATCTGGAGGTGTTGTTGGAGGAAGACTGGGAGGGCTTGGGGCGGTCCCGCAACTTACTTTTAGGGCGGTCCAAGGTCCGCTTGGCGGGGTGACACTGGCTCAGTGGGTAATTATCCAAGACCCTGCAGCACACCAACGTCATGGAGGCTACCGCCGGGCCCGTGTGCCGCCGCCCCAAAGTTAAGGTCGGTCGCACGTGGTCCAAGCTCCTTCATGCACGTGAACGACCGACGCATTATGTAATACGCGCAGAAGAGCTGCACTTTTTGGAAAGCGAAGCATCGTCTAATTCCTCTACGATAACGAGATGTCTCCGAGGTCCGTAACGTCTAAAATGACGACGTGAACAGCATGAGAGAGAGAGGTAATAAACCAAGAGTATGTGGAGTCCTTTGACAGCATTGACATTGATTAGTGCAGTGCGCATGCGTCCTCCTGAACCGAACACTCACTCATCATGGCAAACTTAATCCGATAGTGTCCAAAGTAACAGATGCTATATATTAAGTATGTAAAACACCTATTATAAAAAAATTTTCCTCCATCTTGCTCAGCTGATTCCTTATTTCTGCGCTACGGGTATCGATCGCTCTCCAAACCAGACTGGCTACGCAAGCTCATTTCCCTACTCCAAAGTCATCAGATTCAGGCAGATCCGGCGGTGCCCTCCTCAACTCGCTTCTCCTCGTTATGGCCATGGACAGGCACGAGACTGGTGGCACTGCGAATGTTTGTCAGCAAAAGCATTATTAACTACGGGAATGGGAAATACTCACAGGTCGTCCTCGCCAGAAAGCTCCTCCAGCGTCTTCCTCGCCGTCTCGGGAATCAGCAAGGTTGTAAAGAAACCGCAAAGCATGAAAAAGGCAAAGATCTGCATAATGTGGTTGAGCCACGGCGTGCTCCATCTGGGGTCAGTCTTGGCCCGGCTGCTGTCGGCTCCGATGGTCCTGAGCGGCCCGAACACAACCTGCGCGATGATGGCACCAATCTTGCCCGAGGCAGCGGAAACTCCGTGGGAAGTGGACCTGTACCTAGTCGGGAAGCACTCGCCAGGGACGATGAACGTCGTCGAGTTGGGCCCGGCGTTGAAGAAGAACTGTGAGAGGGTGTACAGGGCCATCAGAGCAGATCCGGACAGGTTCCAGTAGTCGAAGCCGATGACGCAGAAGAGGAGGGTGAGGGCGAAGAAGCCGAAGAGCTGGATGGGCTTGCGGCCGATTGTGTCAACAAGTGCGGCGGAAACCCAGTATCCTGGGACAGCACCAGCGAGGACGAGGATCAGGTTGCCAACAGCCGTCTTGTAGAAGATGTGGTACACATCCTTACCGCCGGACCATCCAATGGCATTAAGAATGATGGCGTTGTTCAGACCGAGACCATAGAAGGCAACGTCGAGGAAGAACCAAGAACCAGCGGTACCGATGAGGACCTTGGCGTTCTTCCAGACGCTGTAGTGGCGGAAGAAGTCCCTCCAAGAAGCCTTGGGTACTTCCAGCTGCGTCTGGGCCTCTTGACGGGCGATGACGCGAGCAGCCTCATCAACCTGGGCCTCACCCCACTTGCCCTTCTTATAGAAGTCGACGTCGCCCTCGGCCTTCTGCACATCGTTTTCGATGTCGAAGGTGTATCGAGGGGTCTCCGGAATGGTGAGGCGGAAGTACAAGGCGATGCATCCGGGGACGGCGCCGAAGCCGATCATGGTCCTCCACATCTTGTCAACGGCCATCAGGCAAGGCTCGGTGGTAGAGCATGCAGCAGGCTTGGCGGCAGTCTCGAGGGATCCCTTGAAGCCGGTGGTGACGATGAGGAGCATAATGCCACCAGCGAGCTGTCCAAACCCTTGGTTGGCAAACACGGCGTTCATCATGAAGCCTCTCCACTTGGTCGTGGCGAACTCGGAAGTAATGATTGCAGAAAGCGGGTAATCGCCGCCAATGCCGATACCCTAATGCTCCTGTTAGCGCTGAGAAGGTCACCACTGTCGATCCAACACTCACCATGATGATACGCCAGAAGACAATGAGGCCGACGATGGAAACCGAAGGAGAGGAAGACGAGAGGGCCTGGGCGAGGGTGGCGATGATGATGATGATGAGCTCTACACCGTACTATCGTCGGCGTTCGTCAGTTGTATGTATCGAGGGTTTGTTCGTCATCGGGCGGCCTACCATCTTCTTGCGACCGACAATGTCTGCAAGAATACCGAATCCAACTTGGCCAACAACAGTGCCGGCGGAGGTGGCAACCTTGATCGCGGTGTCGTGTTCCGCAGGCAGGGTTCCACCAAAGTACACAATACCCAGCATGGAAGTGACGAGGCCGATGGTAAAGATATCGTACTGGGGTGTGATAAAGTCAGTTTTGGCCATAGAGGTAGGGTTCCAGAACAACAACAACATACAGAGTCGGTGAAGAAGCCGATACCAGCAACGACGATGGCGCGAACGTGGTACCAGCCGAAAGGCGCCTTGTCGATCTCGGCTAGAGCCAGGCGACGACGCTCGTTGGCATCGGCAACATGGGCGAAGTCGTTGTTGAAGTTGTGGAAAGCGGCGTTTCCGCCGGACGTCTTGTTGAGCTTCACCTCAGCAGAGGTGAGCGCGCTCGGGGTGTTGGCGTTCGAGCCTGCGGCTTCGGACGGCTGCATGACGCTGGCCATGATGTCTACTCTGAGCCCGGGAAGAAAAGAACGACGAAAGCTCGAAGCCGAGAGATTGGGAGCAGAACCGGTGGCCTTGGGGTCCTGTTCGGTAGCTTGGGGAGCGCGACGACAACCAAGGCCAATGCGTAGGGGATCGGGAGGGGTCCGGCTTATATGCCAAACAGCAGCGACAGGCAGGAGATTAACCTAGTGGACGCCATCTAAGTCAAGCATGGGAACGGTGGGGGGGTACTGGCAGGGGAGTGGAAGAGATGAGACGACTGGGGACACGAAGGGAACATGGCTCGAGACCGGTAGGGATCCAACTCGAAGACTACGCACTGGCGTGATGGACGGACGGGACACGACGGGGGGGTGTCATTGTACCCAGGCGAGGCGAATGACATTCGGCCAGGTTGCGCCAAGGTAGCAAGCAGTATGTGTTTTTTTATTTGTTTTTATTTTTAGCGGTAGCTAACCCCGTTACGGAACCGAGAGCTTGACTTTGGATCAAAAGGGCCACAAGAAGAGATGTGCGAGTGAGCAAGCAAGCAAGCGACTCACTGTCGGAAAGACACCGTCGGCGAAGGAGGAGACGTCTCCCGATAGATGATATGCAACAGGGGTGTATCCTAGGCGAAGCCGGCCGGGTGTGGCTGGGTGGAGCGGTGCTCGGCGACGAATTCGGAATGGCGCGCAATTTCACTTTCTTCTCAGACTCTATTTCTCGTCTCTACTTGGACTGAAGATCAGTTATCGCCTCCCGACTGGCTGCCCTTCGTTTTCGCTTTTTTGCTCTTACACCGGCATCTGCAGGCTCAAACGAGACTTACGGCCTCATCAGACTTTTTACCACCTGAAGATGCTGGTACGCCTCCTACGGCGGTACGGGCTGACGCGACACGAGCTGGGTCGTGGTTCAAGACGAAGGAAGAGTAGCAGCGGCCCGCTCGTGTCAAAGTTAATTGGGAACCAATTGGATTACTCACTGTGAAAACATGGACGCGGAGAAGGATGGATGATGGTATCTACTACTACATAGTAGTAGGAATAGTAGTACTAATCAAGTCAAAAGTCCGAGGCCCACGACCCGTGCAGTGTTTGCTTCCCATGTCTGGGACAGTCTGGTAAGACGTTAAGTGGGGGAGGGGGGGGGGTTATCGAGTCGATAGCTACCCAACAAGAATCCGATCAAGCTTTGCGGACGCATCGAGCAGGATTCTTGGCTGCAGCAACGTTGAACTGGCAGGTTGACACTCGGATAACCGTTCAATATACCACAATGATACCAACAAGCTTCGTGGACCACACTAAGCACCCGTCTCCAAGCCACACGCATGACCCCAATCCCTTGAGACATGGTTCGAGGGCCGGGGACTGTTGGCTCACAGAGCGGCCACTCTCTGCTGGCATATCGTTGCAGCACGTTGGCTCGAGGAGCAACGGATGTGATTGATGGACAGCTGGTGTTCTAGCCGCTTTCAGCTACCGAACGCCCGGGACCAGACCGATCCATCCCAGCAATGATGAATGGTACCGCGAGTGCCCCCGGCCGACATGTCCTCTCAGGCAAAAGGTACTTGTTCTCTATATTGAACGAGTGTCAGCCTAGGGGGCTGCCGATCCACCCGTCGACTCAGCCCGAGGAGAAGTCGTCAACATTCTCCCCATCAGAGCCCGCCAATCAGAACACGGCATTGGAGCACGTTGCGACTGCGCACTTTGGTCCAGCAACTTCCTTTTTCTCATGGGCCAAAAAACTTGGGGGGGGAAACTCCAGCTCCAAGTAGCCTTGGCCGGCGGCGCTGCTCCGCGCAAGACGATGATATGTCGTTGATGACTTGTCGCAGTGCGGCTCTCGGGGGCCATCAAGCCTCTTGGGCATCCCGCCGCTTGGCACTTGGCAGAGACTGCGATTCTCCGTCAGACCGAGCCGCGATGCCACAGCCAAGAAGGGAGCCAAGACCGGGGCAACGCCCGTCTGGCATGTCGAGATTTGTTTGCATAGAGCAGCTGTCGCGTGCTCGATGCCTTCTTAAGGACGGCCCCCCTCCGCGGTTAATTCGGAGACGCCGCCCACGTGCTCGTGTCTGCGTTTCCTGTTGGCAGGTCCAAAGACCATTCTATCATATCATCATCAAGGGTAGAAGGATGGCGGCGATGGCGCGCTGCCTCGCGCGCACTGCGCGTTGGTTCGTGGGTGCCCGTTCCGGCTATTTGGTACTTTGATACCCATTGAAAGAGGACGTGTTCGTCGGTGACCAACCGTCTGATCTGTCATTGACCCCATCATCCGGTCACGTTTTACACTCATCGAGCGT